TTCGAACTAAGCGGATATTTTCCGCTTATAAGTCCAGTTGGAAAGATAGGTTTCGCCAACATGGCGGTCAATTGCTTGCGCCTGACTTGCGCTGACTTCTTTAATCCATGCGCCTCGTCTAAGTCGTACTTCAAGGAGGGATTATCGATAATAATATCCATTTCCTCAGCTGCTTTTTCGTACCATCCACTCTCGGCGTTTGCCTTGCGCACCTGCAGGTCGAGTTTGTCCACTTGCCGGGCGAGATTCACACGTTGTTTGACCGCATTTAGGTAATGCTCTTGTACGGGAAATGAGGGTAAATCTTCCGCTAAACATATTTAAATATTTTACAGTTTATCCAGTGTTCAATATACTTAATTAAAGACGACTTACTTTTTCCTAGGGTCCGACATAATCGTAAATAATTTTGAAGTTCTCCTGTTTCAACCAGAAGAACTGCGATGCCTTCGGACGAAGCACGCGCTGTTCTACCAGAACGATGCACGTATCCCTCAGCTGTGCGAGGGGTTTGATAATGTAGCACATGCTGGACAGCAGGGATATCCAACCCTCTCGCCGCTACATCTGTCGCAATCAAGACGCTATCTTCCCTATCACGAAATCTGTCTAGATTTTTTAATCGTTGGCGTTGCTGCATCGATGCATGCAACGCCATTGGCTCACAGCCCAGTAAACCTAATAGAGTGGTCAGTCGTTTCACGCATCCTATTGAATTACAAAATATTAACGTCCTGCCAGGATGCCTTTGCAAAAAATAGTACACATAATAATCTTTCTCGTCAATATCGCAAGTAATACGGCATTCGGTCAAATTCTGTGCTTTTCCTTTGCTCTGTTGTGTGATATCCACAACCTTAGGATTTGTGATTCCTAAAGAATCAACAACTTTTTTTAATTTATCCATCGGGGTTAAATTATCAATGCGTCTCTTTGCCTTGAGTTTTTTCTTCATTAATACATGCGCCGGTAATTCGTGAATCATTGTGAGTGTTGCAGAAAACACGAAATTTTGTCGTCGTTGGCGATTGCGTTCATTCATGTTGATTTTTTCTAAAATCAATTCTAGTTCATTAAAATGTCCTCTTTCTAACATTCTGTCAGTTTCATCTATAGCTAGGTATTTGATTTCTTCAAGCTGGGAGAGATGTTCATTGCCCTGTTGAATCAACTCCCACAATCTGCCAGGAGTAGCAACAACTATTTCAGGTGAAGATTTTAAAACGCGCTCTTGTTTTGCGGACGCTAAGCCGCCTACAATAACAGCTATTTTAATTTGAGTGTGTTTGGCAACTGCAACCAAATGGTTTCTGATTTGTATTGCTAATTCTCTTGTTGGAGCCAGGATTAATGCATGTAGTAATTTTTCATTAGATTGTTCATGTTTTAATATGCCTTCTAGTATAGGCAACCCAAAAGCAAGTGTTTTGCCACTGCCAGTTTCTGCTGCACCAAGAATATCTCTTTTACCTGTTGAAAACAGACAAATAAAAGAAAAAAATAAGTAATAGATGAGTAATGGATATAATAACTTACCTAATATTGCAGCTGGAAGTGTCAGCTGTTGAATTTCGGTTGGATATTGAAATTTTAAATCAATCAAACCTTTCAAAAGCTTTTCATGCAGTGGCACAATTTGCCAAGCTTTAAAATCAACAGTCTCATCATTAGCTAAATTTTCTTGTGGCACCTGTTCAACCTGGAAATCACCGGCTATGCTTGTAGCACCACATTTAGATGGTGTACTGTCACCATCCTGAACATTGATAGCTTTATTTTTCTTTATTTTGGTTTTCTTCTGGGTTGCCTGCCCTTTTTTTGGTTGGCTTTGTTCATTAGACTCAGTTGGAAGAAAGTCTTGCAAGTCGTAATCGTGGCACTCCTCGATACCTATCAGGCCATCAAGATCTAATCCATTATCCAGCAGTGATCCCTCGATTTCCACAGGTTTCCATAGATTTTTCTGTTTTCTCTTAACCATTTTGAACAGTTTTTAAACAACCTCAAAACTTCACGTGGTAATGGAAATAAACATCGGCTAACATCGTGTATCATCGGAATTAACGGAAGCACTTGTGAAGGTCATGCTAGATGTCGCTGCATGTATATTTAAAGTTATTTGAGTCTATTTTATTTGCAATCAGTCTTATTTTATGCGTTGATATTGTGTTTGTTGTGCGTAATATAAGATGGCCGCGTGCTATCAACTTGTTTACACTGCATGCTCGCGAGATACATGTAGCACAAACTTGCACGTTTTGCAACTTTTGTTATAACATTATTTCGTTTAATTGCGGTCTGTTCGGTAAACCATCGTCAGTAATTTGTGATTGTCGTCGTGTGTGATATTTTGCTGATTATCTGTATGTGAGCCATTCTGCACCGGAAACATGGACATTGTTCTGCGTGGAAACCGCCGAAAAAGAACGGTAAACTGCGGACTTTCTTTATTCTCCCTTTTTAATTCACCTATTCGTGCATGGATTGTTCTAGAAGTTTTATTGATACACGACCAGTTACCTCGACTTTGCTTACGCCGAGTTAGAACGATATCTTATCTTGTTATTGTTGTGAACAGGTTTATCTATTTGCGTGCGGTGAAGCAACACTCTTAAAAACGGGTGTTTTTAAATGCGATTTATTTTTAATTCTTAGTGAATTCTTCACGTAATATTTGCCAATAATCATCTTTTAATGGAGGGTCTTGCACTTGTTTTAATTGTATATTATAATCATTTGCAAATATGAATTGTTCACACTTTCTCGTGAAATGTTTGCATTTTTTCGGGGTTGCGCGCGATCTTGTCGGCTACACCGCGGCGTTTAGAGATGCGGAATTAAATTCTCCGTCGGGTTGTATTTGTTTGTTGCAGGAACAGGTAGCATGAACCTGCAACATGTATTGTGATATTATTTCATTTAATTGCGGTCTATCTGTGATTGTCATTGTGTGTGGTATTTTGCCCCGGAAATATGGACAATGTTTTGCGTAGAAGCCACGAAAGCAAGGTAAAGTGCAAACTATTTTCCTTTCCATGTTTAATTTACCCATTCATGCATGCATTGTTCTGGAAATCATTGCTTACGCCGGATTAAAACGATATCTTACCTTGTTATTATTGTAAACATGACCGTCGCAATCGGCCATATAGTTTTAATATGCAATGTGACAATACATATTTTCACCGATTGTTTTGAAACTTTTTAATGCGATTCCTGGGCGGAATTCTACTATTGCTTATCAGTATTTGTTTGTGTATAAACAAGTTTTCGAGTCGCATTTATATCATATTTTACACTTCGCCGAGAAGTTTTATTGCATGTTTTGTCTCTGCTTTATTTTATCATTACTTGCACGCAATGTTCTAACTATTGTTCTCTTCTCTGTTTTAGCAATTGCCTTCTAGTTCCGATGCCCGAGTCCCGAGCTAAAGTAGAATACGAATTTCATTCGTTTCGTCGTTCGACTCCAGATTTAAAATAAAATAAATATTGACACCCCTTCCCACATTTCCCCTTAACAATGTCATTTATTTTACAGATTTTTTTCATCTTCAACAATAGTCCTGAGTGTTGCCACGAGTGAAATACTGGTATGTGGTATGTGTAACTAAGGGTGCATTCGCGTTGGACGCTTACGCGCTGTGAGCGCTCACGCTTATAAGCACAAATTTTTAGTGTTCGAGATGGCCTATAGGCGCTTAGAATCAATAAATAAATTTCGTTCGTTTTGGATATTGTGAGCGTCAATAATCATCAACATGGCAACTGTTTATCAAATAATTTAAATTTTTATTTTTTAAATTTTAATTTAATTGTAAATTTTATTACTTTCTGGATCAGTTAGCTCAACAGAAATTAATTTTGGTTGACTGCTTGCCATTTTTGCGGGATTGTAAAGAATTTAACAATTTAGAAATAAATGAAATTTTTTGGTTAGCTTATGCTCAAGTTGCATTCGTTTTGACAGATAATAAAAATTGGCGCTCACGCTTTCGCTGCCCTACCTCTGTGGCGTGAGCATAAATGAGCGCGAAGTCTGTGCTACGAACTCAGCCATGAGCGTACTTATGTGACACTCACAGCGCCAAGTCGAACGATGAAAATGACATGTAAGCACGCTCACAGCGCGTAAGCGTCCAACGCGAATGCACCCTAAGTGTTTGTTTTGTACTTAACCCCACGCCACGTGCTGATAATATGTACGTCTTTTTCATTGAATGCAAGCTGGGCGTCACAGAAACTCGAGCGGGGTGTTTAGAGTTGTAGAATTATATTCACCGACGGGTTGTATTTGTTAGCGGTAGAAGTGACTCGATTCAGGGCACCTTACGAGGCTAGCGGTAAAAGTGACTTATGTTCAGGGCACCGTATGAACCCGGCGAAAATTTGCATGCGTAAATCACCCTTTTTCATGAAATGCTTGTATTTTTTTCGGGTTTGCGCACGATCTAGATGGCTCATTAACTTCAACGTGGCGTCAAGAGATGCAGAATTAAATTCTCCATCGGATTGTATTTGTTTGTTGCAGCAATTCGACCGGCAACCTGCGAAAATTTGCAAAAAAGGTAATTTTTTGTCACCCTTTCTCGTGAAATGTTTGCATTTTTTCGAGTTTGCGCGCAATCTCGGCGGCTGACTAACTACAACGTGGCGCCTAGAGATGCGGAATTAAATTCTCCGTCAGGTGTTATTTGTTTGTTGTAGAAATTCGACCTGCAACCGCTGAAAACTTGCATAAAAAGGTGATTTTTGTCACCCATTCTCGTGAAATGTTTGTATTTTCTTGTGTTTGCGCGCGATCTAGGCGGCTCACTAACTTCAACGTGGCGTCAAGAGATGCGGAATTAAATTCCCTGTCGGGTGGTATTTGTTTGTTGCAGGAATTCGACCGGCATTTTTATGTTCGAATTACCAATTATTGCTTGTTTTAGGGATTTCGCACCTGAGTCTGACATCGTAGAAGGACCATTCTGGTATCAGATTGTAAGTAATTAATTTCTTTATCATTTTCCTAAATAACTTTTATGATTATCGTACAAATTGACCCCAAAATTGCATTTTTCTGTTTGAAGGACTAATTTTTTATGGTTTTAGGGATTTTGCACCTGAGTCTGACATCGTAGAAGGACCTTTCGGGTATCAGGTTGTAAGTAATTAATTCCTTTATCGTTTTCCTAAATAACTTTTATGATTATCGTACAAATTGACCCCCAAAATTGCATTTTTATGTTCGAAGGACTAATTTTTTATGGTTTTAGGGATTTTGCACCTGAGTCTGACATCGTAGAAGGACCATTCTTGTATCAGATTGTAAGTAATTAATTTCTTTATCATTTTCCTAATTAACTATTGTGATTATCTCACAAATTAACCCTTAAAATTGCATTTTTATGTTCGAAAGTCTAATTGTTGCTTGTTTTAGGGATTTTGCACCTGAGTCTGACATCGTAGACGGACCATTCTTGCATCACATTGTAAATATTTAATTTCTTTATCATTTTCCTAATTAACTATTGTGATTATCTCACAAATTAACCCTTAAAATTGCATTTTTATGTTCGAAAGTCTAATTGTTGCTTGTTTTAGGGATTTTGCACCTGAGTCTGACATCGTAGACGGACCATTCTTGCATCAGATTGTAAGTATTTAATTTCTTTATCATTTTCCTCATTAACTATTGTGATTATCTTACAAATTAACCCTTAAAATTGCATTTTTATGTTCGAAAGTCTAATTTTTGCTTGTTTTAGGGATTTTGCACCTGAGTCTGACATCGTAGACGGACCATTCTTGCATCACATTGTAAGTATTTAAATTCTTTATCATTTTCCTAAATAACTTTTGTGATTATCTCACAAATTAACCCTTAAAATTGCATTTTTATGTTCGAAAGTCTAATTTTTGCTTGTTTTAGGGATTTCGCACCTGAGTCTGACATCGTAGACGGACCATTCTTGCATCACATTGTAAGTATTTAAATTCTTTATCATTTTCCTAAATAACTTTTGTGATTATCTCACAAATTATCCCTTAAAATTGCATTTTTATGTTCGAAAGTCTAATTTTTGCTTGTTTTAGGGATTTTGCACCTGAGTCTGACATCGTAGACGGACCATTCTTGCATCAGATTGTAAGTATTTAATTTCTTTATCATTTTCCTAATTAACTATTGTGATTATCTCACAAATTAACCCTTAAAATTGCATTTTTATGTTCGAAAGACTAATTTTTGCTTGTTTTAGGGATTTTGCACCTGAGTTCGACATCGTAGAAGGACCATTCTTGCATCAGATTGTTATTATTAAATTTCATTATCTTAAATAACTTTTGTGATTATTACATAAATTGACTTCCAAAATGTATGCTTGTGTGTTTTCTTTAATAAAGAGTATTTTTAAGTTTTTCCAATTAAAATTATTTCTGTTATTTCTACCCGATCACATATTTAACGATCCCTTAAAACATTTATTTTGAAAAGTGCATGCTAGTGCCATCTATCAATTAGAAACGACAACAACCGAAAGTGTTGAGCTTCGGTCCGTCGCCACCAGAGGCAGCACCTTACTAGTTACCGCGAAAACTTTATCAGCCTCCTCAACTTTCTGCGATCCTAATATTCCATCTTTATTTTGTCGACTTTTAGAGGCAAACGGACACAAAATTTGGGCTCGAAACAGTCGAAACTCAGGTTTTGGTATTAGGATCGCAGGAAGGGCGAGGAGGTATATTAATAAAAGAGGCGGTAAATATTATTGGCAGGAAAAATTAATGTTTAAAAATCTCTATTCAGCAAATTCGATTTTCGAATTCTGTAGAATCTCGACAACTCAGAGGGCTAGAAAATTAAGAAATTAAGGTGGAATCATTATTGAAAAATCGTCAAAATGTCACAAAATAATTTTTAAAGAAAAGATGTTATAAAAAAAGGTAAAAGATTTTTCTTTTTTATGATGAAAATTAAAATTTGGAATTTTTGAATTATGATAGACAATTTAATTCTAAATCAATTATAATGTGCTGCCCACTGGTGGCGACGGGCCGAAGCTCAACACTTTCGGTTGTTGTCGTTTTTAATTGATAGATGGCACTAGCATGCACTTTTCAAAATAAATAGTTTGGGGATTGTTAAATATGACTACGTGATCTGGTAGAAATAACAGAAATAATTTTAATTAGAAAAACTTAAACATATTCTTTATTAAAGAAAACACACAAGCATAAATTTTGGGAAACAATTTGTGTAATAATCACAAAAGTTATTTAAGATAATAATGTCATTTAATACTAACAATCTGATGCAAGAATGGTCCTTCTACGATGTTAGAGTCAAGTGCAAAATCCCTAAAACAAGAAAAATTAGTCCTTCGAACATAAAAATGCAATTTTGGGGGTCAATTTGTACGATAATCATAAAAGTTATTTAGGAAAATGATAAAGAAATTAATTACTTACAATCTGATACAAGAATGGTCCTTCTACGATGTCAGACTCAGGTGTAAAATCCCTAAAACCATAAAAAATTAGTCCTTCGAACATAAAAATGCAATTTTGGGGGTCAATTTGTACGATAATCATAAAAGTTATTAAGGAAAATGATAAAGAAATTAATTACTTACAATCTGATACAAGAAGGGTCCTTCTACGATGTCAGACTCAGGTGCAAAATCCCTAAAACCATAAAAAATTAGTCCTTTGAACATAAAAATGCAATTTTGGGGGTCAATTTGAACGATAATCATAAAAGTTATTTAGGAAAATGATAAAGAAATTAATTACTTACAATCTGATACAAGAATGGTCCTTCTACGATGTCAGACTCAGGTGCAAAATCCCTAAAACCAACAAAAATTAGTCCTTCAAACAAAAAAATGCAATTTTGGGGGTCAATTTGTACGATAATCATAAAAGTTATTAAGGAAAATGATAAAGAAATTAATTACTTACAATCTGATACCAGAATGGTCCTTCTGCGATGTCAGACTCAGGTGCGAAATCCCTAAAACAAGCAAAAATGGGGCCTTCGAACATAAAAATTCCGGTGGAATTCCTGCAACAAACAAATACAACCCTACGGAGAATTTAATTCCGCAACTCTTGACGCCACGTTGAAGTTAATGAGCCACCTAGATTGCGCGAAAACCCTAAAAAAATACAAGCATTTCACGAGAAAGGGTGAAAACATCATACGGTGCCCAACCCGTATCGGGTTCATACGGTGCGCTGAACACGAGTCACATCTGCCGCCAACCTTTTAAGGTACCCTGAACGGGAGTCACTTTTACCGCTAACAAATACAACCCGGCGTTAGAATGTGAGAATTTAATTCCGCATCTCCTGGCGCCGCGTTGAAGTTAGTGAGCAGCCTAGATCGCGCGCAAACACGAAAAAATACAAACATTTCACGAGAAAGGGTGACAAAAATCACCTTTTAATGCATATTTTCGCGGGTTGCCGGTCGAATTCCTGCAACAAACAAATACAACCCGACGGAAAATTTAATTCCGCATCTCTAAACGCCACGTTGAAGTTAGTGAGTCGCCTAGATCGCGCGCAAACACGAAAAAATACAAACATTTCACAAGAAAGGGTGACAAAAATCACCTTTTTATGCAAATTTTCGGCGGTTGCAGGTCGAATTCCTGCAACAAACAAATACAACCCGATGGAGAATTTAATTCTGGATCTCTTGACGCCACGTTGAAGTTAGTGAGTCGCCTAGATCGCGCGCAAACACGAAAAAATCCAAACATTTCACGAGAAAGGGTGAAAAAAATCACATTTTTATGCAAATTTTCAGCGGTTGCCGGTCGAATTCCTGCAACAAACAAATACAACCCGATGGAGAATTTAATTCTGCATCTCTTGACGCCACGTTGAAGTTAGTGAGCCGCCTAGATCACACGCAAACCCGAAAAAAAACAAACATTTCATGAAAAAGGGTGATTTTCTCATGCAAATTTTCGCCGGGTTCATACGGTGCCCTGAACACGAGTCACTTTTATCGCTAACAAATACAACCCGACGGAGAATTTAATTCTACAACTCTAAACACCCAGCCCGAGTTTGTGTGACGCTCAGCTTGCATTCAATGAAAAAGACGTAGGTACATACGAGTATTATCAGCACGTGGGGGTTAAGTAGAAAACAAACACTTAGTTACACATACCACATACCAGTATTTCACTCGTGGCAACACTCAGGACTATTGTTGAAGATGATAAAATCTGTGAAATAAATGACATTGTTAAGGGGAAATGTGGGAAGGGGTGTCAATATTTATTTTATTTTAAATCTGGAGTCGAACGACGAAACGAATGAAATTCGTATTCTAATTTAGCTCGGGACTCGGGCATCGGAACTCGAAGGCAATTGCTAAAACAGAGAAGAGAACGATAGTTAGAACATTGCGTGCAAGTAATGATAAAATAAAGCAGAGACAAAACATGCAATAAAACTTCTCGCCGAAGTGTAAAATATGATATAAATGCGACTCGAAAACTTCGCATTAAAAAGTTTCAAAACAATCGGTGAAAATATGTATTGTCACATTGCATATTAAAACTATATGGCCGATTGCGACGGTCATGTTTACAATAATAACAAGGTAAGATATCGTTTTAATCCGGCGTAAGTAATGACTTCCGGAACAATGCATGCATGAACGGGTGAATTAAACATGGAAAGGAAAATAGTTTGCACTTTACCTTGCTTTCTTGGCTTCTACGCAAAACATTGTCTATATTTCCGGGGCAAAATACCACACACTATGACAATCACAGATGGACCGCAATTAAATTAAATAATATCACAATACATGTTGCAGGTTCATGCTACCTGTACCTGGCGAGCGTGAAGTGTAAACAAGTTAATACCACGCGGCCATCTTGCAATATGCCCAACGAACGCAAAGAAAATTAATGATTTTGTATATTCAACACCCGATTATCTACTAATAAATACTAAACACATTAGCAATAACTAAATGCAGGCGATGGACGATCGAAATGAACGCGATTTACCGAATTACAAATTCAAAATAAAACGATAACAGCCGCGAGAAACACGTCCGGCACAACTAACGACAGACACAAAACTCACCGAGCTCACCGCGCAGTCAGCGGTGGCGTACGACAACACGCGATAATGATGCGCGCACGCTGCAACAAACAAAGTCGAATGTAAGATAGGCCACCAGCAGAGCGAGACGTGAGTGGATGGCAATAACAACACACGACATTTTTGAACGATGCTATTCGCATGGCAATAAAAAACTGAAAATCGTATTCAAAACAAATACAATTCTCGTATCAAATACCTACGTTTGCTGATAAATATAAAATTAATCAATACAAGTCAATTTTAAGATTTTTATAAAACCTGCATTTATGCGCCATCTGAGGAGACTTTTTAGTACCTCCCAAAAATACAAAGTGATGCAAGCAGCGTGGTGTGCATATGTAGCAGTGCGGTATTGTCTATGAGTCAGTGAGTGCACCACCCAGTCTAATTAAACAGCAATTTTGTACACAAATACAATAAGTTCAACCTGTACTCTCTTTGAAGATAACCAAAAATATCAAGATCCAAGTGAAGAAGGACGCAAAACATTGAGGCACAGTGCCAATCCTCAATCATGACGCTCATGGAATTCGTCGGGTGTACGTTGCTGGCGTTCGGTCCACCTTTTTCAATGTTCATCGTAACAATCGCCCACGATCCAGTGCGAATCATTATCATGATCGCGGCCGCCTTCTTCTGGCTGCTCTCACTGCTCACCTCTTCACTCTGGTGGTTCATAGTCGTGCCCCTGCGCGGGGAACTCGCCTTCGGCCTTGTATTCTCCGTGATCTTCCAAGAAGCATTCCGCTGTCTCACCTATCTCATCATTCGACGCGCCGAAAACGGTCTGAAGAAGATCACAGATGACAGCACCCAACTGATTGAAAACAAACACATCTTATCCTATGTGAGTGGTTTTGGCTTTGGCCTCATCAGTGGGATGTTCTCACTAGTCAACGTGGTCGCCGATTCCATTGGGCCCAGTACCATGGGCTTAAAATCGGGCAGCGAACAGTTCTTCATTACCAGCTCAGCACTGTGCTTATGCTTCATCCTGCTGCACACATTTTGGAGCATCATCTTCTTTGATGCACTGGACACTAGTAATCTGATGCAGATTGTGTATGTGGTTTTGACTCATATGCTTGCATCATGTATTACATTATTCAATAGGTATGAGGTGTATAGTGCTACCTTACTGCCAATCTACTGCATTCTGGTGGTGACTGCAATGAATGCATTTAAGGTAGCTGGCGGGTCAAGGAGCTCTCTAAAAAGGGTCCTATTGTGTGCTTGAATAAGATTAATTAAAAATTAAATTATGTATAGCTTTTATATCAACTTATTATGTAATATGTATTAATTTTAATAAAATTAAATCATTCCTTAACCATAAATGCTACTGGCGAAATCATCATGATCATCATCGTGGTCATCATCATCATGATCCGCATCTTTGCGTTTACGTCCGTAAGCACGTTTGCTTGTAGTAGGCACCGTGTCGGTCTCGCCATGCAGCAGTGAATTCCTGTATGTGAGTAACGGCTGCCAATCTTCACCGCGACTTGTGGGCATGCCTGGAGAAATGCGCCTGTCCAAGAAAGTCAACACTACCTTCTTATCGGGTTTTAGAAGCTTGTTGGTGAACTCCATTAGGATTTCCAAAAATGGTAAGTTGGGTGGTGGTCCCGTGGGGTCATCAAGGTTTTCTCCTCCTCCAACAGCAAAGAGAATACCAGCCCGATGAAGTGCCGTAATCGCCTCACGGTTTTTCAATGCGTCCAAGCCAAACGAAAGCGCGAATCTTTTCGCTAATTCCTTCAAGCTAAAGAAATCTTCGTGTTGTTTGGTGATCCGTCCACCTACGCCATTTCCAATCTGTTGGAACATCATATTCAAACTAAGACACATTGTTAGCGCACAGTTAACTTTGTTTGTTTCTCTCGCTTTGCTCAATGTCGCCTTGATAATATCCCCGTATTCATTGTAATATTTAACATAATGTCGAAACACCTCTGCGCCGGCTTTCGTCGGCATGATATTGTATACAATCAACTTGCAGTAAGCGGCCAGGAAGTTCCTGCGCTTGTGCAACCCTTCGATATGATGTTCATCATGTTCAGAATCTTGTTGCGGAACAAACACATAACTCTGCACGAATTCATTCAAAAGCAACTGCAGATTCTTATCCGGTTCACAAGATAATTCTGTGAGATGCGACGATGTCGTGTGCAGTTGATCACTAAACGTAACCAACAGATCACAGAGGCAGATGTATGCCTCTTCACGAATCTCAATGTACGGTGATAAACGGATGAGTTCCTGTGCGGCGTCAATGAATTCATTCAAACGATCGCGTAACTCTTGAATTCCTGGACCTGTAACACCTCCAGCTTCATGGGTGGCTTCCAGACTACGTAAACCCCAGAGTAAGCAGTAGAAACAAGAACTCAGACAGTATTTGAGCGCTTCGAATGGAAGCGGACTGTCGATTTCCTTCACATCCTGGAATAATGTCGACCAGATATTCCATTGGTTCAAATTGTGGTTGGCGTAAAATACAGAAACTTTCTTTAACGAGCTTACTACGTTGAATGTTTCGTCGGCGTTTGGGGTTTCTTCCCCCAGGATTAAATTACGCCAATCATCAATAGCTTCTTTATAGGAAGCTACAATAACGTCTATGATGGTGGATCTAGAAACATCGCAGCGTGTATAAATAGCGTGGCCTTCAGAGCAAAGGATTTCCAATGTCTTCGCACAGGTTTCTAATACCTCGGGTTCATGGTGTACTTGGGCGATGTGTTTTAACTTTGCGAGTAAACTTTGTAAAGATCCTTCTTGGCGACCACTCGTGTACATATCCAAGTCAAAATATTGAGGAATACTCAGTAGATTGGCTAGTTTTTCAGCATCTGCGGAATATTTATCTAATAATGGTGGTAATGTAACAATAAAATGCTCTGTGAGCTTTTGTTTATCTTCGGTTGCTTGTTTCACTTCTTTGAGTGATGTTACTTTTCGTGTATTACCCCGTCCAACGGGAGCTTCTCCTGTAGCGGCTTGTTTTACACAACAAACCATGATTTCAATCAGACTTGTTTCTTGACGATTATCTAAGGGTTCCTCCATTGGGCCAGGTTCTTCCAGCAGCAGATCGGTCATGCATTCCCAGTCTTTCATCATTGTGTTAGACTCTATTAAAGAATCAACTAAATATGCTGCGTGCTCGTGCAGTTCAGATTCGATGAAGAACTGAACAAGATCACGAATGAATGGTGTGTTTGCAAGTCGACGTTTACCGCGTTTTGTTTTTCCTGCGTCCATGTCAACAGGTTGGAAAAGGCGTTCGTTCAGAAACTCCCCAGCAGCTTGCGCAACCGCACGATGTGAAGAATACACCAATTCATAAACATGTTCACAATCCTTATCAGTAAGAATTTCATTGTGATGTTTCAGGATGCTTATAACAAGACGTACTGCTTGTACAGCCACATCATATTCTTTATCGAGCGTCATCGCGACAATACGGTCTTTAAATTTATTAGTAAACAACTCTAGTTTACCTTTTAGTTCTTCACTTGCGTACAATGGCTGTAAAGCCTGCAAACATCTCAAGCGTACTTCTCCAACTTTATCATGCAACGTCCAACCTATGTACTTTAGATATGAATCGTCGAGGAAGTTGGCGTGGAACTTATGCATCCATACACCTATTTCAGTCATTGCTATGGCTCTGATCTCCGGTAGTGTGTCACGGTACCTATGAACAAACACAGATTTGAACATGTATGTGAGCATGTTTTTGATTTCATCCATGTTCTCTTCTAGTTCCTGCCGCTTGCCAAGCAGACTCTCAAGACGGTCGGAAGCGCGTTTCTCGCGGGTTTTTTGACGCTCTGCTTCATATTGGCGTTGGGTGTTGTCGAGATTTACTGAGACGGTTAACGCGACGTCGACTAACGCAGTCATTAATTTCATCGCGCCGAGAGTTGCTGTATGTCGAAATGCGCGTACTTGCGAATCGGATAAACCAGTCAGAAGTGAAATGATGTTATCCATTAAAAATTGATCGTAAATAATTGAATATTGGCACTGTTTGACCAAAGTTTGCACAAATTCGCAATAATTCTGGCGGAATTTCTTCCACGATTGCCCAGTCATTGTAAGCGGGTACTCCCCGGATTCTTCGTCAAATTCCTCAGTCATTTTGCGAATAATTGCAGCGTGATCCATGTTCAGCTGCATCTGCTGTGTTATTCGACCCTTGCAGCCTGCTGCATTGATGAAAAATTGCATAAGTGCAATCAAAGCTTGTTCCCTCTCACCCTGTTGAATATAAATAATTAAATACATTTTCTACTCCTGCTTATAAAAATAGCTTAGATTTTGAGAATTACCTTGTAACTCTCAATCCAATCATCAACAATGTTGGTCAGAGCAACTTTGCAATTCTTTATGATGGTGTACAGTGAAGTATCATCATCCAAATGATGAAATTGTTGATCCACAAGGGGTTGGTGGTTCTTGCGGCCCGGTGGACGGCCGCGTGGGCGTCCACGTGTAGTCGTGCCGCTGGTGGTGCTGGTGGGGCTTGCTGCCGTAGTCACGACGGGCGGTTGATGCCCACCGCGTGCCTTGGAGCGTGTGACTCGGCGCAAACCTGGTGTTGGAGGTGATTCAAACATGCCATCAGAGGAGGAATTTGCATGCTCGGTATAATCATTGCCGCCGCCGTAGCCATAGTTACCGTAGGTGTCCGGCTCGGTGACGGCGGGCGTCATCGGACTATCGTACTCCGGTGGCGGCTCATCCATACGAATGCGTTTTCCGCCTCTGCGATGCATCTTGACGCCGTTGTTGCCTACGATGTAAACCAAAACGTGCAATCTAAAAAGTATTTGATTAGTGTACTCTAATGATGATACTACACGGGTACTTACGTTAATAATAAATTACAAGCACAGTTAATTAATGATTTGGTGATTGAACGTTGAATTACGCAGCCATGTCTCGACTTCTGCCGCCTTTGGCTTGTCAACAAATAAAAGGCGGTTAGTATGGAAACGCTTACAGTTTGACGTAGGCAACCAGTCGCACACATTCTACAATAAACTCAAATTAAAGTTTATCAAATGCGTTAATCTGGAAGTAAATTTGCTGAAAATTTAATTTAAGTTATTACAGACGCATATTGTGTTTGCAATTTAATTTAGCGGGAAAATAGATCCGCTCTTACGCTTTCATGCCGCAGGAATGCAGCGCCCCTTCTATAAATCCTGAAAATCAAAGCGACGCAAAATAACTCGCCCCTTGAGCGCTTTCCTCATTCATTCAGGGACAGCGTACCCGCTAAGTTAGCAGTAAATTGTTACCTAATCGTTAAATAAAAGTTAATAAAAACTTGATATAAACTGTGCGGGGTACGACTTATTTAAATTCATCATGGCAAAATGCATAGCAACAATTAAAGCAATACTCACGCGACTAGTGTTTGCGGCTCATGGTTTTCTTGCTATTTGGCAAGTGACCATTTTTAAAAGCAATACGTTTTACTGGTATCTCAGTTCGCCTATATTATTGCTATTCTTTGAGGGAGTTTTTACGCTGACCATTAAAGAAAGTCAGGAATGGAAATGGTACGTAATCACTGCATTAACATATTAGTAATGTTTCAAATCTAAAATGCATAAACATATAAATAGATTTGATTTTAGTAATGGCATGCATTTATTTTGCGCGCGCCCTCCTTTGAGATGGCCACAATAAAACATCAATTTGTCACTCAATTTCCTTTATTATCGCTGTCTCACTGTCCCTAACGATAGAAAGTTGTTCATACCGGGTGTCTATGAAACTGCGTGTAGTAATGGTCATAACTATTTATCTCTTCAGTTTCAAACACTTTGTTTATATCACAATCGACCTAAATGCTAATTTTCAACACCTTCTTCACACAAATACGGTGAAATAATCCAAGGCCACACAAATCGGGGACAAATATTTAGTCATTCTGACAATTTTTATTTACTAGGTTTTGTCCATCGGTGTTTCTGTACCTGGTGAGCATCGTCCCTGCAATTTGGCTCCTCGAACTTGATAAAGTCGACCGACGACTTCGCATTAGAGAAGAAGCGTTCAACCTGACCGCCACTGCTAATAATTTTAAAGAGATTAACAATCTAATCGGGGTTGAAATTAAATTACCCGAAATTTCCCTGAGCACCGAAACGTGGATAACACTCATCGAGCAATTTCTGATGCTTATTCTCATCATCGGAAGATGGATGCTGCCAAAGGGTGATTTAACGCGCGATCAACTCAGCCAACTTTTGCTGGTGTACATCGGGACAGCCGCTGATATAATTGAATTTTTCGATTCTTTCAAAGACGATAAGATTGCTTCCGAACCAATATTGGTATTGTTGACCCTAGCAATATGGTATATAACCACGACGCCATCTTAAATTTGTCATATTCACTCTCGTTTTTAAGGTCGTGGAGTTTGATGCAGTTTACAGTGGTCCTCACAGCTACCAAAGCAAGAAAATCACGACTTAGCACAACAAAAACTGCTACGAAAAGGTATAGCTGATTATAGGCTACCGTAAATCATTCTAACCTTGTTTAACCTTTAACCTTGTCTGTAGTACTGCAAGTTGCTGCTGCAGCATTGATGTATGGGGTATTGCCCTAAACATCGCCCTTCAAGACGCGCCATTTCTAGTCTTTCGACTATTAATTATCACCCACTTCAACATCATATCCTATATGAACGTATTTTTCACGTGCAAGAACACCCTGGTGATTCTCCTTCAACTTTATCGCCTCTACGTTGTTCATTCAGAAAATAACAAACCTAAGAAGAAGTCCACAACAGACTTTGAACTCACTGATATTTCTATCATTTCCAAAATGGATATGTACGACACAAGTAAACAAAAAAGGAGACTCAAACATAAACAAAACAAACAACCGAAGAATAAATCAAAATCAAAATCGCACCGAACCCACAAACCTTGCACTCCAGTGCAGAGTCAATGCGAAACCGATGAAGTTTCCAACGACTCCGAAGATGAACGTATAAAGAAGAAAATGAAACATCATGCCAAGAAGGATACTGGCTATTCCACAGCCAGTTCACATGCGAGTACGCGTAGAGCCCATCAAAAAGAGAAACACGCAAGTCGAAATAAATCAAAACAAAGGACACTTAAAAGATCAGATAGTGTTGCATCACAATCAGAAAGTGAAAACAACTCATCAACCGAACCAGAAGCTCCACGTGATAATCAAAAGACAAGAAAGAAGAAAATTACCAAAGTAATCACCACGAGCAGTGCAAGCACAAGAAGTGGTGACTCTGATTGACGCCATCAGCTCGCCATCATGGCCATCTTCTGTCTCTATATATTTATCTTCATCTGCGCCCTCTTCTTCATATGGTGCGGTATCAATACTGAAGGATTAGTGATTGCGCGGCTCTATAAAAAGAAACACTTAGAAAACACTTCCCATTATCTGCACTAGAACAGAACTATTAAGTTTATTTCGTTTCGAGCACATTCTTCAAGAAATCAGAGATGTTTTCCTGTGAAGAAAGATCGTCGAGATACTTAACCAGTGATGATTCAGATACATCATTAGCAATGCAATACATAACACAGGCATCTTTCAAAATGCCCACTGCTTTAACCACGTTGTCTTGCTTGTCGGCATTTGTCCAAGCATTGCATTCTTTAACATTGTTGACGTACATCAGCACATAGTGTAGATTGTGATGTGCACACGTAGCAAAATCTTCATTACCTCCTTCATCGTGCGGTTTCTTACGACGTCGGCGTTTTAACATTGATAACCCAGGGAGTTTTTCCAGGCGTTTGGTTACAGGATTAAAGTGGGGCTTTTCGTGCATTCCGTCGACGGGCCACTGCTTCAGCGAGGATTTCGTCTTTCTAGTCTAAAATATATTTATTAGTATCTTAGAATATAATTAAAAAAGAAATTAAAACTATAGCAGAACGTACTGTTTCTTTACTGTTATTGCAAGTGTTAGTGATTTCCTTGAAATTACTTGAAGATGAGGCGCGCAATGGCTTCTTCAATTGTGCCTGTCGTTTTGGATTGCGTCGTGGCGGTGGTCTCTCCGCCATTGACTTGGCGATATTCCCTTTCCTCTGTTTGTACTCCTTGACGAACAACACCTCCCGATCTCTATGCATGCTTTGGTGATCATCAGTTACCTCTTGTTGCGACGTGGGTAACAGATTTGGTATCACCAGGGATTTCATATCGATGAATTCTGTACCTTCAGGGTGAGTCTCTGTCTCCTCTGGTGCATTTTTAACCGCAGGTGTTGTATTCGTTGCAATGAAAGGAAAATCAATGGTTGAATTATTGGTAAAAAACGGGAAATTATCCAGCGTGTCTAATTCGTTGCAGGAACCACACCAGGCCTGCCTTAAATTAGCAGCCATTTTTTTCCTAATGTTTGAATCACTAAATTCAGTGGTAAACAACATGTGTCACCATGACAACACGGGCTATGATGAAAAACAATTTTCATTTCTATATTTAAATCAATCGCGGCGGCTATGAACTGATAAATGTATATTTTATATCATTCATATTATTTACTTAAAAAAATAGAGAGGAAAAGGTTGTTGTCGTCCCTCCTGGCAAAGTAAGCAAACGAGAACGAAAATGACCGTGAAAAGTGTTTATGTTCTGTTTACGCTTTTGGCGCCGTTGAAAAAGTTGAAAAACTTCCACAGGAATTTAGTATTTTTGTATTTCGAAACCGTTTTATTGATGTATGCCTGTGGAAATTATGAAAGACGAAAAACTAATACGCAAAATGGTGGCAGGCAACTGCACGTGGCGCTCGCTGGGTGATTTGCAGCCACTTTTTGGGCGAAAGCTTTTAAGTTATTTATACCGTCGATGATGCAAGTGTGCGCGCGCGCGTTTTTGCTCTCGGTCGTCCATGAACCACGCAGCTCGGTATCGGGACGCTCTTGAAATACACATATAACACGTCTTTGCGTCATGGCCTTGCCGCGTTTCGGGAAACTTCCACACTCCGCATTCCTGCATTCCAGCAAAACAAACAAGAAGAAGCTTTGTCTCAGTATGCGACGAAAAACACGCACTCGTTACCGCCACGCGCATAGAATGCGAAATGTATACAAATTCGAATGCTGAATGAAAACTAATTTTAACGCGCGCTCGTGAATGAACGCATATTAAAACCGACAATGAAGCAAATATTTATTGCACAGTCTCATGGCCGCCCCCGCCATCAATAAAAACACATAGTATTTTGATTAACCATATTTGGTATCACAAAATTAAAATTTTGCAAACAAGATGAATGAATGGTGTATTATCGTGTTAGTGCAAGTGTTTCCTGTCTATGCTGTGACGGCATATCGCGCGGGGCACACACAATTGTGACGCACACAAATTTGAGTAATGTGTGCCGGTAAAGGCAGGTGTGCGTGCGTGCGTGTCGCGGCGGAATGCCAAACAAACCAATGCGATGACCAAACTTTAAAAACTAACATCTATCGATATCAATTTTCCAAACATAAGAATCTATTTGCAATGTCAATGTGATAGTTCAAAAAACTTTTATATTTCATAGTGAAAACGCAACTTAATTCAATGTATCCTAAGTAATGTGATTAGTTGCTGAGTTTACACTTTTTTGTATGGCTGGATGTTGCCAAGTTATTTCCGATTTTTCGCACAATGAATCACTCAGCAGGAATGCGTCGAAAATCTAATCATCACAATGCGCGTGCATTGTCCCTCACCACACCTACCCTCGCCGTATATTTGCGACATTTTTGTGTGGAATACGCTAATAAGCACTGCAGCGACTTGCATCAATCGTCGTTTTGCCGGTGACGCTTGTTGTTTAGGACTTGTTGAGCTATATATTTTTCACACGCTCACCGCCAGCGCCGCATCGGGTGGGACAGCCGTATATAAGCGAGGCGTCGGGACGCCTGCGACGCTTACAACTTATATGGTTACCGCGACTACAACCGCCGCCGACTCAGCAATACTTGGATACAGTGTTAAACTAAACCCAATTGAAAGTGAATTCGGCAAGTGCCTTCAGTTTTCTTCCGTTTTAAAGGTTTCCACTCAAACAAATATGCAAGCGGGCTGCGTGGAACGAGTCTTTGTGGTAAGTGCCGAAAACAAATTTAAGTACAATGTTGTAATCATATTGCGCTTTTAATCCGATTACAAGTATCGGTCAACTTTTAACGCCATTTTGACCTTTGATAAAATAATCCGCGTCATATTTTCTACGCAATTCCGCCTACAAGACATTGAAAGTGTCCGAAGGTCCCGCCGCGGAATTTCCTCCCAACATTCCAAACGATTTGGAAATATTTTCGGTCGCATAGCGGTAGGCTCGCCCCGGTGCTGCCGACAGCGGCTGTGACGCGCATATTTTGGCACAACTAAGCTTCAATTACGTCACACGATAAACTTAGAAAAACTGAACGCAGATGGTCATTTTTTTTCTCCGTTTGAAGCAAAATGCCACATTTGGACATGCTTAAAATGATTGCTGTTTGTTGCAGGACTCGCCTTTGAGCGCAAAAGTAGCGCTCTTCAACAAACAGGCAAACTCACATCAACAAAAACAAGCGGTTAATCCGTTCTCCAATGGCAAATGCGTTGGTAACATGGCCAAACCGCAGTTCTCAAAGGACGAATATGGCCGCCCTGCAAAAGGCTCACTTTCAGAAAGCAGAGCGTTCAAGGCCACTATCGAGATTTGCAAGGAGATGCTCGAGTGTTGTACGATAATCAACGACTACGGTGAGCCCCTCTTCGATCCCGAGGAGAAACCCGACGACTGCAGGAAAGTGATTAGTTTCGGCGCCCTGTTTCAAGTAAGTCGAAAACTTACAATATACACGTGCGCACTCACAGCACGCGCGAGCTCTAAATAAAAATATTGGCAAACAATCAACAGTCTGACTAACTGCCTCATATTGTGTGTGTGTAGATCTACACGGTGATCTCCGACAAATTGGTGGGAATGCTGTTGCGCGCCCGCAAGCACAAACTCGTCGACTTCGAAGGTGAAGTCCTCTTCCAACGGCGTGATGACCACGTGCCTATTATTCTCCTGAAGCCAATGAGTGAGATCAAGCGCATCTTTGAGGAGAAAATCAACATCGCGCGAGAAGGCCTCAAAGCGAATGAAGCCGAAAACTGCTGACGTCACGCGCGTCGTCCATCATCTAATTTAAGGCCTCACACCCCCAGACCAAAGACTATTTATTTCGTAACGGGAAGCCACACAACAGGGTAGTCAATAAGTATTGTCGTTTCTCTCATCACCATCGATCGCATCACCAGCGAGTCTCATCCGTATTTTATACTTTTCAAACCCCCTAGTTATGTAAGTTGTAAATATATACATTTTACGTTCCACCGAAACTGCCCTATATTAATAAATTTCATTGAAGCAGCACCATTCGTCCTCCTCGACATCGTAGACATAATTGCACTTACACGTAAATTGTTAAATATTACATTTTTGATTAAACTCTAACGTTCAACAACATTGCTAATATATGTTTGATGCGCACTTCGGGGAATAAATTAAATAGCTGGGCGGGCGCCCATTGCCGCAACCCGGTGTTGAACCAACATGTTCATAATAAGGAGATCTCTTTGGCTTGACGTTGGATGCACATGGAATTGTGATCAGGATATTGGTTGTCGAGCGTACCGTGCGCGTCACGTTTTCCGAGGTGGTGGCGTCGGGGCGCTGCTGCACAGAGTGCTCGACGCGTGCCGCTCCAGAGATGGAATGTTTTCGTATATGGTGCGTGGAATATCATCAGGCGGCCTATAAACAAATTAATCTCTGAAAATTAATCTCTCTCTCCATTGAAGAGTATAGAAATTGACCTTGGCAGCAGAGGTTTCTTCGTTTCGCTGCGTCCCACTGGCGTCGGTGTAGGGGCAGCTAAACTGTAATGCGGGTTCATCGTAGAGGAACGATTAGTAGGGTAACCGACACTGGCGCCTCCACCAACTGGTGGCAGAGCGCTGCTTAAATCGCTGGTGTACCGAATGTTTGTGTATTCCCGACCTGCCTCGCGTGATTTCTACATAAACAAACACCAATTAATAATCAACAAACCTGAATTATAAAAATACCTTATATAATTACCTGGTCAGCTTTCATGCGTACCGTGGTTGTTTCGATATGATGTTTGACTGCAAGATAAACGAACTTATATTGCGCTTCAGTTTGTACCATTCCTGAGCGCTGGGAGCGCACCATTTGCACAGCGCGTTGAATATCAATCTCACAGTCAAGGCCGTGCTTTTTCAACTGGTCGAGAATCATATCAATCACAATAAATGTGCCTGTGCGTCCTATTCCCGCTGAGCAATGTACCAATACAGCACCAGGTGGTTCATTGGCAGGCAAATCTAAAGCCAGCTGCTCTTGACACATGTTTACGTCCTGTAGGAAATTAAGGACAATGCCCGGATCGGATGGCACGCCATGATCAGGCCATGCCAGGAAATGATAATGGTATACTTTGCGTTCGCTGCCGGAATCCACCTTGCTGACGATGAACTCCCGCAGCGTGTAGTGCACTTTAGTTGATTCAGCCACGTTCTGCACGTGTATATGGCCGTATTCTTTGGCGGAGTTTACTTCCGGCCAATAGCGCGCGCATTTGTTCTTTCCTCGCTCGGTTTCCTTGGTGGTCATTACGATAACACGACTGTTTTCCTGCCAAACCATTTGCCAAAAATCGGCGACAGTCGAAGGTAAACATCCTGCAATGGCCGTCAGGCATTAATTTACTGATTGGAAACTTATTTAATAATCAATCGGTCACCTTGAGTGGCGATATAAACTTTATTGCTCGCTTCGTTCTCGTTTGAGCTGCCTGTCTCGTCCACCTTCCAACGAATGTAATTTGCATTAATGTAATCGGATCCTGGGACGCTGTGGTCGATGTCTGTCAGCTTCACCCTTGTCTCGTCGACTGTAAAATTTCAAATAAGTATTAGACAATTCCTTTTAATATTAAAATCATTGTTGCACATACAAGGTAGAATGTTCTTATAGCGATTTTTGTTCTTGCTCTCCGGTTTGCTGCCCTCAAGTCGCGAGAACTGCTTCTCTTGCTCCTGATGCTGCAGCGACTCGAACTCCTCCCAGAACCCACCCATCTTTCCAATCGTGTCATTTTTCTCTTCCTGCAACTGCTTCACGCGATTGTGAATACCACTGGCGTTGATGCGCGTAGCATTAAAGGGCTGCTTCAGGTGAACTACAGTTCCAGTGGTTTCCACCATCGGGTTCATCTTGTAATGCTCGATGAGGTCCGAAAGGCAGTCAAACGCCTTGCCGCCCCCAACATCGTATCGATTATCCTGTTGTGAAAATTTAAAAAGAGAAGAAGCAAAAACTACATAAATATCTGTGTTATTTACCTGGGTCCGAATCATCACATGTGTTACTTTATCATCAGTGCGGACGGAAAGGACAAAATCCCCCGGCTTCGATTGGCTCTCACGGACCAGGAAGCTGCCATTCTTGCCACGCTCCAAAATAAGCTTTTCCGCTTCCTTGCCGGATAGATGACCATGGAACCATCTGTGCACAAACAATTGCAACAAATGAATCAATTGCTATTTATGTAAAAGCAGAAAATACAATTTTCGCACTTGTAAAATATGAGCGCCTTGCGCAACTCGTGAAAAGCGGTTGAGATAATAATCTGGGCTGCGGGGACGGCGACGATCGAGACGTCGATCACCTGTGGCTTTAAACGTTCGCCAGTCATCACTCTTCTCGTGGCCGCCCACTCACCGCGACTAAACGACGCAATTCACTCTTTCTGTATTCATATTTGTCCCACTACGCAAACAACACGCGAAGGATTGTTACAGTTTCCGCGTCGATGTTTATATTCCGAGTTTGGCTTTAACTTTGACAAGAAACCAGTAATGGGGTCAAGTGCACGCACGCCGTGTCTCTCCTTATAAGTGCAATGAATCATTAAGCAGTGATACGCGTAATACGCATCCGAATGCGACCGTGAACAATTTTTATTATGCAATAAAACACTGCCCACGATGATGTCGGATTTCGTCGACATGGTGCATCGCGAGCGCATTGTTATTGCGCACAAGAGGCGCAAATCACTTCGGTAAACAATGGCGCGATCGAAATTGTCATTGAGCGACCGATCGACCGCAGGCACAAGGCTAAGCGCGGACACACGTAGTAATAAACAAAACGAACACGCTGTACGCGTCTAATTAATGATTCCTTACTCGTGTGTAGTGGTGATGTTGGGCGAATTCTGATGATGATTAGTCGGTGGCGGCGTTACCTTCCCCCAGCTCACACGCCGTTTGATCGCTTTGAAGTAGCCCATCTTGAAATCTTCAATGTGCGGTGGTAACTTTCGCTTTTATTTTTAGTCTATGGCACTCATTGTCACCGAATTACAATCTCGCGACGTGATGCGGTTCCGTGTTGTCGCTCGTCGCGGCTAATTGCGAATGCGAAGTTCGCGGTCGCGGCGCGATTTGTAATTCCGAGGTGACGCTCACGCTCACAGTGAGTACGTTTAAGCGAGCAGCAGGTATTGACGAGCTCTCTGCCAACGCAAAAGCAAGCACATGTCGTGAATAAATGTACGGCACGACTCGAATCGATGCATCTCTAAGGTGCACTTTGAAATCCCCGGCATATTTAATCACACGGCGTCATTGGCGAATTTGCTTCATTTGAAATGCAAACATAGCGCATCGTATTTATACCGGCGTGTTAATCATTGGAGAATGAAGAAGCGCGTGTGCAAACAGGCATGTGATCACAGGTTAATCGACTCACTGTTAACCATCTTGTTATCAAGCAGTTTATTGTTGATTTTAATGCTTAAAGTAAATCACAACAATTCGCAAATGGAATTTACACGCTTAGCATAGCAATGTCATTGCAAAATCGTGCCGCACCGATGAAATTAATTAAATAATTAAACGCAATTAAATAATCATTTATCCCAACCAACGCATAGTGAATCGTTAAATGATATGCAGAAACCAGTGTGATTTTGTTAGTCATTCACAATTATTGCAATTATAATCAATAAAATGAGTGTAATGCTATGCTTGCAGCGCCATTTTCTTCAAAGAAATGCAAACAATGAATATAATAGTGTTGTTTCAACACAATACAACAGTAACCATTGTTTTCCTGCACATGTATAACTATAAAATTAGAAAACATTACCTCTCTGTGGTTGGATCTGCACAATTCATGGGATACTTCAATTCAATTATTTCTCCATTCTTTTCCTTCAGCTGGTCTTGATTCTCCATGTAAAACTGCACCAACTCGGACAGGGTGGCAAATGTTTCACCTCCATACAGGTCATAGCAATCACCAGTGTTTTGTATTTTTATATGTGTCACCTCACCATTCCTCCTACAAATAGAGTAATCAGTAGTGTAATCAGGCATTTGGGAATAACATGTTCTATTTACCTAACTGATAGAGTAAAATTGCCAAACTTTGTTGAACTGTGCCTGACCAGAAAGCTGCTGTCTTTTCCACACTCCAGGAGCAGTTTCTCAGCCTCCAACCCTGTGATGGTGGGCCAAAACCACCTGAAACAAATTGTAAATTACAGGTATGTATTTCCCATAATGCACACCAAATGCAACAAGCAATCCCAGTGCAGCGAACTCGTTTATTGAACGCGCTTGACTGCTGTTTGCAGGAGGCAACGGACTCACCTTCTTGAACTCATCTCAATTTTTGCTTTGCGTAGTCGTCATTTAAAAGCACGCCGAATTCATCATCCACATTCCGTATCACAACTAAACTCACAATCACAACGCCAATTCACAAGCAGAGCTCAAAACCGCGTAGGCACATTTGCAATCCGTGCTCACAACCAAACTTACAACGCTAAAAAACAGCGAACTACATACATCCCGTCGGCCATCTTGGTTTTTGTCTTTGTATTGGATGCTAGACGAATTTTGTAGTCTTTTATTTTTTACCTCTTAATTTAATCCAATTCAATCCCGTAAATACCATTATAAATTTGTGGGATTAAAACTGAGCCAGGTGCAGGAGCACTGGACAAATTACATTACATTGAACTTGTCGCAGGAAAACAAATGCAGATATGTGATAACATGGTTGCATAGGTTATACAATTGTTTATTAAATTACTACTATTCACATGTGCATATGTAACTACAAATCAAATGGACGTACTTCATTAAGGTGCAATTGTTTTTGCACTGTCCGTTAATAGATCAATATTTGAACTTCCTTCTGTTAAGAGTTTCTGCTGGTCGAGTAATTCTCTCTGCTTCGCTTCTGGCCGCAGCACCGTGAAGTATCGATACCATCTCAAACCAAGATGCCCCACACCGTACAAAGTAATACCAATGCAGGTAAGCACGACACCTTTGTGCAATCTGTCAAGAAGTATGTTCGATTTTGCGACTTTCTTCATTATTATTCAGTATTTTGGTGTAAATTCATCGGTAAATAAAAGTATCGCCAACGTTACGAACTTAACCTTTCAAAGCAAACAAAGTTGCCTACACCAACCTGTCACTGTCAGATACCTGTGCAAAAAACAGCTGAGCAAGTTTGAAAATGTACTAATCTTTCTAGAAATTCCTGTAAACTTGGTGCTCCATGGATTTCTACAATTTATTCAAAGGTTTTTTTGGTATACCTAACTCAGTTCCACCAAGGGAGTTTCGGTAATATATTTAGAAATAATCCACTTATGTCTCAATACTCTAATACACTTTAGATTTGATGAAACTGATATCAACAGCCAAAATGAGCAACCTCAAGAAGACCCCAGCTGGTCCAGTTTCATGGGCAGTCCACATGAGTTTCATAAGTTTGTTGAAGAACAAATGCAGCATATAATGAGTTCCTTTGGTATGGGCAGACATGTGACGCCTTTTGATGATTTCAATACTCAAGAAACACCACCAGGCTCATTAAGGGAACAGTATTTGAAACCTGGTTTTGATCATCCCTCCACTAGTAAAGCAGATACTGACCTGGATGGTAGAGTGAGTATAGATGAGTTGGATACAGTTCTAAAACCATCAGGAGAAATGCAACCATACACAAAACCAATCATCAAAGGTGGAATGCACTTCTTTGGTCAGTCAATCTCCACCAGAACTGTGAGGAAGCCTGATGGTAGTGTGGAAACGACAAGAACCGTCACCGATAATGCCGGTAATCGAGAAACGACGGTGACGATGCGCGACAAAAACACTGAGCGCACAATTACGACGCGAATAGATGCAAACGGCGATGAAACAAAAGAGGAGAAGTTTGTTAATCTCTTAGACTAGGCGATATCAGTGTAGAAATATATTGAAAGCATCCTCTTGCATGTTATACAATAGTAATTTTTAAAATTACATACAATAAATAATAATGGTGATGTGAAAACAGACATAAATATATATATATGAGCAGACCATTTCATCATATTCATAAGAGAAAAACAAAAATCAAACACAGTTGGAATGTCTCACATTATGCACGATGTGCGCGCGCGTGTGGTGTGTGGTTTAAAGCTGCTTTCCATTTGTCTCAAAGTGCACTTGTACCTGTCAAAGACAATCGGATAATTGACCACAGACGCAGCACTCTACTTCGGAAATCATTTTTGGCTACAATTCGCAAGCTAACCGGTGGAGAGTTGATCCGATATGCATTGCTCATTCCGACGGCGTGAGATCTTTCTCTGTTTCGCCCTCATTTAGCAATTGCATGAGTAATTCATGCAGTGGTTCGAATGCTTTTCTACTGCCGGCGTTTGTCAGCAGGAGATAGTCATGCATATCATGATGGCTGATGCAGCCATCAGGTTGGATGAAACCTTTATCAATGGATATCACCTCTACTTTGGCTATTGTTGGGAACTTGTTTTTGAGCATCTCATTCACCTCACTTAGTTTGTCTCTAATTGAGTTTGGATGCTGACCCCTGGGTAGCAATGTCTAAACAAGTTTTAAGTCAATATTAAATTTATATGATGCCCATTTTCGACTTTATTACTTACAGGTATAACAATATATGCTTCTGGTAATTTTTCCCTGATGCAGTTGACAACTTCGACGATGCCGTCGAAGATTTCGCCCGCGGTGTTGCGGTGATTGTTGGTGCCCACATGTAATACGACAACCCTGGGTTTCACGTTGTCCAACTCGCCGTTTTGCACCCGCCACAGAACATTCTCAATCAAATCACGGTGAATGCCGAAGTTAAGGCAGTGCAATGGTGCGAACAGTTCGTTCCAGATATCGGTGTGTTGTAGCGCTTGCAGGATAGAATCCCCAATAAATATCACATCGGCGTCTTTTTCTCTAGTCTCGGACAGGAATCTATTATGCTAGATGTTTGAATAAACAATAACTGGCTGGTTGCAATTGTGGTAACTTTAGTTGGGATTTACGGATACTTACAATGCTTAGCCACCTTTGGTCACCGTCTGGATCTTCGACAGGTACTCCTACGGTACACGAGGTCATTTTTTGCACTTTAATGGTACTATAGCTAAATTGAATTGTTATTGAATTCCAAGTTTTGTAAAATTATTTTCTAGCGTTCGTCTGAAGTCACTGCGCGGCCATATTGGTGTTGATAAAAGAGGGGATACTATTTAAATCGTCATAAATGTCACGTAAATATCACAGAAATAGAGAATATATCTTGAAATGCTTTAAAATACACTCATTTAATTGTAATTAGTGATTGCCAATTGTATTTTAATTACACCTGCACCATTTTTACTTGTTTACGCTTTAATCCATTCCCCATAGATGGCGCGGTAGGTACGATTTCCGTTTTGGCGCGCAAACTGCCAAAGAAGCGTCACGCACTTGTCGATGCATTGGACTTAGTAATAATACCGGTTGCAATAACTTCGTTCATTAGTTCAGGTATGTTTTGGAATTTAATTAAATTCTGCGTTATTTTAAAACGAAACAATCAATTGAAGTCGCTGGTGTCTCTGGCCCAATCACCTCCGCAAACGACCTGCCATTAAAGGTCCACTTATGAAAATCAACCATTTTTAAGTTTTCAAATCCCAATTGTTGTGCAATCTTTTGTGTAATAAATGAAGAGCATAATGCTGTTACCAATTTTGGCAGTGGCAAAGGTTTTGGCACGCCGCTAAGCATGGTTCTGACATCATTGCCATCTTTCAATTGTTTAGCTAATTCAATTGAACATTGAAAAAGCGCTTTTGCCAATCCATGTCCTCTGTGCTCCTTGAGGGTAGCCAAAAACATGATCTCAAGCAGGACATCTACCTGATAATGCTTAAATATATCAAGTTCATTTCCCATGTCAATCATGAACTGTAAGAGATACTTGGCATTTGGAGTTTTGCACTTGGCTTGGTAGTCTATGAAATAATCCGATTCTTGTAATTGGGGTGCCAATTCAAATATATTAATAGCAGCGGCGGCCACTTCGCCAGTGGCAGTTTCAACTGCAATGATTGATACTCCATCCTCAGCAGCATGTATGATCATGTCTTCCAGTTCTGCTGCAGCTTCTGGATTCTTGGGTAATTCACATGCAACTGAAACGGTTTCTTCTCCGAAAAATGCCCGACGCATTACATTCATTGCTGCTGGGAGAGTTTCGTTTGTCAAGGAAACGAATTCATATCGTCCTGTAATGATGGGATGAAATTATACATAATTGAACATAACCCTAATTCAATTTCAAGGAATAATGCGGCAATAAAAAATATTCACGGCTATATTACCATCCGGAGTAGTTCCCCAGGTTCTTGTGGCCATTCTTGAATCTACTATTCACACACCAAGCGTGGTTATAGGCCCACACTTCTTTAACTTAAATTGGGACACGTCCTACATTCGCGTCACAGATTTTGCTAAGCGTAACGTAAACTCAAACTCAAGTGGATTTCAAAATATTTAATGACAGTATCTGTAAATTACAATTTGAACACTTGAAGTTTCAAAATTGTCTCCGAGGGCAATTCCCCGATACACTTGGCCTTCCACTTGGCAATCTCCGGCTGGAGATCAAGGACAGTGTAGAAACCTAATTTCTCCGTTAATTTTTTTGCAATAGGTGATGTGCACTCCGCGACCACCGCCCCAGGGCCAGTCTGGAGTTTGTTTTTCAATTGCCTAGCAAGTTCTATTGTCTCCTGCATCAACACGCCGGCACAACCGCGTCCTTTGAATTTTCCTGCCGTTGCTATGCAAATAATTTCCAAGTAACAATCGATGTTCATTTGTTTGAAAATGTACTCGTCGTATTGTTCTAAATCGACCACAAAGTTTAATATGGCTGCTGCCCCAGGCTGCTTGCAATTACGAGCGTACTTTTCGTATAGTTCAGGTGTGCTGCAAGTTGTTTGCAGGACGTTTAATGCAACAGCGGCAATTTCGCAGCCGTTCATGTAGCACAAAGAGTGTCCTTGTTGTATTAACATGTTAGTAAACGGACGCAGTTCTTGAATGGCTTCGGGTGATTTGTGTAAGTTCATTGCACGTGAGAAGTTTTCACAGGTCCAATAGTTTTCCATTATGAAGTCAAGAACTTCGGCACGATTTGTCTCGTCCACACGATGAACATTGTTGCGATCTGTAATTACACTTGCTAAAGATAAACGGATTTCTATTGTACGGAACTCACTTGCGATGGTATCAGTCATTTTGTTTGAGGTGAGGCAAGTTATGATTGCAATTTTATTTGGTACAATCTTTAAATATCACATAGGGGACAAGATAATTATTTCAAGTGGACGAGTGAGTAATTTATAGCACTTCCTTAAATATCAATTTTGAGGATTTGGTTTCGGGACCGATGCGTTCCGAGAAAGGTTTCCCTTCAAATGTGAATTGATCAAATGGCACTTCCAGTAGGACTTGGAATCCAAATTTTTCGCCAATTTTGGCTGTTGCGTTGGATGTAGCTAATGCCATTACGCATTCTGGTCGTGGACTGCCCTCTAAAGGAACCGCCATTTTGCCATGTTTTATACGATTTGCGATGTCCATGGAGAACTGCCACATTTCTGAACCCAGGTGGTGTCCGCGGTGTTCGCGCAGCGTGGCGATAAACATGATCTCCAGCCCGCATTTGATCTGCTTTTCAGTAAAGACATCGTACTGTTTCTCCATTTCGATCATGTAGCGCATTAGGCCTCTTGAGGACGGATTTTTACACTTGGCTTCGAACTGTTCGAAGTAGTTTTCTTCGTTTTCACCAGGTAAGACTTGGATCTTGTTGAAACAGGCGGCCACTGCTTTACCTGAGGCTTTTTCGATAGCGACTAAAGATACACCATCATTTGCTGCTCTTATGCACAACTCGGTGAGCTCTTCGATGGCCTGCGAGTTTTCCGCGACTCTTGTCGCAATGGAAACATTTTCATCGACAAAGAATGCCTGTTGAATTACGGCCAAGGCATCAGCCAGGGAGTCTTTGGTAATAATGGACAATTCGTACGCACCTGAAATGAAATGGTTAATCTTGAGAAATAAGAACCTACTCTCCTCCATTTTGTTTTTTTCTTATACCGTTTGCAACAGAATGCACATCGCTTAAACTCATTTTTAAAAAGCACTAAAACCTTATTTAGCTTGGTTATCCTGTGAAATAATATACACGAGTGTATAGCGTGGGTATAATATGTAATACTGATAAGAATTGTACTCCAACTATCTTGGAATATTATTTGAACTTTAAAGTCCACTCACGACGTAGATTCCCAATGAACTTTGCAGATAAATATTTTCATTGCTACTAAATAGAATAATGCTTTCCGTACTTGTCTACCAGATGTCGCCGGAAAGCAAAACTTGCAACCGGAAAATACGCCGCGCCTGGTCTTGCCCCGGCTCGCCGCCCCCAGACCTCCAGTCGACAACATAAGTGTGTACAGAGTGCACGTGCTGAATACGTGCGGCTTTTCCACTTGTGCTGCACAACGTTATTCTCGCTCGCGATCAAGATGCGTGTCAAGTATATTCCACTTGTGTTTGCAGCTTTTCTTGTCACTAATGTGAAAACGCGGGCGGTAAGTAAATATCTAGCAATTTAAATTAGAAATGGGTAGAAAATATATTTTGTATCGCGTGTTTTGCTCGATTTCTCCACTCCTCGTTGTTGAAGTTAATCCTGGTGATAAATTATTATCGGCAATAAAAGCGAGTAAAGTGATAGGTGCGCAGAATTGAAAGCGATTTCCAGCAGGGATTGCATCCAATTGCGTCCCGATGTGCTTGCTATCATTGTTTATATTTTTGCGCGCTTGCTGCCCTTGTCGTGCGCATCGCCGGGAGCGACGGATATTAGAACGCCGAGCCGGCGTGATCGTTCCGGGTATCATCCATCTTTTCGCAAATCGTTTACACATTTGCTAACGTCGGGGGGCTGTTGAAGGGCACACATGTGTAAATCAATATGTTTCACTTGCTACGCAATTTTGGTGGATTGGGAAAATATTTTTGGTATAAACGTATAGAGATCTCTCTGTTTTGCGTCAAATTATATTAATTAATTGATTTATGTTGGTGCTTATTACAGGTGAATATCAGTAGTGCTTGGATGCTGCCTGAGGAAGGATTTCCGGTGTTCTATCGCTACTTCCGCGATCGCATCTCGTGGAGCGAAGCGGATGCAGTATGCCAATTTCATCATGCTAATCTCGTTACAGGTATGTCCTGCAGGTGCATAGGTTTTACCCACTAAATTTCTTTCTTCGTGTAGTTGTTTTCTTCTTGTTGAATGCAAGTCAAAAGTTAATTAACTGGACTTGTTGTTTATTAAAGCACCGGCTGAACGATGTTATTCATTGCCTGTGGCAATAAATCGCTATAGAACTTGTGGATGCGGAAAGCGCGCGCAACCCCCCACAGGACATTCCATGCGTGCGTGAGGACAACATGCATTCACGCCGCGAACTGAATTATGCGGTGTCATTAACGTCAAAGAGTTTAATAAACTTTAGTTCTCTTGCGCGGATCATGAAATTTGAATTCATAGAGAAACTTAAGCTTTCATTTTCAACTGAAGAAGTTCTGTAGTCCTTTAGAAAACAAGACAACCATGCAAATCGAAACGATTAGCAATCCTATTTCTAACCGGCGGCAACCCTTAAATAAGTGGTAGGGATATGAAAACCCGCCTGTAGGAGTGGGGGGACGGTTTCAGTCACCAGTGCGCGAATCGAACGACGCGGTCAGCCGCGAAAGGCCAGGCCCTCTCCCGCCGCAGCATATAGGTATGTATTTATATTCAGATATAATTGTGTCGGTCCATGGAGTGGAGCTAACAAGGCAGTCTTGTCCACGGCGCGGGTCGATGTAGGTCAGGTCGTCCGACCCTCGGTTACTGTGGTAACCTTGGAAACGCTCGCCAGCTCTCTGACCTAATGCCGATTTCCATCTATGTGAATGTCGCCACTCAAACCAAAAATCCTGATCTTAAGAACACAATAATGGAAAACATTCGCAGGCAAAAATATACGCGTGTTGCAGGGTTAACCATTCATGTGTTTGTAAATAATTGCGCAGAAAGCAGGGGCGTTATTGATTTTTTCTTTTCATGCATAAACGGCTGTTTGTGTTCTAACATTGAATAACATAACATTTTAAATTCAATAGCTAAGAGTTTGACTGAATTTAATTGGGTTTAGGCATCATAGGAAAATACTTGCTGAAAACAAAAAGCAAGCAAAGCGCTAAATTTCCCAACTATTCGGCGAATATAAGGCACCGCGACGCGCCGGCACATTAAGTTTAACCGAAGACTATTAACTCGGCGTCGCGCCCCAACTCCTTGAGCTGCCGTTAATCGGCATTAGCCCCAACGGGCGCGACGCGTGGCGGCGACGGTAATTGACTACCCGAAACCACACACAAGTTCATTGTTAGCGTAGATGGAATCAAACTAAATGTGCCGCTTTTTCTCTTCCAGTCGACACGACTTCTCAATACGATGCAATTAGAGCGTACCTAAAAGAATTGGACATCGCCAACCATGTGTGGATCGGTCTGTCCCGTCCTATTGATAAGTCCAATTTTATGTGGAGGTAATGTGCGAGTTGAGCGCAAATTTTTTCATTAAATGCAACTTTGCATACTGATTTAGTATTTCCTGCTGTTTGCAGAAACTTCCGAGAACTGAGCGCTCCCGACTACTGGCAAGAGGCGATTCCTGCCGGGGGCGGAGAACCCCTCTGCGCAGCAATGGACCCTGCCGCCGACTTCCGTTGGCATGCGCTGACCTGCGGAAGCCCCGAGGCTGCGTCCTTCATATGCGAATTACCAGGTCAGTCACATTAGCCACATAATCTTCCATTATTCCGCACAAACATGCTACTTAATATCGGGACAGGTTGTGCGCGTTGCGCTCTGTTTTTTGCGGTAGGTCATGTTTGTGTTGCTTCCTAATGCGCGTTCAGCGCTGAATTTAACAAAAGCCTCTGATGGTTTTTAGTACCAACATGGGCCAGTGGTTGTCTTATTACGGAATTGCCATCGCTTACTGTCCTGTACATCCCGGAGCAATCTGCGGTGGAGTTAACATCTGACTGCGGACTTGACGGCACCAAGCGCATCGTTTGCAAGGGAAAAGGTGTACGTAGCTTGAGTTAGATTTTTACTAATGACCGAATGCACCTGTGTTATTTCCGCAGGATCGAGATGAATTGATCCGACGATTGGCATGCACCTCCGACGAAGGCATCGCTACGACCACCGTCGTTGCTCAATCTGTACCGACAGCGCCCAGTGCTAAAACCACCAAGCCGCTTCTAATTTGGACATCCAACACGATCGACACGGGCGATTATGCAATTCCAACACGACATCGCCGCGAAACCGAAGAGACTTCGGCGTCTTTGGCCACTGGTTCCACAACGGAGATTCCTGCCACGCTGGGCACCTCTTCGCAGCGACCCGACGGTGCCAATCAGGAAGATTTTGCAAGCGCCATTAATCAAGGACAGCTGTTTAGCATTATCGAAAATGGTACAATGTTTGACATTATCGAACTGAATGGTACAGACGAAAACAAGACGTTAGCAGCGGACCACCAAACCACAAGTCACCCAATCATCGAACAGCGCGCACTCTACACCCATTTGACTAAGGAAGCTCTGCCGGATCCGCCAATGCCAGCAGCTGAAGGAACTGATCTGCATCGTACGTTCCGCAAGCAAGTTCCCACCTTGCGCAAGCTCAAACCCGCAATTGATAATGACGTCAACAACGACATCGCTAGCGTTATCGTCACCGCGGTTATTCAGATTGCACGTGCTGCCGAAGAACACCGTATTGACGTCACAGGTAACGACCCAGCTTCAATTACAAGTCACAAACCGCGAGCGACCAGTTTACCGCCAACGGATGATAGCAAGTACGAATCAGAGCCAACGGCAAAACCGAATCGACAGCGACAGTTGACCCGCTCAAATCGGCGCTCCTTCTATCCGTATTTCTTCAGCCGTGTACTAGGTTGAGCGACACAGATGTCCGCACAAATTCAACACGTTGTTAGAAGTACACTCGATGTGCCAAAGACGAGAAGAAGAAACTCCTCTTCCAATCGTGCAACGAAACAATTATTCCGTTCACAACTGGGGGCGGCAAGTTGGCCGCCAACTTATTTAGTAGCGCAGTAGCGCTAGTTTGCTTGCAATTATCAATCACACACGACCTCTTCACTGTAGCACGCAGCGCTGCGCACCCGTCCGGAGCAACCGAGTGTGTTACTTTGCTAAAAGTCTAATTAATACAAAATATTAAACTAACATTTGTAAAAAAAAAAAACGAATCTCCGATAGGAGAAGATCAGAGTATTGAAAATAAATAAGATTATCGTATAGTAGAGTACAGCTGCCTGAATATCAAAAAATAATACATGCTTTATTGTAGCATTGTCTTTGTTTATAACTTATTGTATTAACAGCTCGCCGATCATCAATTCGACGACCATTTTTCGCCGAAAGTAAGGCATATCCTCTTGACTAAAATTGAACGGCGCGTTACGCGTCGCAAATTCAGCGTACGTGCACGAGAACATGCCGCAATCACTGCCGTTCATCTGTTGCGGCACGTCGCGCACGCATTTGAGTTGCCAGCCCTTTGTATCAAAAGGGGAGCCCTTCTTTTCGGCGTGCTCGTCCTGTAAGTAGCGGAAGATTGCCTCCGTGCATTGCACGTTTGGTTTTCCCATGCTGTCATAATACGAAACCGTCTTGCGGCGCATATCAACGATTGCCATGCACCAATGCATGCCGAGATGGATGGGCACGCATATCACATCATACGTGAATAGGTCAATCTTTCGTGTCCAGCGGCAAACCGAGCTCTGGCCGTCTTTGAGGATCTTCGGGTAGAAGAATGTATTGAATGCGTACGTCTTGGGCTGGTGAGGCAGCTTGCCGCGCTCGATGAGCAGATTCATATAGAAATTGATCACTTCGTCGTTCAGCCAGTTTAGGCCGGATAGTGTGAGCATGTCGCGGCGGGTAATGTTTAAATTGAATTTGCTGGCGATGACAACATGCGGCGGCGCTCGTTTGTCGAGCGCAAATTCCACCATCTGCTCCTGCTTGTCGTTGAGCGTTGGCAGCGTTACCTTCACTTCGATTGGGATGACCACCTCCTTGATGTGCAGGCATTTTTCGACTTGTTTCTCGAGCTGCTCGCGCATTATCTCCTCGTTGATACGGCGCACTTCAGCAAGTCGATTCTGCCTCGCCTCCAGCTCAGATGTGAATTTGTCCAATTCTTCGCGGTGTCGCCGCACCCTGTAAGTAATACGTGTTTTGTTAACCGAAGAACTACATGTTACTATGTACATGCACCACTCACTTATCACCAATCCAATTTTCTCGCATCGGCTCGCATGATGATGCCAGCAGCTTCAGACTATTGATACGCTCCACTTTGAAATCAGGCTTCGGCGATGGTGGTGTCGGCAAGTATTCAACGTCAGAGTCGGAATCCTTGACGACCACCACCTCCTCCATTCCATCCAAGACTTTGCGAATGGTTTCGCTGGTTGTGGTTTTGTTGCGTTTACCGCCAGTCAGATCGACCACGCCGGGTAACGATTTCGCCAAGTCCACCAGTTGTCTTCCTCGGCTGACGGGCGTCTTGCCCAGTGGCGTGTAATAATTCGCAAATGATTCGGCCAGTGTGCCTGAAGTGTGATTCTCAGCCTTCAGAAGCAGTTGCTGATACTTGCTTTTCTCGTCCAGCTGGAAAGCATAATCTGAAGCAGAGCCAGACATTGCAATGCCTCTCTTCTTCACTGCTGATGGAAAATTGAACAAGTCCTTGGAAGCCAATCTAGGTGTAAAATATGAAGAGGTGCCAGATGTATTCAATTCAGCCTTGGTTTTAAGCAAGCTACTGGCAGCATTTGGTGTAGAAGAGATGGGAGAATTAGACCCATCATCCAACACAATTATGCTGGGCTTATATGTTAGCTTATGATCCATTTCTGTACCCCTTGTAATAAACTGATTCCTGGGAATTATCCAATCATCTGCAATATGTATGTATGTATTTTGAAATCAGAACACAGAGTCAGGCTATTGTAGAAATACCTTCAGGAAAACAGGGTGAAAGCTTTCTGTGTTTGCTGGGTGATATGAATTCTTCAATCAGATCTGATGTGCTGTAAAGGTCGCAATGTGTAATTTGAAATTAATATTAGACACATCTGACAATTGATATTCTGTTAACTGGCTACCTTCTTTTACGCTTGTTGCGGATTGGAACAAAAAAACTGCGAATATACTCGATAACGTCCAACATATTGTTCTCACACACACAAACTTCGCCCAGTGCTAAATTGATTGTTGTTCAGCATTAATCGCTGTATATTTAAGGTGATGGGGTTGATTGCAAACGATTTACCACAAACGGTGGCACATATTCACAAATGCCGCCGTATTCCGGTGCACATGATGGCACCGACGTTTTTCTGTGTTTTTTGGTGTGTCAAATTTATGTTTAGATACACACCCAACAGATGGCGCCTATTCTAATACCGGTTTGAAGGTGTCATTCAAAGGCGCCTGTCCGATTAATTCTAATTTTATTGAATACCCCTGGATTTGATTCCTTTGACTATCGAAAATATATAATTTGTTATTGTTTTTGAGAAATAACACTTGGTTTCTAGCTTACTTGATTCTTGTAATGCGTGATTTTGCGCCAACGTTCAAGGCCACAAAGTAGTTTGGAAGGTCACCATAGGCGTCACCACCTATGCCTCCGTGCAACACCGAATTTTATCAAAGCCGCAACCACGTGCAATCGTTTGTTTTTGAAGTTGTTGGTTTCATCGGAATATTGTTCAAGCATTGAATGCATATCAATTTAAAGACTAAAATTGAAAACATAAAAACAGCACCATGAAATTTGCTTACAAGGTATTCAATGGGCTCCTATTAATGTACTTTTAGAGTCTATATATACATCTAAATCTATCTTGTTTTAGTTCAGCAATTTATTGGGCACTGTATATCGAAGAGGTGACTTATTGTTTAGCCCTGATGGCAATTCAGTAATTAGTCCAGTTGGCAATCGAATCACAGTATTTGATCTAAAAAGGTTAACATCTCAATTAGACAATGAACAGTTAATGCAATTTCTTGTATTCTTGCAGTAACAAGTCCAATACACTACCAATTGAAAGTAAATTTAATTATGTCACATTGGATGTCAGCCCCAATGGCTGCATGCTGGTTGCTATCAATGAAGAAGGTGAAGCACATTTAATATCACTTGTATCACAAACAATAGTGCACAAATACAGATTCAAGGGTGCTGCACATGCTGTTAAATTTTCACCTGATGGCAAACACTTTGCAGTGTGTAAAGAATCAAATGGTAATATTATTGAAGTATGTATTAAGCTGAAATGCAATAACTGTTTTTTTTTTTTAGTATTTGTATTTAAAGCACCAGGTCCATTCTCTGGTCAATATAATGCATTTATCATGGAGAGAGTTTATCATGGAGCATTTGATGAAACTACATGCTTAGACTGGTCGACAGATTCTAAAATTCTTGCTGTAGGTTCAAAAGACAACGTGGCGCGTTTGTACGCGATTGAAAATTGCGCCAACTTCAAACATTACTCACTCAGTGGTCACACTGATCATGTAGTGGCATGTTTTTTTGAAGAAAACTCACTGGACATCACAACCATTGCAAGAAATGGTCACACTTGCATTTGGGAGTGTTCTATTGATGCAAAACAACTGCAACCCTGGCAGGAGATGGATAACATGCCCCTGAAGAAGATTAAAAAAGAAGACAGTGATAGTGAAGATGATATTGATATAACAAAGTCAATTGAAGATCCAGATAGAGTTGCAGAGCAATTGAATGCGATTGCACTTGCCGACAAGAAAGTCAAAATCAAAAAAGAAAAAGTGCATTATCGCCGACTTTCTATTCATTACCTCCTGGATGATGTACGCAAGAATGATAAGGATGCGGTGCTCAGCGCTGCAGCATATCACAAACAGAGTAAAATCCTGATCACTGGATTCTCAACTGGTGCGTTTTATATTCACGAACTCCCTGAAGTGAATTTAATTCATTCTCTGAGTATATCCAATGAAAAAATCAGCGCGATAGCCATGAATAATACCGGTGATTGGATTGCGTTGGGTTGTGGTGGATTAGGTCAATTGTTAGTCTGGGAATGGCAGAGTGAAACTTATGTTATGAAACAGCAGGGACATTCTAATAACATGTCCTGTGTTTCGTATTCCTTGGACGGGCAGCATTTGGTCACTGGTGGCGAGGATGGCAAGGTAAAGTTGTGGAACCTTCATTCTGGTTTCTGTGTGGTTACTTTTAGCGAACACACTGGACCAGTGACGAATGTTGCCTTCTGCGGGAACAAAAAATTTGTGGTTTCATCTTCTTTAGATGGAACCGTTCGAGCTTACGATGTGATTAGGTATAGAAATTTTCGTACTTTGACCACGCCGAGACCTGTACAGTTGCAATCTGTCGCGGTGGATGTTAGTGGGGAGTTTATCGCCTCTGGAGGGCAAGATGTTTTCGAGATATTTCTGTGGTCGATGAAATTCGGAAGACTTTTGGAGATATTAAGTGGACATCAGGGACCAGTTGTAAGTGAAAAACAAAAATAAACGAATTTCTTTAATCCTACCTTAATAATTATTTAAATTTAATTCTTTTTAGTGGTCCTTGGCATTCAATTCGAATCCTTCGAGCACCACATTGGTGTCAGTTTCCTGGGATAAAACTCTTCGAATATGGGATGCTATTGAGAAAGGTTCTGCTCATGAAAGTATCGATATTCCCGCTGATGGACTCTGCGTAGCTTTTAAACCGGATGGTCAAGAGGTAGCTGTGGCCACTCTCGATGGACAAATCACTACATACGATGTGAAAACGGGCACGCAGGTGAACACGATCGAAGGACGGTCGGATTTGGGCAGCGGGCGTCTTCATGACGATTTGGTCACAGCCAAACAAAGCCTCAAAGCGAAATCTTTCACTACCTTATGTTACACGGCCAATGGCCAGTATATTCTAGCCGGTGGACAATCAAAAAATATTTGTATTTATAATATATCCGAGGGATTGATTGTGAAAAGATTCGAAATTACGCAAAGTCGGTCTTTTGACGGCGTTGACGACTTTATCAACCGTCGGAAACTGACCGAATTTGGTAATGTTGCACTTGTTGAAGAGCGTGATGAAAAAGAAGGCGGTACAGTTGTTTTAAAACTTCCCGGAGTGAAAAAAGGTGACATGTGTGCACGTAGAAGCAAACCGGAGGTTCGCGTGTTTGATTTGCAATTTTCTCCCACCGGACAACAATGGTCAGCATGCACCACTGAAGGTTTATTAATTTATTCACTTAATTCGGGTGTAGTATTCGATCCATGGGAACTACAGTTAAATGTAACACCGAAATCTGTTCAGGAAGCCATTGATGAAGGAGAGCATGAGAATGCGCTCACAATGGCGATGAAATTAAACGAGGATAATTTAATTACCAAAGCAATGGAAACAATACCAATCGGCGATGTTGGGTTAACTATTGGAGGCCTAAGTGAAAAATATGTGCAGAGATTGTTGCAGATTATCGCGAATGCGCTTGATAAATCCAACCATCTTGAGTTTTACCTGCATTGGGCGAAATGTGTAATGTCCACGCATGGATTAAAGATTAAATCACAGCAGTGCCTTGCGCCCTTGTTGGATTTACAAAAGAGTTTATCCCGCAGGAATGAACAGCTTTCTAAATTGTGTGATTTTAACAAGTATACAATGCAGTATATTTCAAAGATGGCGGAGGTTGCTTTAGCTTCGACACAACCAACGCTCAATTTTGATAGCGCCGGAGAGGATGTGTTATTTTCTGATGTAGAAGAAGAATAAATAAATATTAAATCTAAATAATCTAAATTCCGGAACTACTATTCTTTATGATCCTTATGGATCAGGCAGTTTGACTCTGTTCTTTGATGCATTTTAATTTAACCCGCTAGTCCCATTGGAAGTGCCCTAAAATACCCTTAAAAAGTTGGCAATTTTATGAAAATTTGAAAACATGGTGTGGAATACACACTGTATCTCGCGAACTCATACTTTTTTTTAGAGTATTTTACCGCCATTTTATAGTTTAAAAGACGCTCTACACAATACATGCAATTTTAATGCGCTAAACATGTGCCATAAAATGCCCTTCAAACATCAGCCTTTTTTGGAAATTTTGAAAACATGCTGTGGAAAACACCCTGTATCTCCCAAACTATTACACTTTTTTGGTGTTTTACACCGCCATTTCGTAGTTAAAGAGACGCTCTACACAACACATGCCATTTTAATCCGCTAAACGTTCTGGAAGTGCCCTGAAATGCCCTTCAAACATTGGCCTTCTTTGGAAATTTTGAAAACAAGCTGTGGAAAACACCCTATATCTCCCAAACTATTACAATTTTTTGGTGTTTTTCACCGCTATTTTATAGTTTAAGAGACGCTCTACACAATACATGCCATTTTAATTCGGTAAACATCCTGGAAGTGCCCTAAAATGCCCTTCAAACATTGGTCTTTTTTGGAAATTTTGAAAACATGCTGTGGAAAACACCCTGTATCTCCCAAACTATTACACTTTTTTGGTGTTTTTCACCGCCATTTCGTAGTTAAAGAGACGCTCTACACAACACATGCCATTTTAATCCGCTAAACGTTCTGGAAGTGCCCTAAAATGTCCTTCAAACATTGGCCTTCTTTGGAAATTTTGAAAACATGCTGTGGAAAACTCCCTGTATCTCCCAAACTATTACACTTTTTTGGTGTTTTTCACCGCCATTTTATAGTATAAGAGACGCTCTACACAACACATGCCATTTTAATCCGGTAAACATTCTGGAAGTGCCCTAAAATGCTTTTCAAAAATTGCTATTTTTTTACGTTTTTTTTTAATTTTTTGGCTCGTGAAGCAGGGACAAATTTTTATTCCAACATTTTTTTTTTCTGCAAAACTTGAAATAATTTATACATTTTTGTCTGAAGAACAGGGTCGAACTTTTTAAGTTAAAATATTTTTGGCCGAAGAACAGGGCCGAACTTTTTGTGTTAAAATTTTTTGGGTCGAAGAACAGGGCCGAACTTTTAAAGTTGAAATTTTTTGGCCGAAGAACAGGGCCGAACTTTTTAAGTTAAAATTTTTTGGCCGAAGATCATTTTTTCCAGCGAAATCAAAATAAAACTTTAAACGCTAATAACTCCTGAACTAAAAGGGCTAGAAGGGAACGGACGGCAGATTCTTGACCCTTGAAGGATTCTCTACAATATAGGCTATTAAAAACAGCCATTTTTTTCGCCTCAACACTGAAAAAAGTGCAAAGAGGTACCTCTTATAGGTTTTTTGATTTTTGAAAAAATCAAACTAACCACGCTATCCTGTAGAGAACCCTTTGAGGATTAAGGCCCTGAAGTCCGTTCTGTTCTAGCCCTTTTAGTTCTCGAGTTATTAGCGTTTAAAGTTTTTAATTGCGATTATGAAGGACATTTTAGGGCACTTCTAGAATGTTTAGCGGATTAAAATGGCATGTGTTGTGTAGAGTGTCTCTTTAACTACGAAATGGCGGTGTAAAACACCAAAAAAGTGTAATAGTTTGGGAGATACAGGGTGTTTTCCACAGCATGTTTTCAAAATTTCCAAAAAAGACCAATGTTTGAAGGGCATTTTAGGGCACTTCCCAAATGTTTAGCGCATTAAAATGACATGTATTCTGTAGAACGTCTCTTAAACTATCAAATGGCGGTGAAAAACTTACAAAAAGTTAATTACTTTCCGAGATACAGGGTGTTTTCCACAGCATGTTTTCAAAATTTCCAAAAAATGCCAATGTTTGAAGGGCATTTTAGGGCACTTCCCGAATGTTTAGCGCATTAAAATGACATGTATTCCGTAGAGTGTCTCTTAAACTATAAAATGGCGGTGGAAAACTCAAAAAAATATTTTCGGCCGAAGAACAGGGCGGATCTTTTTTGTTAAATTTGTTTCCTTGGAAATCACAATAAAATTTTAAACGCTAATAACTTCTGAACTAAAAGGGCTAGAAGGGAACGGACGGCAGATTCTTGACCCTTGAAGGATTCTCTACAATATAGGCTATTAAAAACAGCCATTTTTTTCGCCTCAACACTGAAAAAAGTGCAAAGAGGTACCTCTTATAGGTTTTTTGATTTTTGAAAAAATCAAACTAACCACGCTATCCTGTAGAGAACCCTTTGAGGATCAAGGCCCTGAAGTCCGTTCTGTTCTAGCCCTTTTAGTTCTCGAGTTATTAGCGTTTAAAGTTTTTAATTGCGATTATGAAGGACATTTTAGGGCACTTCTAGAATGTTTAGCGGATTAAAATGGCATGTATTGTGTAGAGCGTCTTTTAAACTATAAAATGGCGGTGAAAAACTCAAAAAAAGTGTATAATTTTGCGAGATACAGGGTGTTTTCCACAGCCTGTTTTCAAAATTTTCAAAAAAGGCTGATGTTTGAAGGGCATTTTAGGGCACTTTTAACATTTTTAGCAGATTAATATGGCATGAATTGTGTAGAGCGCCTCTTAAACTATATCATGGCGGTGAAAAACTCAAAGAAAGTGTATTAGTTGCGAGATACAGGGTGTTTTCCACACCATGTTTTCAAATTTTCACAAAATTTTCCACGTTTAAAGAGGCGGTTAAGAGTACGGCACGTACCTTGACACAATTCGAATGTCAGAAATAATAGAATTTTTTTAAAATTAATTCCATTAAAAAGTATCACCCTGGTAACTGACACTTCAAAATAAAGCCGACCTTGTCAATGTCAATCAATAGTTCGTGTAGAAAACTTCAAACCTGCGGCCTTTCATTTCAAAATTTAATGTTTAACGAGACGCAATTTACACAGCACCACGCGGTTATTTCATAAGTTTTCGCCGTTACATTACTTAGAATCACAAAGAGTAAAAGTTCAGGTTAAACCAACGATATTTAATCAAAAACCAGTCAATATTATACATTAACTCACAAAGAAAACTATTAAAACATCAAAAAACGGCATAATTAAAACCAAGAAACGAAATAACAAGATATAGATTATAATTCTTCCCAAAATGTCAGATGATAACACTACAGAAGAACTGCCTGCAACAAGCGGACTTCCACAAATCACCCCACGTCAACTATTCTCAAGAAGAGAAGAGGAGACAATTTTGAAATACATAGTGAAGCACAGGCTTTATGACCAACTAAGAATGATGAGCATGTGGAATGAATTGGCAAAATATCTAAACAATGGCAGAACAGCTGAAGCTCTTAGGGAAAGATTTCGTCGTTATATAATTCCTAAAATATTTATTTACAATATACCTAATGATGAAATGACTCGGATAATTACTGGATATGCCAAAATTGTAGAAAGAAGAAGAGGAGTAAAAAAAATTGTGCACCAATTATACTTGGAAATTGCAGACACTGATTGTTTTACTGCCGATAACGCATCAGAAAAACTCCAACTGCCTGCAACAAGCGAACTACCACAAATCATCCCAAGTCAATCATTCTCAGAAAGGGAAGATCAACTAATGCTGTTATTCATAGTGAAGCACAGTCTTTATGAGAAACTAAAAATGATGAGAACATGGGAAGACATGACAACATATTTTAACAATGGCAGAACTCCTGAAGCCCTTAAAGAAAGATTTCGGCATTTTGTCATTCCACGCATCTATACTTACAATATACCTGGTGATATAAAAACTCGGATAACATATGGCTATGCAAATAGTGGAAGCAATGATATTGAACAGCAATTAGGCTTGGAAATGTCAGACACTGATGAAGATGAAGATGAATGAATTAAATGGTGATAGCGATTATAATTTAATTATACAATATTTTACTCTCGTATATTAAAAAAAAATTAAGAATTAAAAATTTAACTTAATCAGCGATTTGTTGGTTGCTCTGGCTTTTAGTTTAAGAGATATAAAATTTCAAAAATCGTCGAAAAAATGTTTCAAGCACCCCCCCCCCTTGGCAATTTTTTCTTAATAATAAAAATTTTATTTTTCAGATTTCCGCTTTAACTATTATATGTTATAGATATTATTGAATGAAATGCTGTGGAAAACACCCTGTATCTCGCAAACTAATACACCTTTTTTGAGTTTTTCACCGCCATTTTATAGCTTAAGAGTGGATCTACACATTACATGGCATTTTAATGCGCTAAACATTCTGGAAATGCCCTAAAATGCCCTTCAAAAATTGTTATTTTTTTACGTTTTTTTTTTATTTTTGGGTTGTGAAGCAGGGACAAATTTTTTTTTATTTCAACATTGTTTATTTTGCAAAACTTGAAATAATTTATAACATTTTTGTCTGAAGAACAGGGTCGAACTTTTAATTTTCAAATTTTTTGGCCAAAGAACATTCTTTCCTGCAAAATCAAAATAAAACTTTGAACGCTAATAACTCCTGAACTAAAAGGGCTAGAACATAAAAGACGGCAGATTCTTGACCCTTGAAGGATTCTCTACAAGATAGGCTATTAAAAACATCCCTTAGTTTCCGAGATAATTGCAATTAAAAACTTTAAACGCTAATAACTTGAGAAATAAAAGGGCTAGAACAGAACGGACTTCAGACCCTTGATCCTTAGGGGTTCTCTACAGGATAGCGTGGTTAGTTTGATTTTTTCAAAAATCAAAAAACCTATAAGAGGTACCTCTTTGCATTTTTTTCAGTTTTGAGCAGAATAAAAGGGATGATTTAATAGCCCATCTTGTAGAGAATCCTTCAAGGATCAAGAATCCGCCGTCCTTTCTCTTCGAGCCCTTTTAGTTCAGGAGTTATTCGCGTTTAAAATTTTATTATAACTTCAAAGAAAAAAATTTAGCAATAAGTTTCGGCCCTGTTCTTCGACCGAAAATATTTTAACTTAAAAACTTCGGCCGTGTTCTTCGACCAAAAATATTTTAACCTAAAAAGTTCGGCCCTGTTCTTCGACCAAAAATATTTTAACCTAAAAAGTTTGGCCCTGTTCTTCGACCAAAAATGTTTTAACTTAAAAAGTTCGACCCTGCTCTTCAGACAAAAAATGTTGTTATAAATTATTTCAAAGTTGGGCAGAATAAATTTTATAAGAAGTTTATCTTTTGTTTTTCATCAAAAAGAATGTTGAATTAAAAATTTGTCCCTGTTTTACGACCCATAATTTAAAAACACGTAAAAAAATACCAATATTTGAAGGCAATTTCAAGGCATTTCTTGAATGTTGAGAGGGTTAAAATATGATGCATCGTGTAGTGCGTCTTTTAAACTATAAAATGACGGTGAAAAACTCAAAAAAAATGTATTAGTTTGCGAGATACAGGGTGTTTGCCACAGCATGATTTCAAAATTTCCAGAAGAGGTCAATGTTTGATGGGCATTTTAGGGCACTTCCAGATTGTTTAGCGGATTAAAATGGCATGTATTGTGTAGAGCGTCTCTTAAACTATAAAATGGCGGTAAAAAATTCAAAGAAAGTGTATGAGTTTGCGAGATACAGCGTGCTTTGCAGACCATGTTTTTTTTTTATATATAAAAACTATAAACTCAAAAAGTATAATATGGCGGTAAAAACTCAAAAAAAATGTATTTGTTTGACTTGCGGATAGAAAAACAAGCGATACTACGACGCTATATGCTGACAGTGTCAAAGTTACGAGATCATAAGAGAAAGCTGTAAACTTTGACGCTGTGCGAGTTATTACGATATTTTGTTTACATTTCGACGCTAATGGAGTCCAAGAAGCGCTACATGAAGAATGACCTACCGGATTATGATATTGGTGCAATTGTGAGTGTGCCACACGAACGGCTCAAGAGTCAGATATTCAAGTACATTGAAGAGATTAAAGCAAATGTAGAACCAATAGAGAGAAACGGCAAAGATGGTTTATATTTGGGCACCGCAGGCACAGCGTACATGTTCTACCATCTCAGCAAAATTGCTGCCTTCACAGATCAGAAGAGGCAATTACTGCAAAGTGCTCTCGAATACATTCAACCTTCACTGAAGGTGTGTGCGGAGGAAGTGAACCTTTGTGATGTGCCAGCCTTCATGTTGGGCAACTGTGGGGTGTATGCTGTTGCATCGGCAATCTATGATGCGCTCGGCAACGAGAAGGAATGCGTAAAGTTTCGCCAACTATACAACGACGCCGCTAGCATATGCAAGGATATGTTCTTCCTGCAGGCCGGCTCCGACGAGTTGTTCGTTGGGCGTGCGGGATACATCTGCGGTGCACTATGGATGGCGAAACAAACAGGCAGGCCCTTCAAAGCGGATGACATACACGACGTTTGCAAGGTCATCATCTCTTCGGGCCGCTATTACTCCAACACAATGCAAAGTCCCACCCCACTTATGTATGCCTACTACAACGTGGAGTACATCGGGGCGGGACACGGCATTTGCAGCATCCTGCAAATGCTACTATCTGTGCCCGGATACTTGCTAGCCAATCCGAACGATGCCAAGGACGTGCAGGTCACCACCAACTATGTGGTGACGCTGCAAGACCACGATGGCAACTTCCCCGCCTCCGCTACAGTGGGGGATACGAGAGTCCAGGACAACGAGTTGGTGCATTGGTGTCATGGCGCCGGGGGCGTGGTGTATCTGTTGGCGAAAGCGTTTTTGCTCTGGCAAGACGACAAATACCTGATCGCGTGCCGACGAGTGGCCGAGTTGATCTGGCAAAAGGGGTTGCTGAAGAAAGGCCCTGGCTTGTGTCATGGCATCGCCGGAAACGGCTACGTCTTCCTGTTAATGTACCGCCTTACAGATGAGGAACTGTACCTGCATAGAGCAATACAATTTTCATCGTTTCTTGAAAATCCGAGCTTTAAACATAATTCGCGCGTACCCGATAATCCGTACAGCTTATTCGAAGGCACCGCTGGCACTGTATGCTTTCTAGGAGATTTGCTGGAACCCAAGCAAGCAGCGTTTCCTTTTTGCGACATATTTTAGTTTGTTCTAAACAAAGTATTTTCCTATTAGTGTATTCGTATGTACATTTGAAAGTTTAAATAAACCGCTCAATTACGAAATGTATTCGATATATTTCGTGCACGTTCGGACAGATTCTCCTTGCAGGTTAGTTCGATCAATGTCATCATTTTCGCGCCAATGTATTCGCCGGCGTAGGGAAAGAATACTGTTTTTAATAAAAATAGGTTCGATATAATGGCTAAAAGTCGTGCCAAAATTAATTCAAACGCTTCGTTCGACGCTTCAATTAACTCATCGTGTGATACAGATATTTTAAACTATTCACTAGTCGAAAATTGTGTTGATGCTGGCAGTACCATCAAACTAAAATTCAAACTATCCAAAACTCAAGTACCGCTGCAGCCGGTTAATCGGGACATAATGAATCCAAGATGCCATTATAAACCAGAAGAAGAACTTATGAGTATGGATGACACTGAGGAATCCTATGATGCACCTAGAAGAAGAAGCACCAGGCTTGTTCAAATCAAAAAGACTGAAGCTGTGAGCAAAAATGTCAACCTGAGGAGATCATTAAGAGTAAATTCCAAAGTTGTAAATAGTGATTTTAAGTCACCATGCAAATCCCATTTATGGACTACAAACATTGATGATTCTACCAGTGTCACACCAAAGAAGATGATGAATATTGGATGTTCTGAAATTATGTCACCTAGTAAACTTAACTTTGAGAGTGTGTCAATCTCCACACCTGTGTCAAAGAGAAAAGCAAAAGTGAGGAACTCCTCTCAAAGAGTGTCTACCAACAATAAGCAAGTTCATGATGAGGTAGAAGATTTGCTTGCACCTATAATTGATGTTAACTTTGGCATGACACCAAAGAAAAACAACACCAAGTCCACCCCTGTCAGCCAGCTCAAGATGATAAGAAATGGTGACATCACACCCACAATGCACAGCAGGCTTCACAAAGTAGAGAAGGCAGGCACACCACTCAATATTGTAAGAGAAAAATTGCATGTGGCTTATGTGCCCAAAGCATTACCATGCAGAGAGAAGGAATATGCTGACATATACAACTTTGTTGAAGGAAAATTGATGGATGGATGTGGAGGGTAATTATTTATTTATTGTGGATATGATGATGATGATGATGGAGATAATTTCATTTTTAGCTGCATGTATATATCTGGAGTGCCAGGCACCGGTAAGACCGCCACTGTATCCGAGGTAATACGCCAGTTACAAACCGCTTCAAAACGGCATGTTGTGCCGGAATTTAGCTACGTAAGCGTCAATGGAATGCGACTAACTGAGCCGCGACAGGCCTACGTTGAGATTCTGCGGCAACTCGGCGGGAAGATTCACGCTTGGGAACAGGCGCACGCCTCCCTGGAAGCCAGGTTTACCAAGGCCAAGAAAAAATCCGAATTGCCGATTGTTTTGCTAGTTGACGAATTGGACATTCTTTGTACGCGCCGACAAGATGTCGTTTATAATTTACTGGATTGGCCCACGAAAGCCAAGTCGCAACTGATCGTGGTCACCATCGCGAATACCATGGATCTGCCTGAAAGACTTCTGATGGGCCGGGTTACCAGTCGTCTGGGCTTGACCCGTCTTACATTTCAAGCTTACACCCATAAACAGCTGCAGGAGATAGTCATGAAGCGCCTGCTTGGTACGAATGCATTCAACCCGGACGCAGTGCAGTTGGTTGCACGAAAAGTTGCGTCTGTTTCAGGCGATGCGCGCCGAGCTTTAGATATTTGCCGGCGTGCTGTAGAAGTCGCGGAAATGGAAGGCGATGATGTGCTGGTTGCAATGCAACACGTGGACGAAGCGCTTAATTCTATGATAACGCAGCCGAAAGTCCGCGCAATTAAACGCTGCTCACGGTTGGAGCAGCTCGTATTGCAGGCGATCGTTGCTGAAGTTGAGCGCACCGGTGTAGACGAGACAACATTTGCAGATGTACACACGATGCTCACTTCGGTAGCCGCAATAGATGGATTCCGCATGGTTTCGTCCACTCTGACTCTAGCTGCCGTCAAGTATTTATGCGCGTGTCGTCTACTGTTGAGCGATCCAAAGTCGTCAGACTTAAATCAACGAATTATCCTTAATGTTAGCGCTGATGATATTCATTATGCACTTAGGAAAGATTAATGTTTATAACGCTTGTTTAATTTTTTTCTACTTGCTGCAAAAATAAAATAAACGGAAAAATTTCAAATAATGACATGCTGCGCCCTCTAGCAATGACATCATTTGTCATTTTTGCCATGGCGACCCGTCATTGACAGCTGTTGCTCTGTTGGTAAATAAAAACGAATCTTTCATTAAAATAATGAAGAATAACCCATTGATGATGAGGAACAGGTGATTGTGGCTGCAATGGCATCGGTGAAAGTGGCTGTGCGGGTGCGCCCTTTCAATCAAAGGTAATATTCATTGAAAAGCACCTATAATTGCTTGACTGCACACCCAAGGAAGGTTCAATGCACTGCACAAATGAAATGTTTTAGGGAACTTGATATGGAGGCCAGTTGCATTATACAAATGAGAGGCAAGAAAACTGGCATCCTTAACCATAAAGCAAATACGCGAGATGAAGCAATTCGCAATAAAGAGTTCACCTTTGATCATTCCTACTGGTCACATGACACTAGCTCAAAATCATTTGCATCACAGGAAATGGTGTACAATGATTTGGGTACTGAGGTGGTTGACTGTGCCTTTGAGGGTTACAATGCATGTGTGTTTGCTTACGGCCAAACAGGCAGTGGGAAAACATTCACAATGATGGGTTCACCTGATAATCAAGGACTTATTCCTAGAATATGCAAGGCGTTGTTTGAACAAATGGCGGCCGATTCCAAGCGCGGCACAACACATCGCGTGCAAGTTAGTTATCTAGAAATTTATCAGGAACGGGTTGCGGATTTGCTCCGGGGAGATGACTCTGATGCGCAATCTTTAAAAGTTCGCGAACATCCAAAACGTGGTCAATACGTGCAGGGTTTAACATCTTGTTTGGTGACCAATTATGGCCACATTCATGAATGCATGGAGCGCGGAAACTCGTTTCGCACCACCGCCTCGACCAACATGAATGATGTGAGCAGTCGGAGTCATGCAATATTTACCATTACCTTCGTCCAGGCGGGTTTCTGCGACGGTGTGCCCAGTGAAACGGTATCCAAGGTAGAAAATATGTGCTGTACGTAATCATTGATTTGCACTAACGTCCATATGGAACATTTAGATTCACCTGGTGGACTTGGCTGGAAGTGAGCGCGCCGATTCGACGGGTGCGACGGGGCAGCGCTTGAAAGAAGGCGCTCATATCAACAAATCACTCGTAACACTCGGCTCGGTGATTTCAGCATTAGCAGAATTATCCGCTGATAACAATTCACAAAAGAAGGCGGTGTTTATTCCATATCGAGACTCGGTGCTCACATGGTTGCTTAAGGACAGTTTAGGCGGCAACTCTAAAACCATCATGATTGCTGCCATTAGCCCAGCCGGTAAGTAGTAGAATTTAATATGAAAAACAAATAAAAATAGTTTCAATTTAGACTGTAACTACGGAGAGACCTTAAGCACTTTACGCTACGCCAATAGAGCCAAAAACATTATCAACAAACCGACTGTGAATGAAGATCCTAACGTGAAATTGATCCGCGAGCTGCGTGACGAGATCAGCAAGTTGAAAACATTGATGTTCAACGAGCATCAAATTCGATCCGACACAATGTTGGCCAAACTGCACGAAAAGGAGGCACGAGAGAAGGAACTCACCGAGGAATGGACGTGCAAGTGGCGTGAAGCCCAAGCGATATTGCGCGAGCAACGCGCGCTCGGATTACGCAAGGCTGGTCCTGGAGTAGTATTGGACTCTGATCGTCCACATCTTGTCGCAATCGACGACGACCCCCTAAGCACAGGCGTCACACTATATCATTTAAAAGAAGGCGAAACAACAATCGGCACTGAAGAGAGCTCACAGAGGCAAGACATTGTCCTTAAAGGCCCTGGCATGGAAGCGGAGCACTGCACGATTAAGTTCGAACAGGGCGTCGCTCTTCTTACGCCTCATGCTGGCGCGCAAGTATGGCTTAACAATACTCTCATTGAAGATCCAGCGCGATTATTCCAAGGATGTATTATATTCTTGGGCCGTGCTCATGTTTTCCGCTTTAATGATCCAGCAGAGGCGGCGGAGATGCGCCGTGGCGAACGCAGTCATCTTGCAAGGATGAGTTTATTAAGTTGGTCAACGCCTGATCTTGCAGTGTCCATGGAAAACCTGCCAAAATTGACGGGCGAAGATCACTCCGACTTGGAGGCGCAAAGACTTTGTTTGGTTAAGGAAAAACAACGTTTCGAAAAGGAGCAGGAGGCATTTGAACGCCGTCGGAAGAGTCTCGAAGAAGCGCAGGCCAAACTAGAAGCTGAAAAACGTGAGATGGAAGAGGAGCATGCAGCGCAGGCTAGACAACTACAAGAAAACTGGAGGAATCTCACGGCGATTCAAAAGCATCGTGAGCAGGAATTACAAAGGAAGGAAATTGAGCTTGTCGAACAGCGGGAAGAACTGGAAAAGGAACGCCAGAGAATTATGGGCGAGGTGAAGTTTTGCATTTGCATGCCATTTGATTCCCTTGTCTTTTTTTTATTTTTATTTATTTTTTGTTTTGGTAGATTGACGAAGAATTAGAAGCCGTTAATCAGTGTCGTAGTGTATTTTTGACTAAGTTGAAAAACACATTTAAGTTTCTTTTGTCCGACGGTGCTATCTTTTCGTTTGAAGACCTTGACCAAACCCGAGTTGTTCAGGTATTGTGTTGTTAGTTTATTGACGTCTCAGAAAATTATAATCAAGACGATTGTTGACGATAATTAACTTTTAATTGTTTTTTTTTTTTTTTTGCAAGGATTTGGTGAACAAAAGTGAAACATACTCGTTATCGGATTCAGAGTCTGATTATTTGGTCGATTTGTTAAATGGCATTCAGGGCAAGGAGCTGCTCGAAGATCTTGTTAACCAACACGTGAGTTACACATGTGAAGTCAATATTTTTTTATTCAATAAATGATTTAAAAATATGTATTTTTTCTCCAGCGGAAGGAACTAGCTGAACTGCAGGCGGAGCTAGAGCGTCGTGTAGTTGCATTAACAGAACGCCGCACAGCCGTCGAGAAACTAGACAAAAAGTTGGTTGGTCTCGTCGACGAGCAGATCGAATTAGGTGTTCCGGCCAAGGAGGAAAACTTACAGTTCCTGCGCGACACGCTTGCCTCGCGCACCGAGCAACAGTTGCGAGAGATTGAACAACGCAAGCAAGCGTGAGTAACGATTATTAATAATAATATCCTCTATTATGATATTTTATCATGTTTCAGATTAAACTTGAATTTAAAACGTATCAATTCAGCGCAAAGTCCAGACTCGCTCGATACGAACTATACGAGCAGCCTGGATCATGGCACACTTAGCAGCGACACATATCACACGGCGACGAGCGCCTGCTCAACGAGCATGTTTATTGTCGAGGGTATCGAAAAGATGATGAGCGACAGTGGGGTTGAGCTGCGACCAGGTTCACGACCGCCATACGAAAGCGACTTGTCGAGCAACGAGGATTCACGCGAAGCGAGCGATTCGCAATCGAGTAGCAGCGTGGAAAATCGCAGTCCAGTGATAAGAAAACGCAAGAAGGATAAAGATGTGCTACGAAATCTCGCACAGCGAGTGACACTCCAAAAGCAATTGATAATTAAAAGTTTGGACTCGCAATGTTCCAAGATATATCTCGATGCACAAATTGCAGTGAGTATTCCTAAACTGCTTATATGTAGGTACATATTTTTCATGTTTTCGTTCGTCTGCATTTGATGACTAGATTCTCCAAGACTTACAAAAACAATACTTGGCTGTCAAGGCAGGCTCTCCGTCGATATTATCCCCAGCGGCCGAACATCCGCTGCAGGATCTGGACTCGCCTAGTCCGATGCGCCCTCTACATGCAGGCTCCACATCTGCATTATATTCGCCGCCTTTGCCTGTAAGTCAACTTGCCAATTCAATGTATTGCAATGTATTTTCATTTAATTGCAATTAGTTGCAGCGCAGTCAACTGGCGCCGTACAGTTGTTTATACAGATCAATGCCTTCGATATCAACCCAAGTCGACAGTGAATCCATAGTTTCGATTGCCAGCTATTGCCTGCGCGGCACCGGCTCCCAAACCCATTATGAATACGAGGTTCGCATTCGCACTGCCGACGAGCGCTGGTGTGTCATGCGACGATTTCGGCGATTTCGAGATCTGCACATTGCGATGAAGGCGCGTTATGGTGAAAAGGTGGCGCAAATCCCTTTCCCCTCGAGGCAACTGTTTGCCAACACGGAAGCTGTGGCACAATCACGCAAGAAGCAACTGGAAATGTACTTAAAGCGGCTCATCGACGTCTGCAAAGCACATCCGAATTGCTGTCTTGCGTATGAGACACCGGTAACGCGTGCGACTCTTCAGAACTTTTCCCCTTTCTTCAGGAAAGGCTTGTTTGAAAATGGCAAATATGGGACCAGTTAGTTCTGGCCGTCTTTTGTTGTATGTTATATCCGTTTATCGTTAGAAAGAGGTCTTATGGGTTTATAATAATACTTAAGTCAACATGTTTCTACCTTTTCTAACAAGTTTACTGCATATTCATTTTGTAGGAAACATCGAATCAAAAACAAAAATTGTTAATCAAATTGCAACAAACGCGTCATTGTTGGATGGCTTTGATTCGAAAAGTCGAGTTACCAAAATAAATCCGATAGATATAATGACTGGCTTTGTGTGCGTGAGAGAATGAGAATGTGGAATAGCAGGATTATATTTTGTCAAATCCTCCAAATATGTATTTTTGCAATAATTGGCCGAACTCATTGAGCAACGCGGCGTTGGTAGTAGATGGTAATTGATGCCAGTACCGGATAGTATTTAAGAGCATTTGATTATTTAAATTGACAACATTGCTTATTGAAAGCATTTCTAATCTTTGTGATACTTACTTAGAACAATTTTGTGTTTTAATTTGCAATTTTTGAAATAAAATGCAATGAGTTTATCATTTCATCGATATGAATGTAGTGTCCTATGAACCTATTGCTCGTGTCTTGGCACCGAGCGCTCCAATCTTGCGTGTCGTGCGTTCTGCAAAACATTCGTTTAAATGTGGGCATAATAACGCGGATATGTTGTGTTGGTCGGCGGTTATGATCGGGACAACATGTGTATCCTGCGGCTCGTACTTTGTTTGGCGCAGTTGGTGCATCGCGCTGGGCGAGTGTGAAGCAACTATTCATACCGACAACAAATAAATAATAAATTATAATGTGTGCTGTTTGACTGATAATCAAATTCAGCGCATCCGCATTTATGAAAATGTCATTTCAAAATGGCAGCCCAGCAGACGTCGAAGGATATTACCAAAAATTTCTTCAATTGCAGGAACGGTTGCGAATAAGGTAAATGCAGTGTTTCGATTTGTTTGTAGTGTACCTTGATTTGCCCGAGTGACCCTGTTTATTTGTTTGTAGTGAACAGGAGCGCTTGCAACTCGAGATGAAGTTTAACACGATGATGCAAGTTACACACGAAGAGTAAGACTGTTAATTACCGTAATTCTTTATTGTGATCATCTAATCCCTTTCTAGGGAGCAATTGTATTTTAAGCGCCTCAAGACACAGTACAGGCGATTCGTGGAGGAACACCAAAAGCGACAGGAGCGGAACACACAAATCCTGCACATGTTGGAAAACATTGAGAGTCGCGCTGCCGTTTTCGAAGCGAGATCGGCGCGATTCAAACAACTGCGTAATCAGTATCGATCGTTCTTAACTAGGATCGAGCACGAGAGCAAGGTAAAAGAAAAGGAAGCCGTATTGCCCCTGAGCACGACCTTGAACAAATTTATTGATTCTCACCACCCGAAAACGACAAGAGTGGAAATACGCGAAACTTCTAAACCGTTTTGGATGCATGACCTTGGCAATGCGGATCACTTACAAGCGCGGCCAATGATTGAACGGAATTCAATGCGCGGTGATTTCAATGCCACTCCTGCGAAGAGACAGAGTGTGGCGGTTGAAGATGATACCGACGATTCCAATACGAGTGTTATCGCTGCGCATACTGATCATCAGTTCAATGCGGAAATGAATTCGAAAAAGTCAAATTTCAGCTCCGAGGAATGTTTAAACATGGAGGATTATATCCACCCAGTAAAAGAAATACTTAATTCTAATGATATTATGCAAAATGTCGATGAGAATCAAAATTCTTTGCCAGGTATCACACTGAAGCAAGAAAATGAACTTGAAGTGTTTGAAGATGGGAAAGCAAATGAAATATCACCGTTAAAAATGGGAATGAATGAAACGGTGAACCAAGATTGCGAAGAAATTATCACAGACACGGACAAAATATTATCTCCCCCTGAAATATTACAACTCGATCTTCACGAAAACAGCGCTCCAGAGATAACTCACGACAACGAAGAGATTATATCTGCGGGTTTGGACCAGGTACAATTGAACGCACAAGTTAATGATGAAATAGAAGCGTCTACAGCGTTGGAACATATCGAGAACATTCCAAACCATGATCAATATCAATACTACGAAGAAACTGATAATCACAAACAAGGAGCAGAAGGTGAAGAATATTCAGAAAATGTATTACCACAAGCATTCAATTGTCAAACGTTAGAAGAACAAAATGTTGACTTGGGCAGTCTAAGCCAACCACCTGCTGAGCAGCACTTTGAAGAGCCAACTACTGATAACATGCAATATGGCGAATCTGATCAAGCAATTGCATACGATGACCAAAATCGCCAAGTCTACTACGACGAAAACGGTCAGCAAATGCATTACGATGAGGCGACCCAGGAATACAAGTACACCGAACAACAGTACGATGAGAATGATCAAAACTATCAATATGATACCAACATGGGTGGAGAAATGGCCGACTATCCACAGGACCAGGCAGCTACCGGCGATCCTATCGAAAATGTTTATTATGATGACGGTAATAATGAAGAAGCTGAATACGCAGGACCTGAGTTGGTCACTCAGCAATTATATAATAGTGAAGGAGCCGGTACCATTGGTGACATTGAAACAGTTGCAACAAGTCCGCAAGCAAATCTATTGGAATTATTGGACACCGAATCGGAGAGCACGCCACATCCACAGGGCGAACAAAAAGAAGCAACCGAGAGTGATTTTGAATTTAGTGCGACTAGCGATGCAGCAAACCTACCGCAATCATAAACACAATTAGCGTTTAGTAATTAAAATATATGCATATAAATAATATTTTAGAAGCATACACTTGTTTGTCGTTTGATTACACTTAAACAATAAAAGCAGAAATACTAGGGCAACAGGTTCCGTACTGGTTTGTTTCGGCCAGCAGCTGACCCGCATTGCGTTTCTCGCGACGCGACGCCGCGTCGGATTCCGCCCGTCGAGGCTCTGTGCTCTGCGGACGCGGATCGATAGAGAATGGGCGAAAACGGCGCCTCGATTCACAACACCGGCACCGACACCATCGCAACGGCCCATCCGTTCAGTTCAGCAGCTGTTTCGCCAGCGAAAGCGAGGAGGATCTCCGTTGACCCTCTCATGAGCTTCTATGCAGACGATGTGGAAGGCGATGGTCTGCTAGGCGGCACTCTGCACCAGGAAGGGCGTGACGGTGAGTGACCCTCGCTCATTAATGTTCCTTATCTGTGCTTATCTCTGTTTACTGTCACACAATTGACGTCCTGACATAGTTTTGATTTACTTCGATTATTGTCGTGCGGTGTTTGTAACGTGGGCGCTCGCGCCGCGGTGTTGTACGAAAAAGTGTGGACAAGTGCGGATGAACGAGGCTTTGCAGCGTGGCAGTACGCCGCCGATAATGAGTCAGAGAGGTATACCGAGGTACCTTGACGAAGGTAATATTCATAACACACACATAATGTAATGTAGTAGGAATGCGTGACTGAGGCGCTAGTTTAATTTTCTTCAATTCTGACAAGTTTCTGACAAGAAAGAAGAATATTAGGATGGCAAGTAAATTCTCAAAGATAACGATGCGATCGCATGTTATGGCGCGGGTGTGTGGGTGTCATGCAAAGGAAAGTGTTTGCGCTCTATTTGTCAGTGGAATTTTTTGTGCACAAGGAAATAAACTGTGGTAAGCAAAACACGAACTGCGGGCGTCTGAAATAAATTGATATTTACTTTGGGGGGACTCAAGGTAATAATGATGTGCAAATTTAAAATGTAAACAAAATAAACGTGCCGACTCACACCTCGTCGATATTGCAATTCGGATATTTTTGGCGGCGGAGTTTATTTGCGATGTCTCCGCCCCTCGGCGTATTTTAGGCACGCGTGTTTGCGCCCGATCCGAAACAAACTTAGCGTCACCGGGAAGTGCGATTATTTTTAGCCGGTGCTTTTCAATCCAACATGCGCCTCTAGGTCAGTTTAGTTGGTTAGCAGACGCACACGGCGTGAGTGCGTCAATCATCCCCTGATATTAGCGATAATGTCTCAGCGAGGCATTATCCTGTCGCGCACTCCGGACGAGACCGCCGACTTGTACGCATCCACGCCGACGTTCCTCCGACTTAACTCGTTCCTGGACGAAGGTAATGAAATCAATATTTGCGTCATAGGAATGTCAACATTTTGAAAAACGTCAGAAATCATTATTGCAATGTTTGCTGTTTTGTATCATGTTGGATTGAGATTTTACTGCAAGCATCGACAATTCTTGAGACATTTTTATCACTGCGTAATTTCAGGTATACTGTGATGATAATTTTTACAAGTAAAGGTAGAATAGAGATAAAGAGCATAGATTCTCAGCGTAGGCAGTTATAGTACACATGTAGTTCATGGTCGCGACGACGACTGGCGTGATAATCTGCTTAGTAGCAGCTTTGTTTTCATTTGCGATCCCGCCATTGCTGATTAAAAGCTTATTACGCTAGCTGTGCGTCGTAAGTCGTAAGGCAGCCACACAACCTAACACACTATTGCTCAAACAACGTTTGATGCGGTTGGACGTGCTGTAGTCCTGCGATTCGCATCGTTTGTGCAAATGTAAAACAAATAAGAAACTAATCGATGGAGAATACTGCGTCCAACAATGGCTTGTTAGACATCAACTGGACTAAGGATGATTTTGGCAACATTATACGGAAAATTTCCGAATGTAAGTAGACAGCTCGAGCGCAAATGAAAAACTTTCCACATCGTCAGCTGCAAATAATTAACACTTACGCAGAATATGATTATTTGTATTGTAACTTAATACACTTGTGTTATCTGACTTGTGAATTTTCGGATGTTTATTGTGTAAAAATACGTGTGTGAATGCGCTACGGATTAATGTTGCGACTAAAAATAGATTTCAACATTCAAGTAAACATAAATACTTGGAACAAGTTCAAAAGGTCACGCCAGCGTCAACTGTAGTGTTTTAATTGCGCTGTTGCTTGATTTCAGGCAGTGAGAGCCCGGCGTTTAGCTCCAGATATCCGGTCAACGATCTGCAGAATGATTTACCGAATGAAATTTCGGCGCCGTACGAGGTGCCGCAGTTCCCTATCGAGCAAATTGAAAAGAAACTCGCCATTCAGAGGCAAATAAATGTCAAGTGAGTATTTTCAGAACTTATAACCTGCGATAAATTGAATTATCTATAAGAAGCTTATCATAAATTCATTTGGTTGCTACCGTTAAAATTAGAAAATGTGCAACACTTAATATGCGAACCGAAGAGAGAGGTGGGGAAAACGTAGAGAGCTGCAACTGCACCGCCGGACGACTCAGGCGCGACTGAGCGCGATGCACACTGCGCGGCCATCTTTTATACATTCGGCCAACCCACAAAAAGTGGTGGGGTTGAACTAAAAATTTAGACACTTGAGCAATATAAAATTGACAAATATTTGTTTGGCCTGCAGCCATTTATTCAGCTGCTTCCTGCGCGACGAAACTAATTTGTAATGTTGAATTATTTTCGTGAGTAATGGCATTTAATTGCGTGTGGGATAAACTGAATTTTCCAATAGAAAATGGTAATTATCTTCGCATAGCATGTTGCACACTATTTGCTTTGATCGTCTTTAATGACGCCCTATATCCTAAGCAGGCCAGTTACTCGCGGTCTTCTCGATTATCAACATGTTTGGCCATGCTGAAGAATACGAAAATCAACCATATTATAAACGGTCGATATTATAAATTTAAAGTTAAATTGCTTCGGAGAATACAGGAAATTGAATTTGTTTAGGGTTTTCGAAGATCGCAAGTCTCACTACGAGCCATCCGTGGGTGCTCCCGATGATATCACCAAAGCGACTCTGGATGAACATGATTTCGTGCCTCATTTCCAACGGGTATCCATTTCAGGAGAGGATACCAGTGGGGTAATAAGTTTAACCCGACGTCGAAAGTTTCTTTAAATTTTCTACAATATACGAGTTTCTTTAGGTCCCCCTTGAAGACTTGGCACTTGCTTCTAAGTTGCTGGTAGATGCCTTACGGATTCGTCAGCGTTACATGGCCGTATCCCACCAAAGTTTCGCCGCTACCACGTCCCGTTTTCTTAACCCCGACCACGATCACGACCTGCTCCATCACGATGACAAGCAAACAATTGAAGGTACGTTACGATTAGTCGTAGATCATATAATTATGTAGTATAAATATTACTGTAGTGGTTTAGTATGCCACAAAGTGTAGCAGGATCCATTTTTGGGGTCTTTAGTTTGAACACGACGAAATGCATGATGATGTAAATGCCCCCTATAGTAGAACCGCGTGAAGACGCCGAGAGCCTTCTCGAGATCTTCGACATGGAAGATTACAGCTTATCTTCGTTGCGTGGCCGAGCTGATAGCTTTTTCGAAGGTAAAAACGCATCCGTGTCTTCACCACCACACACCACCCACAACTGTGTGCATCAGTGTGTGCGTGTGTGTACTTGATTGCGCTGCGTGTGTGTTTTCTAACACTCCACAATCAGACATTTTTAAGCAATCGATCCTGAGGCATCAATAAGCGCCTAGAGGACAGGTTGCTGAAAGCGTGTGGGGAAGGCTGTAATTAATACTTTGTTGCGTTTGTCGGGAGCGTGAATTGTAACTGGTTGAATAACAAATTGTTGTTATTTTAGAGCATCCAATTCATCCGCCGTCTGGCAGTGCGAATCCCTGGGTAGCCCCTGATGTTGAAGATGACTGCAACTACAGATTCAAATCGCATAGGGGTGTCTTTCACGTTTTTGCCAGCGATGAAGCACTTGCCGAAGATAAGCAGTGCGACTATCCTTATCCGGACTTGGATCAGTTCGTCACCGACATGAATACCATGTGTAACATGATTGCCGACGGACCATTGTAAGTATTTTTACCAAAACTTGTTCCCCACTTAAGACCTTGGCCCATTTTTTTGGCAGAAAATCATTCTGCTATCGACGACTGAGTTATCTTTCCTCTAAATTTCAACTGCACGTCCTTCTCAACGAGCTACGCGAGCTGGCTTCGCAGAAAGCAGTGCCCCATCGCGATTTCTACAACATAAGAAAGGTCGACACGCATATTCACGCCGCGTCCTGCATGAACCAGAAGCACCTACTGCGTTTTATCAAGAAGACACTCAAAAACCACGCCGACGAGGTGGTGACAAACAACAACGGCAAGAAAATGACGCTCAAGGAGGTGTTTCAAGTGAGTAATCTGCCAGCGTCGCAGCGAGCTGTGTAAACCATGTTTGTTATATCGTTGCATTTCATGATTAGATTCTAATGACTGTTTGCTATGGAAAGAAAGTTTCTTTCTTTGATTTGCTTCAGGTAAGCGCATTTTTTAAAGGCCAAATCAGTTCGGATTTCTGTAGTTCTCATTATTGCCCCCTCAACACCAATCTCCATTCATTTAAAGGCATGAATTCCATTCCAAACCATTTGCTGGAGAAATGCGCGGCTTACTAAGCATAGAATGAAAATTATTTGGTTGATGCGATGATGATGCTCACCTGAATGTGAATAATGAATAGACTCATTTCAGAGACTTCCCTCTCCTTGCTGCTGGGATACATTCAAATTTCTCACATGTGTGCCTTCCTAAATCATTTTGCGATAACACAACCTGCTTTTCAGTCGATGAATCTTACCACATACGACCTCACCGTCGACATGTTGGACGTACACGCCGATCGCAACACGTTTCATCGCTTTGATAAGTTCAACGCCAAATACAACCCCATTGGCGAAAGCAGGCTGCGAGAAGTCTTCCTTAAGACGGACAATTACCTCAACGGGAAGTACTTTGCTCGTATTATCAAGGAAGTCGCGAGTGATTTGGAGGAATCAAAGTATCAGAATGCGGAGCTACGTCTGAGCATTTACGGCAAGAGTCGCGAGGAATGGGACAAACTAGCAAAATGGGCCATCGCTTCAGATGTTTATTCTGACAACGTTAGATGGTTGATTCAGATACCTCGTTTATTGTGAGTTGCTTGTGGTGAATGATAAAATCGATATTATTGTTACTGATTGTTGATTGCAGCGATATCTTCAAATTGAACAACATGATGGAGCACTTCCAGGAGATCCTGACCAATATTTTCTTACCACTATTGGAAGTCACTGCAGTGCCATCGTCGCACCCGGAACTGCACAAATTCCTTCAGTATGTCATTGGCTTTGATTCGGTGGACGACGAAAGCAAGCCAGAGAATCCGCTCTTTGAGAAGGACATCAATTCACCGGACACATGGAGCGACACCGAGAACCCGCCGTACGCCTACTACCAATACTACATGTACGCCAACATTGCGGTGGTGAATCATTTCCGTGCCGATCGCGGCCTCAACACATTCGTGCTGCGTCCACATTGCGGTGAAGCGGGGCCTGTGCAGCACTTGGTCTGTGGTTACATGCTCTCCGAAAACATCTCACATGGTCTGTTACTGCGCAAAGTTCCCGTTTTGCAGTATCTTTATTATCTGGCACAGATTGGTATTGCCATGTCGCCACTTAGCAACAATAGCCTCTTCTTGAACTACCACCGCAACCCATTACCCGAATATCTCGCGCGCGGACTGTGTGTTTCGTTATCCACGGACGACCCGCTGCAGTTCCACTTTACCAAGGAGCCGCTTATGGAGGAGTACAGCATAGCTGCGCAAGTATGGAAGCTGTCCAGTTGTGACATGTGCGAGCTTGCGAGGAACAGCGTGCTCATGTCGGGCTTCCCACACAAGATGAAGCAGTACTGGTTGGGGCCCAACTACACCAAGGAGGGCGTCGCCGGCAACGACATCACGAGGACCAATGTGCCCGACATTCGCGTCGCCTTTCGCTACGAGACGCTCATTGACGAGCTGAACAATATCTTCAAAACCACCCATTCCAATGTGAAGGAGTGAGCTAGAAGTCGATCAGCCAGATTTATATTAATAGAACAGAGACCTGTTGATTTACGTAACTACATTTTTACATTCGTCTAACTATTTCGGTTTAAAAACACATTTATTTACATTTTTAAAGAGTTTAATGTACTTAGTGAGAAATATTAAGTAAAAAGTAAGCGTTGCAGTGATAACATATCTCCGCCTGTACCCAATTGTCCTTGAATGATTTTTGCTTTAGAATGTCGGGAATTGCAATCGGTTGAAGGACAATGGATTGTCATATAAGAGCGCTCTCCTTTCGCGAAAACTTTTATTGTTTTTTTCCACTTTGTTACGAATGCGTGCACGGGCCTAATGTCAGCATGAATTTTCCATGGATAATCGTTGTTACGTGTGTGTTGTGCAGTTATGTGGAGGGTAGTTATGACAGTTCGGACAAGATGCCATTTCCCAACTTACCAAATGCCGCACCACGTTCAGAAAACACCATTTGTCGAGAGGAGAGCCAATTGTACATCGAACACTTGAATAATATGACTTTGTGGGCACATAAAAGTAAGCAAGCACGTGAGATAAAAAAATATTTGTTGGTTTTAATCACTTGCATCCAAATCAGTGTGGGATGCCACAGCAAAATCCTCCGTCGGCGCCCTGCAGGGGGCCAACTTCCAGTTTGGTAATTTTGATGAATGCATGAGCGTATCGGGCCCTTTTCGCACGCAACATTGTTTCGTCCGCATTGAAGCCAATGTGCCTAGCGTGCATAATCGCAGTGACCCGTTTGGGATCAACTTTAATCCAAACGATCACGTTTTAAAGCGTTTATACGTAATTATTGATTACCCACGCGATTGATTACCATACTTATAACGTAAACACGTTTTTAATGCATAGAATACCGGCGATATCTCACAGCAAGCAAGAAACATCATCAACATTGGATGGTGCGTGCCAGCATCTTGCACCGCCATGGACCTGGAGCGGGCTTTAAATCAGTACCTTACTAAAACCGTGCATCCCTTCAACGCGTACAATGTCTCGTACGTGGCTAAGATTGAACAGAAGCATTGTCAGCGGGAAAAGGAAATCAATGTCCTTGACGGAGTTGACATCAGTTTTGGGTATTAAATACCAACTTAGCAAAGACCGTAAATGTTGCATTGAAATATAATTGCAGCATTCTCGTTGGCGTGCTGGTGCTGCTTGTAATTAGCGGTTCTATTTATGAAGTTAGATCATCACAGCGCGAGAATAAATCGAGTAGGTCGTGAGTGATTAACTAATGCAACAAACATAATTGATCGATATAAATAGGTTCGCTTCTGGGGCGCATCCTGTGCGCATTCTCGGCACGAAGGAGTTACGAGGATGTACAACGAGCGGACGAATCAAACGGCGCTTTAAAGGTCCTCTATGGTATTAGGACTTTTGCAATTGTGATGATAGTTACCGATCATCGATTCGGCACCTACATTTCGGGACCCATTTCCAACTTTGATTACATTGAACAGGTGAACATTACATTGACGGTCGGCTAGAGATGGAATGAAATGACATCGGCTTCTGCTTTTTCACAGGAATATAGGTCTTTATCGTCATGGTACCTCTTTCATGGCGATTTGTTCGTAGACACATTTTTTATTCTGAGTGGAATCCTGGTCACATATGGATTGCTCAAACAATACAATAAAAAAGTTATCCAGCCGGGCCTCATAATTGTGCTGCGCTACATGAGGTAGGATTAATATTCACAATAGCGAAAAATCAACTCACATGTGTTTCGACAAACATGACACGTTTGTGAAAGGTACACAGAGTAGCTGCACGTTTTAATCGTTCAAGCATTTTGATATTCAAGGGCAAACTGTTGCAGTTTCAGTTTTAATTTATTTACCGGGTTGAAATTAGTCATATGGTGAATTGTTTACTGTCTGTTCTATTAGATGCAATTAATTCTGAATTTATCGATGAGCAAAAGTCTAACACCCATACAACTAGTAATTAATGCACACGTACTCGACGTTCACTTGGCACCTCATGTTGCTACTTAATGCCGCTCCGATTTCCTCTCACTTATCTCATTAAGGCGATTGATTACAAATGTCATATAGTGTGTATTATTTCAAGGACGCATTGTAATTACAATTGTTAAATGTTAATTTCTTTCAGATTAACTCCAGTTTACGCATTCGTCGTATTTTTTTGGTCCAGCATCTTCCGGCACATCGGGTCGGGGCCATTTTGGAATTTTGTTGTACCGAAAGAGGTGCAAGATTGTCGAAAATACTGGTGGTCTAATTTGTTATATATCAGCAACTATGTTGGGGGACCGGATATGGTAAACACTAAACTAGATGTATTATTGCATTGAATGTTTAAACTTATTGTTTTGTTTAATTACAGTGCATGATTCACTCCTGGTATCTGCCTTGCGACTTCCATTACTTTATTATAGCGATTTTTGTCGTCAGAGTGCTTCACAACAACAAAAAACTTGGCCAGATTCTTCTGGGTCTACTCTATTTCATTTCTGTGTTGGTACCATTTGTAATAACAATAGTATATCGAAGACCAGGCGTGCTCCACTTTTATCCAGCAGTGTTTCTGGTCGACCCTAAAAGCAACCTCGACTTCCACCTCACCTACATCAAGACGCACACGCGAGCCTCCACATACATTCTTGGCATGTTCGGTGGGTACGCATTCTATAAACTGAAAGATAAGGACTTCAAAATGTCGGCGGTGCAGTCACACTTGCTCACACTGCTTTCACTGGTATGCCTTTTCTTCGGCATGGCAAGCGGCGCGGTGTTTTACAACCCCTACCACGAATACAATGTGATTGAAGCGGCGTTCTATACCTCACTGCATAGAAGTGTCTGGGCTTGTGGAACCATTGGAATAATCTTTGTCGCCTCATATGGGCACGCCACATGGATATACAAAACTCTCGCATGGTCGCCCTGCATTGTCCTGGGAAATCTAGTTTATGGCGTTTATTTGGTTCACATGTTATTTCAATTGCGAGCGGTTGGAATGGCGTCAAGTCCAAGAACTTTTAGTTACTTCACGACGGTAGGGAAAGCCCAATTGCCAATCAATTTCAATTAAACTAAATATATATTTGTAGTTTTCCTACGCAGTCAGCGACGTAGTGCTGTCCTTCATCCTGAGTTTTCTCATTTTCGTAGCTATTGAGAATCCGTTCAGGAAGATTATTAAAGTGCTGCTCTTTCCAGTGCGTGACAACAAAACGCACTCAACCAAAGACTCGATTGAAGTTCCTGAACATTTCGGTAGTGTGCGCACGAGTCGTTTGTGAATATACGCAAAAAAGTGTGAGCCAGTTCTCAGCTGGACACTAACAAAGACTGACAATTGCGAAATAATTCTTTTCAAGGCCGTAACGTAAAAATAAAAGGATTTTTTAAGGTATTTTCTACTTTTTACGGATCGCCGCACGCATCTTCATATCATTACTAATAAAACTAAACATAATGATGACCATATTCATTTTTATTTACTGCGCAAATTATGACGATGATCTGGGCTTCAGCTCATCAAAACAAGCCCGCAAGAAAATGTTGTTCTTTTTGAGCGGATTATAGAAATCGTGCCCCTTACTCCAATCATAGCTCACAGCATAGGCGAATATCTGCCCATTGTGATTGAATGCACATCGCGAAATCGGCTGCTCCATTGCCTCAGACGGCTTGAGCTTGGTCCTTGCATCCTTATCCCAGAAGCTAAAGGTCCCATCCGACCCCACCGTAGCCAACGTGCCGTGCACCGGATGAAATGCAATATCATTCACCGCATAAATATCTTGGTATCCATTTGGTGCACCGTTAGATCGGTGGCACTTGAATGTGAAGTTGTCTTTGGGATTTGGAGGATTAACATACTGAATAGCAACACGACCTTCAACTGATCCCAGGGCATAACCTGTGGGCGCCTTCTTCTTATCTCTGTTTCAAGATACAAGCAAATTAAAACATACTTTCTAAGCAATATTTGGCAATTATCATATTTCCCTACCTGAAAATAGCCACACATCTATGCTGATATTTAAGTGGACTCTCAGTTTTTTTAAATTCTTTTGGTTGCCCCTCCAGTTGATAGATAATGATGTGTCTTCCAGCAGTACTCACCACTGCCATTGGATAATCTACATCAGCACAGTAGCACCTTTCTGGCAGATTAATAGTGAGAATCGGGTTGGGCGAACGCGTATCCCAGAATTTCAAAGTCTTATCCCATGAGCCAGTCATAAGACATGAGTAATTGGGTGCTTTGATCCAATGGCATGTTTTTATGGGCGCGTCATGCGCAGCTACCTGCAGCAGTTGATTACTGCCCAAGTCCCATACCTTGGCTTGCTTATCACATCCTGCCATAAACACTTTGGTGCCATCATCACTCCAGCACACATCCAGCACTGGACCGCCACAGGTTTGCAATGATTTCGGGACTGTTTTCCCGCTCTGTTCCACCTCCCAGCAACGCACGTTGTTGTCCCAACTTCCGGCAATCAGGAAGTTTTGCGGCAGAGTGCTTGGTGAAAACGATAAACAACTCACCGAATCGTCCGGTGGCGATATTACTTCGTAATCCTTCATTGGGTTCGAGTTTGGGGTGGTTGTGGTTGCACCAAACGTGCCCAGCGTTGTAGATTTAAACATCTTCCTTCCTTCTTATTTTATTTAATTATTTGATGCTTACTTTGAATCAAACACATTTAAAATACGAGCGAAAAGTTTTGAGGTTATTTGTATGCAACACAAAAACACACCTGCATAAAATGCTTTTGTGCACTACAGGTTGCATATAGTTGCATCCATAGCAGACGCTTTCAGATCAAATTCAAAGTATACACAAACATAATTACGAATTTTTCTAGAAAATAGCAAATACTAATGCAAATTGTAATTATTTAAATAGTGCACTGTGGTATAAAACAACCCAAGTAGGTATATAGTAATGGGATTGTGCCTAACTATACGCACGCGCACGGAGTAAATTGATCCAAGGGTGCACTGGTGTAGACTGTGGGCAAATTCCTGCCCTCCTATACAAAGAATATAAATTTCATCATCCACATCATTCAACTACCTGCTAAGGTGCCAAGGTGCCCCCAAAACACACATAATGGTCGACTTAAGCAGCGCCACACAGGACGGCCCCATCGAGCACGGCTTTTCCAATAGCGTTTTCGTCCTTCCCGCATTAATCATCATCACGCTCGCTGGTACATAATCCTGATTATAACTATTTAAATGTTGTAACACACCTACAACCATAACATCCGCATGCACCTTAGTTTTAGGCCGATACTTTCATCGGCTTTATAAAACTTGTTGAAGTAGCATTATCACGCAATCACAGCGAGCGGCATAAAAACGTTTCGAGTCAGCATTAAATTGTCACATCGTATGCTTATAGATAACCGATTCCTGCTACTAATCAAATCGACGTAACATTACTTGTATAACTAGTAAAACCTTCAATCAACGCCTAACCGCTCGTCAGTTATCATACGCTTGTCGTACAAAATGGACGGAATGGATTTACTGCAGGGGGTGCAGGACGCAGACAGTGAGGGTGCCATGCCCGAATTACCCCCCGATATGGGTCAATTCAAAATGCCTAGCTTGGAGCAAATGGTACACCTCTTAGAAAAGATGGACATCCCGGAGGAGGAAAAAGCTAAAATCATGGAGGGATTCACTAACAAAGCGGACGTTTTAGCCAAACTAGCAGGCCAGGGCGCAGGCAGAATCAACGATGCGATGAGCCACAACCGCGGCATCTTCGACCCTTATTCAGGGGGATCGTACTATCTGCTCTTGCTCATGCTTTCCATTATCGTTATGATTTTCGGTGAGTTGTTTGTTTTTGTTTGCGTGCGTGTTATGGCCTCGCTGCGCTTATGTGTTATCAGTTATCACTTTAACACGTTGCCGGCCAACGTGTAACAACGCGATGTAACCGCAACATGTGTCTCACTCGTTGTACATTGCTAGAAATATAGAAACACATAAAAAGATGGAAGTGAATATCGGGAAGACAGAGTCTAGCACCGTGAATATGTTTATATTTATGATCGCCCTCGTTGTGATTAGTGGTGTGCTAGGTAAATGGAATTATTTTTGCAAACTTGTTACATCTGTAACCATCTGGAAGTAGGATAAATATTTCCTGTGCACTTTAATTTTCTTTTCCTTTCTTTGCACAGCATTCTTCGGCTACAAGCTGTACAAATCCCTGACTGATAAGGAACGCAAACGAGAAGAAAAACGTAAACTGAAGCAGATGAAAAAGAAGAAATAACGCATCGTAACAAGTCTTAACTTGCGCCGACTCTTCCAAAGTGTTTAATTTAAGAGAAATCTATCCTTGTTTCATATGTTATAATAAAATACCAATAATTCACTTGTGTGCATTACTCACTTGACTCGTGGATTGTGATTAGATTAAGTTATCAGAAAATTTCGCACTCATTTTAGCGCATATTCAGTCTCACCGGGAACGGTACTAGTAAGTACATTTAGTAATAAAATAATAGAGCAAGTAAATTTCAAAAAGATGCTGTGAACCTCGATAAAGATACCAAGGATAACCGAAAAGGGAGATGAGAAGACAAGAAATGACAAGATTAAAAAGGACTGACTCGTTTTAGTCTTAAATATTAATATGAACAAATAATTATTAACTCATTTCGGATAGACCCGGTCGCTGCTGCTTCCTCATCTGCTGACCATCATCTCTTTCATACCTATTGTAGCGATAATTGCCTTGATTACTTCTTTGATTGTAACTGTTATGTCGATTTGTGAACTGTCGATTATTCTCCGTTAAAAACGGAGGTGGTTTGATCTCCTCACACAGCTGCTTATCTAAACTACCTTCATGTATATGCCCCTGTTCAGTAAAATATTTCTCAATTCTGTTTAATTCTTGCAGTAAGCTGGCGTTGCCGCTCTTCTCCACAGCAGCATGCACTTCTTCAATCACCTCTCTGTTGAATGTCTGTTTAACATTGCCTTCCCCTTCAAGTACACTCTTGAGTAAATTCACAGTTTCATCCAGACGACCAATACGTGTCAACGCAATTGCTTTGAGATTCCTCACTGTGGTATAATTCTGATTCTTTGTGTTAGCTAGAATTTCTATGCAAGCCTCTGGCTGGTTGTGATTCACAGCCAGCGCAGCACAAAATGTCGTCGCGCGTCGCATTGGAAAATGACCTGCATCTTTAAGACAATTCCACACACTCAAAGCATATTTACAACTGTCTGCTGTGTTTAGTTTGTAGCATGCTGCCATAAGCAAAACTATAATGTTTCTTGGGTATTTGGTGCCCTCAATCTGCCTGGATTGTATCTTCTCATATGTAGTCAACATCTCTTTGTACATTTTATGCTCATATAACAAATCTAAGAGCAACTGATAGGTGATGAGTTGCTCAAAAAATCCTTCTAGTTTTGGTGAATTAAAACATTCTAGAGCAATAGCAGGTTTCTGCAAATGGTGCAACATTCTCATGACCACTGGCCCAAACACAAAATTGCCAAACCTGAGTTGTTTGTTTTGCTCATTGAATTTGTTCATCATTTGTATGATTAATGTTATATCATCTTCAGTGGCCAGGTGTATCATGTTCTTCAAATCTTCAGTAAAGATCATGTTCTTGGAGTTTTCAGATGCATATTCTTCCATTTTGATCCGGAACTTCTCAGAGATGTTTCCCAATTGTGCATCAGTTCTAGCTCTCTGCTGGATATAAGCATCAATGCCTAGTGTGACTGGGGAATATAATGTCCGCACTACAAAGACGAAGTTAACAGAGAATTTATATTTGAATAAATATCACTAGTGTCACTGAATGTACTTACCTTGTAATAATGGTTTAGATGGCCATATCAAACACTTTAATGTAGTTTTCGCAGCAAATGCAGATAACACTTTGTAGGTTTGAAATACATGTGCCATTGCAACTTTTCAATTAATTTTATTCTAAAGTATTGAAAATTTTGCCGTTTCGCATGTGACAAACCTAACCACAAACTTAGAAATTTAGTTACCATTAGTAACTTTGATGTAACTCAACGACAGGGGTACCCCTGACTATGCGTCGTTTAGCCGCATAAACAAATTCAAATTTTTAGTTGGACGTGATGCGGAAAAATAAACATGAAATAATATTGTGCTGTTTGTGGATATCTGTGTATGAATAGTATTTTTTTGTGCACATTTGATTAAGATTTGTGAGCTTAATCGCTTTAATATTCTCTATTACTTTCACATACTTTATAAATGGACGCAGGGCCAAATGGATCACGACAAATTCACCCGCGGTGAGATGAACGACGGCAAATTCACCCACGGTGAAGTGGACAACAGCAAGTTCACCCGCGGTGAAATGGACGACGGCAAATTCACCCACGGTGAAGTGGACAACGGCAAGTTCACCCGCGGTGAAATGGGCGACGGCAAGTTCACCCGCGGTGAAATGGACGAAGGCAAATTCACCCACGGTGAAGTGGATGGCGGCAAATTCACCCGCGGTGAAATGGACGTCGGCAAATTCGCCCGCAGTGAAACGGACTATGGCAAATTCACCTGCGGTAAAATGGGCGGGGGCACTTTATTCAGTTTTGGAGCAGAAAAAAAGTTTTTAGTAGCCTATATTGTAGAGAATCCTTCAAGGATCAAGAATTTGCCGTCTTTTCTTTTCTAGCCCTTTTAGTTTAGGAGTTATTAGCGTTTAAAATTTTATTGTAATTTCAAAGGAAACAAATTTAACAAAAAAGATCGGCCCTGTTCTTCGGCCGAAAATATCTTTTTGAGTTTTGCACCGCCATTTTATAGTTTAAGAGACGCTCTATACAACACATGCCATTTTAATCCGCTAAACATTCGGGAAGTGCCCTAAAATGCCCTTCAAACATTGGCCTTTTTTGGAAATTTTGAAAACATGCTGTGGAAAACACCCTGTATCTCCCAAACTATTACACTTTTTTGGTGTTTTTCAACGCCATTTTATAGTTTAGGAGACGCTCTATACAACACATGCCATATTAATGCACTAAACGTTGTGGAAGTGCCCTAAAATGCCCTTCAAACATTGGCCTTTTTTGGAAATTTTGAAAACATGCTGTGGAAAACACACTGTATCTCCCAAACTATTACACTTTTTTGGTGTTTTTCAACGCCATTTTATAGTTTAGGAGACGCTCTATACAACACATGCCATTTTAATCCGCTAAACATTCGGGAAGTGCCCTAAAATGCCCTTCAAACATTGGCCTTTTTTGGAAATTTTGAAAACATGCTCTGGAAAACACCCTGTATCTTCCAAACTATTACACTTTTTTGGTGTTTTTCAACGCCATTTTATAGTTTAAGAGACGCTCTATACAACACATGCCATTTTAATCCGCTAAACATTCGGGAAGTGCCCTAAAATGCCCTTCAAACATTGGCTTTTTTTGGAAAATTTGAAAACATGCTGTGGAAAACACCCTGTATCTCCCAAACTATTGCATTTTTTTGGAGTTTGTCACCGCCATTTTGTAGTTTAAGAGACGCTCGACACAATACATGCCATATTAATGCGCTAAACGTTCTGGAAGTGCCCTAAAATGCCCTTCAAACATTGGCCTTTTTTGGAAATTTTGAAAACATGCTGTGGAAAACACCCTGTATCTCCCAAACTATTGCACTTTTTTGGTGTTTTTCATCGCCATTTTGTAGTTTAAGAGACGCTCGACACAATACAGGCCATATTAATGCGCTAAACGTTCTGGAAGTGCCCTAAAATGCCCTTCAAACATTGGCCTTTTTTGGAAATTTTGAAAACATGCTGTGGAAAACATCCTGTATCTCCCAAACTATTACCCTTTTTTGGTGTTTTTCAACGTCATTTTATAGTTTAAGAGACGCTCTATACAACACATGCCATTTTAATCCGCTAAACATTCGGGAAGTGCCCTAAAATGACCTTCAAAAATTGCTATTTTTTTACGTTTTTTTTAATTTTTTGGGTCGTCAAGCAGGGACAAATTTTTATTCCAACATTCTTTTTTCTGCAAAACTTGAAATAATTTATACATTTTTGTCTGAAGAACAGGGTCGAACTTTTTAAGTTAAAATATTTTTGGCCGAAGAACAGGGCCGAACTTTTTGTGTTAAAATTTTTTGGGTCGAAGAACAGGGCCGAACTTTTAAAGTTAAAATTTTTACGGCCGAAGAACAGGGCCGAACTTTTTAAGTTAAAATTTTTTGGCCGAAGATCATTTTTTCCAGCGAAATCAAAATAAAACTTTAATCGCTAATAACTCCTGAACTAAAAGGGCTAGAAGGGAACGGACGGCAGATTCTTGACCCTTGAAGGATTCTCTACAATATAGGCTATTAAAAACAGCCCTTTTTTTTCGCCTCAAAACTGGAAAAAGTGCAAAGAGGTACCTCTTATAGGTTTTTTGATTTTTGAAAAAATCAAACTAAACACGCTATTCTGTAAAGAACCCTTTAAGGATTAAGGGCCTGAAGTCCGTTTTGTTCTAGCCCTTTTAGTTTCCGAGATAATCGCAATTAAAAACTTTAAACGCTAATAACTCGAGAACTAAAAGGGCTAGAACAGAACGGACTTCAGGCCCTTAATCCTTAAAGGGTTCTTTACAGGATAGCGTGTTTAGTTTGATTTTTTCAAAAATCAAAAAACCTATAAGAGGTACCTCTTTGCACTTTTCCCAGTTTTGAGGCGAAAAAAAAGGCTGTTTTTAATAGCCTATATTGTAGAGAATCCTTCAAGGGTCAAGAATCTGCCGTCCGTTCCCTTCTAGCCCTTTTAGTTCAGGAGTTATTAGCGTTTAAAGTTTTATTTTGATTTCGCTGGAAAAAATGATCTTTGGCCAAAAAATTTTAACTTTAAAAGTTCGGCCCTGTTCTTCGGCCGAAAAAATTTTAACTTTAAAAGTTCGGCCCTGTTCTTCGACCCAAAAAATTTTAACACAAAAAGTTCGGCCCTGTTCTTCGGCCAAAAAAATTTTAACTTAAAAAGTTCGACCCTGTTCTTCAGACAAAAATGTATAAATTATTTCAAGTTTTGCAGAAAAAAGAATGTTGGAATAAAAATTTGTCCCTGCTTCAGGACCAAAAAAATTTAAAAAAACGTAAAAAAATAGCAATTTTTGAAGGGCATTTTGGGGCACTTCCCGAATGTTTAGCGTATTAAAATGGCATGTGTTGTATAGAGCGTCTCCTAAACTATAAAATGGCGTTGAAAAGCACCAAAAAGTGCAATAGTTTGGGAGATACAGGGTGTTTTCCACAGCATGTTTTCAAAATTTCCAAAAAAGGTCAATTTTTGAAGGGCATTTTAGGGCACTTCCCGAATGTTTAGCGCATTAATATGGCATGTGTTGTGTAGAGCGTCTCTTTAACTACAAAATGGTGGTGAAAAACATAAAAAAAGTGCTATAGTTTGGGAGATACAGGGTGTTTTCCACAGCATGATTTCAAATTTTCCAAGAAAGGCCAATGTTTGAAGGGCATTTTAGGGCACTTCCCGAATGTTTAGCGGATTAAAATGGCATGTGTTGTGTAGAGCGTCTCTTTAACTACAAAATGGCGTTGAAAAACACCAAAAAAGTGCAATAGTTTGGGAGATACAGGGTGTTTTCCACAGCATGTTTTCAAATTTTCCAATAAAGGCCAATGTTTGAAGGGCATTTTAGGGCACTTCCCGAATGTTTAGCGGATTAAAATGGCATGTGTTGTGTAGAGCGTCTCTTTAACTACAAAATGGTGGTGAAAAACACCAAAAAAGTGCTATAGTTTGGGAGATACAGGGTGTTTTCCACAGCATGTTTTCAAATTTTCCAAAAAAAGCCAATGTTTGAAGGGCATTTTAGGGCACTTCCCGAATGTTTAGCGGATTAAAATGGCATGTGTTGTGTAGAACGTCTCCTAAACTATAAAATGGCGTTGAAAAACACCAAAAAAGTGCCATAGTTTGGGAGATACAGGGTGTTTTCCACAGCATGTTTTCAAAATTTCCAAAAAAGGTCAATGTTTGAAGGGCATTTTAGGGCACTTCCCGAATGTTTAGCGGATTAAAATGGCATGTGTTGCGTAGAGCGTCTCTTTAACTACAAAATGGCGTTGAAAAACACCAAAAAAGTGCAATAGTTTGGGAGATACAGGGTGTTTTCCACAGCATGTTTTCAAAATTACATAAAATTGCCATCTTTTAAAGGGCATTTTAAGGTACTTTCGTTAAGACCAGCGTTAACATCTTCAGTAACACATATAATCACGTTAATTTTTTTCAATAAATATAGTTAAATATATACAATAAATTAATATGGATTACGTATACAACATCAAAGAAAATAAAACTACCAACAGTATTGGTATTTTTTGAGCGTTAAATAAGAGAAGTTTGGTGCAATGTTAGCACAACTCGTTACAACCTGGACACCTTAAAATATTCGATTGTGGTTACCTGGTGAGAACAAAAACTCACTCATAGGAACATATCACGGGAAAATCGGAAACATGTTAAATAAATATCAGAACATTAATAAATTTCTATATTATATAACACAAAATACATCTTGAAATTTCATGGCATATAGATAAATATACAGAAACGTGACTTATTTAAATAAGCGCAATAGACGTCCATGGTTCATTTATGCAGATCGGTAACCCGCCCATAAAGAGAGCAACTCCATGACAGTGAATTTAAAAGCTGTACTGTCGACAGATAGCTCTCTTTATTTTCGAATTACGCGTTGGAGGATTTTTCCCATTTGCTGCATGAACTGGGATAATGATCGAACCAATCCTGTAATATGCGGACAAATTAAAAACGAATAGGTATCTTATGGATGCATTTCGAAAACTTCGCCCGCGACGGTTTACCATATAAATAAATATATAAGCTACACGCTAAACCTGCCCGGCGTCCGTGTTATCACTGGCCAAGTTATTACCGTTATCATTGTGTCGCGTGTTTTCCACATTAGTACATTTTGATAACGCGCCGCAATTGTTTCGCAAGATTCGAGGTATACGGTGACGCAAACACGATGTTTGAATTAGAATTTTCAGATTCGTTGATTAAACAGATCCTGGGCCTTATCACAGCCTTGTTGTTTGCACTTTATACTCGTTTGTTCAAACACACACGAAATTATACCACCGCTTGAACCGAAGCTGCTTTTTCAGCGACTTCGAAAATGAAACTAATTGTCAGAGTAAACAAACGGTGCGCGGCGAAGGCAGGTGAAATCGTGTGGTAATTATGCAGGTACGCCATGTACACACACACACGACACGCACACAAACGCACACTTTTCCACTGAGATACGCCCTGTACTAGTTTAAACACAAATCGAAACTGATTAACACTTTGGCAGCCGGTATTGTGCACTTGTTATTGCTTCGAGGAGCATTTGGCGACTTAAATCACGAGTGCACTCTGTACATGTATGAATGACGAGGAGATCGATTCCATTATTTATTGATTGGGAATTTGTTTTTCTCGGCGAATGCGCGCGCCTTTTGCACTTTGCAGGTATACAACACACCGGGGTACCGGGCAACGGCGTTATCAAATTTAATTGTAAATAAAATGCGGCGATAAACCGTGCGACGCGAGCTTATCGTGTTCGTGTTTTATGTGCGCGCTCGTCGCATTATTTAAAATACTGCAGAATTCTAAAGGTATTTCTTCAAATGTATTTCCATATTTTAACTGATTATTGTACCGCCATTTTGACTTAGTTTTTGCTTGAGAAATGATTTCTAACAGTATAGTATTAACATACCTCTTTGTTGATTTGCAGGGCGTTGTTTATCGATCAGTACCCAGTTTTGCACCTCGGGTTTTCACTGTGCTGTGCTCTGGTCTCTGCAGGATTTGAAAGAAGAGTGACCTGCGCTGAACAATTGCTGCGAGTCGTATGCGCTACCTGTACGACACGTAGGCGACTTATATATCACCTCAGTGCCGGTGACTTCACGCATTCTTATCACTTATACATTTTTATGTAATGCGTGCGTTTGTTTGCGTCTAACATTGCAGCGCTGCCGAGTAAATCTGTGATGAAATACCGGGTGCATTTTAATTGGTCGACCTGACTCGCATTCAGCTCACGATTTTTAACCGTGCCGATGTTAATTAAGCTTAAATACAGAAAGAAACTGGGCACTGTGTAGAAGCATTGTTTAATTGAGCAAAGATAAAGATTACAAATCATGCTTATCATGTGGCATGCCATAAAACACGCACTTTGTTTATATAAATTATCTCATTCTAATTGTAAATCCTAATTTAAATATTTGATTTTATAACAATTTAATTAAGCGACCTCCAAAACTTGTTTACTTCATACTTTATGTGTTGAACAATAAAAATTTTCGGAATTCAAAAAGTCAAAGCAGTATAGGCAACTCAAAATACAGCAAACAAGTCTACGTGCAAAAGTAACTCCGCATTGAAAACACGGATTGTTGGACGCATGTTACTATCCATTTTCAACTCAACTGGCGGCTGTCGGTCGCCGTGCTTTGTGCTTATCAGTTTGCCTATAGATCTTGCCGGCGCCAGTTGTGCCATTTTTTGCTCACATTAAAACATAAATACAAACAAGATGTTCAAGAAAACTGTCTTCATGCTTGTCCGTAGCGACTTGCTCGCTCAAAGTACGTACAATATACTTAAGTTAAGTTAAAACGCTCATAATCAAAGCTGATTTACTTGTCTCTTTAAGTGGGATAATAATAGGAATAATAGAACGATTTTCATGTGTTTATGGGTACTTTAAAAAGGAGAAGAACGCAAAGGAAGCGACTTAACTTAAGTCAAGAGGGCCGCTAGTTTAATAACGGTTATTTTGGTGCTTTGCCGTTAAGTATTTTACGCGTGTTACGTTGTCTTTACTCGCGCCTTCCTGATTACCTTGAAAAGTTAAACGCGTTTTGCTTTCCACACGTACAAACACACGCAGCTAAATTTATTCAGCAGAACTGAACCTAACTTGTATAGATATTGAAATTTGATGGAGTTGATTCTAATAATACTTTTTTTAACTTTTATGTGGTTAGAAGTACGTCCACGCAAATTTACGCGTTCCTATCGAATTTTATGACCTTCTTTCTATTGTTACTAATCATGGTCGAGGAATTAAATGCAAAAAAGAATTTCACCTAAAACTGTTAGCGACCGTAATCTTTATATAATTTGATTATGTAATAATCGCCTGATGTCACCTTGGAAATAAATCCGTTCTCTGATAAGACCTGACAAGTTTTAATAACAGAGCAATTGAGTCTGACGAGCGCAAACAGCGCAAATGATGCAGTATTATTGATCATGTGTTTGTTTAGATATCGTTTAGAACATAATAAACATATATGCCTAACAAACAGTATTTGCTTATAATGATAATACTGATTTTTTTTCTCACTTTTATCTAGATCGCGCTATGTCCAATGTTGGCTTCATTGGCATGGGCAATATGGGTGCCAAGATGGCGACCAACATGATCAAAAAGGGCTCGAAACTAAAGGTGTTTGATGTTGTTGAGAGTGCCGCCAAGAGCGTGGCAGGCGCGACTGTATGTAAAACTCCACAGGAGGCGGCAACTGATGTAGATGTTGTGTTCACCATGCTTCCCGATGGTCACGTTGTAAAAGATACTGTCCTACGGGCCGACGGCATCACAAAAGGCATTAAAAAAGGTGCTTTAATGATTGATTGCTCTACAATCGAACCAAAACACGCACAGGAATTGTCCGCCATTGCTAAGGACAACGGATACAGATTTATTGACTGCCCTGTTTCCGGTGGTGTAACTGGTGCCGCAGCCGCCACTCTGACCTATATGATTGGTGGTTCAAAAGACGATGTTGAGACTGCCAGGCCATATCTATTACAAGCCGGAGCCAAAATATTCCACTGCGGAGGACCTGGTGCGGGCCAGATCGCTAAACTCTGCAATAACTTGATTCTTGGTGTCACAATGGCCGGTACTGCAGAGTCCTTCAATATGGGTATTCGCGCTGGTCTCGATCCCAAGGTACTTACCGATATTATTAACGTTTCTACTGGCCGTTCCTGGTCGTCGGAGACTTACAATCCAGTGCCCGATATATTACCCAATGTGCCATCCAGTAATAAGTATGATGGCGGTTTCATGGTCAAACTGATCGCGAAGGATTTGGGACTTGCGGAAGCTGCTGCGGTATCAGTGAATAGTCCATTGCCAATGACTGCGGCTGTGCATCAATTGTATAGGGCAATGATGAATCATGGGCTCGGCGATAAGGATTTCTCTGTTATTTATCAGTTTTTGCAAGGGAAGAAACCTTGAATCAAGGAAGCAAAATAAACTATGTTTAACTATGCCTGTAACAAGTGATTCTAATATGAATTTTATTTAATTCCCTGAAACGTTTCCCTAACTATGCTGATTCAAATTCAGTAAAATTTAAATATTACTTTGCTAGATTTTTTATCAGATTAAGCCGGCGTCCGTGTATGGCTGGTTGCCTATATTTTCATGACCTTGCACATCGAAACAATGTTTAACATGAAATGCATTACGCTCAACGCAAGTTTATTGCATAGAATATTGTATATTTTAACATTAGAAGTAGATAAAAAAAAACATAAATTCTATAAAATACACTCAAACGACTCTAGTGTAAAGGTTGCTTTACTGCCTTTAATGTTTGACAGGTGTACGTGCAAAACACAAATTGTGTAGGCCGAATAAAATACCTTGAATTGATTACGTTTGGTCCATTTGACCGTTGGCATTTTCTAAATTTTTTGCGATATTTTTCTCATCGAATTTAGCTTTGAGGGAGTGAATACAAATGGTTGCAATGAATGTGGCACTTTCTGACGCACTCGGTGAGTTGACCATACGAATCGGAATCACACATGTTCTGTTGTGCTCCGATTGTTCGCTGCGCTCGCTCGACGTTGGCAATCTGCTGGCAAACCTGGCATTTTCTAACTGGCAAGGTAGCGAACAGTCGCGCTGAGGTGGTCCTAGCAAGCAATAAGTTTAGAACGGCCGAACAATTTGTGTTTATAGGTTAGATGAGGAAACGAGCCGATCTCCAGCATTTTGTGGGATAGTGCTGCTATACCGGAAACAGTGTGACCTGTCCCGCTGAAGCCGTAATTAAATAAAATGGGGATGATAATAGCTAAGTTTCGGGTAAGTTTTCTAACTATGCTAAATACCTGCGCCGGCACTTAACCATTTATGTAACTTATAGAAGAAGAAGAGTAATAGTGACCTCTTAGAGAAAATTGATAAGGAGATCACCTCAATTGAAAACTTCCAAAGAAACACGGAGCAGCAACGAAAACGCATTGTTGGTTCATTCCTGGTGGCATCTGTGGGCATATACATTCTCTCTGCAGTTGTATTCTACTTCTTTTACTTTTATCCACAGAACTTCAAAGAGCGATTGCTTTATTTGGTGCCATTCATTTTAGCCCCTACATTGTAAGCAACCAGTAAAACACATATAATAATATATTATAATTAAAATTAATTTATTCTAGCATATTCTTTATGAAACGTACTATATCATGGTACTTCAATAGAAAACTAACAAAGAATCAGAAGAAAATGGTGGATTTGAGAAGTGAAAAGAAGAAAATACTTGAAAATATTATGGAAACTGAAACCTACAAAGTGGCAAGAGGTTTACTAGAGAAATATGCACCAGAACAAGTAAGAAGAGTAAACATTGGACAAGAATTGACCCCTATTCGAAACACGTCAGTTGCTGCAATGACGCCGTCCAACCAAGCAGGTAATTAATGCATGTTGCATTAATATTGCTAAATACTGATAATATTATTATTACGAAAATAGGTTTGCGAAATCGGATTCCACCAAACAGCGGCATGTCCCTGAAATCAAACATAACACAAACACCTTTAATGAATGCAAAAGGCCCGGGACCTTCACAGCTGTCAATGGCGACACCTTTTAATAGAAATTTGATGACTGTTGCGCCAACGCCGATTACACCAATCCCGCGTTATATCCCGTCGAAAGATCGCACCTTCCTGGATAAAGTAGTCGACTATCTTATCGGCGACGGGCCCAACAATCGCTACGCACTGATTTGCAAACAATGCTCGGGTCACAATGGTGAGTGAGAACTTTCGCATAATAACTAGATACTAACGAGTGTGTATTTAGGTATGGCATTAATGGATGAATTTGAGTACGTTTCATTCAAGTGCTGCTACTGCATGGCTGTTAATTCTGCGCGTAAAGTGCGCCCCATCGCCCCGAAGCTGCACTTCGATAGTCCCGAACTACCGCAATTACCAGCACCAGTCTCGGATCAAAGTGGCACGTCGGAATCGGAAAAGAATTCTGGTAGTGATACAGACGCTGAAGACGCGGATGTTCGCCCCACGCCTACTCTGGAAACACTCTTCCGCAAGCACACCGAGAGCAGGGGTGTGGGCAATGACGAGGCTACCGTGTCGTCCGACAACGAGCCGAACGACTTCGACAAGCTCTCCGACCTGGAGAGTCGCGATTCGGAAGTCGAGGCGCAGCCGGTGAATGCCACGCAGACAATCGAATGAACATCGAAGACTGATTTATTGCTAACTTGTAATAAATTTTGTACATATGTCGTAACATTAACACACGCGCAAAATCGAACACGTACGAATCAAATTCGCTTCTCTCCCCCACATTTATTTTCTGCTTTCTGTCTCTTAGCGCTATATAAATTTCTCGTTCACTATCGTTTATGTTGTGTTAATTATTCACTATTGTTGAATCGTTTCGAGAATATTTATTCAAGTTGATATTGTAACATGACTAACGTATAATACTGCTCCTGCTAGAATATTGCATATTTCGTGAAACGGATTGTCGTTTATCTTTTTGTAAAAACATGTGATTTATTTATATTACACGGGAATGTTTAATGCTGACTATGTTGAAGTATTATTTACTAATTAATAAACTTCACGATTCATTATTTAATGCAGATATTTTACTCACAACCCTAGTGTGAACTCCTCTTTAGAATGGTTCGTTCGCGTAACTTCGTGTAAGTGCCGACCGCCAACAATTAGTTAACGCCGCGTTAATGTACAATCCAAGCACATGCAACGCACATGTGAAATCTTTTCGTAAGTGAATTAAACATGGGTAAAATGATAGTATCTCAAGTGATTACAAAAAGCAAAGGGGCCCGATCGACATGTTGTATGTATATTCTTATAATAAATTCGGTGACGTATTTTAACACGAATCTTGCAGTACAATTTCAAAATGGAGAACTTGTGGAAGATCAAGAAATACCGTTATCCTGTGGTCTATGTTATAATGATGCTCAGCGGGTAATTCCTGTGTTGGCTTCAGATACACTTATTTACACAGGGCGCGTGGCGGAGCAAAATGCCTACAACACATTTCTTGCCGTCCGAAACAAGAAAACAAATAAGGTTAGACTAAATCACATTGCTACAAGCGCCCCCTTACAACATCTAAGAAACTATTTAAATTTAAACAATTGCTTTTTTTAATAAATGCAGATTCGGCTTGTTTCTATAAATGAAGCTTTACTTAAGCCTCAACCACCCCAATTGAGGAAGATTATGGACAGCACAATGATGGAAACTAACCAACGAGCTCTCACAGAACTAAACAAAGAGTTTGGTTCCAAGAAAACAAAGAGGCAAACCGAAACACTTGAGAGATTGAAAGTTAACATTGATAACTACAAAGATCAATTAGAAAAAACTGTTGCAAGTATGATACATAACTATATTTTATTTAGCATATAATATATAATGAATATCTCCTCTATTCTCAGACATAAGTTTGGATGAAATGCAGATTGAAGAACCAACACAAACATCTGAAATCCTTCCGTTTGTGAATAAAAACGCAGCAATTACCGCTGATGTCTACACCCTCAAGACATTGATACCTGAATTAGTGCTAAAAAGCCTTGAAGAACCCGCACGTGAACTGATGGAAACTGAAGAGGACCAAATTACAACAAATGACTATGTGAAAAAACAAATTCTCGCTTTACAGGGATCCAGAGATGAAAACGCCCAAGAACATGTTTCCATGTTACTAGTATTGGATGCATTGATGACTATTCAATCAGCAACAGCAAGGAGTATTTCACTAAAGGGATGCCAGTGTAGTCAGTATTCCAAGGTGTTGAATGACTTCATTCTCAATAACTTTACAGTGAAAACTGAAAGAACTAGGTAAAATATACAAATCTAGTCCTTGTGATTGTAACAAATACAATTTTGTTTTGTTCCAGAACGCGACCTTTGTCCATGAAAGACAAAGCTTGCTGCTACATAATTGTCCTGAGTTTGTTGCTAAACAAATTGAAGGTAAACTTGAACGAAATTGGAATTCAACTGAAAGTGGGCGTCAAAAAGTTAAACGACCTCTGCAGTATGTTGCTGCTTCACATTAGTGGCAAAGAGGCATCTGTCAAGCTTCCTTTACCAGCCCCTCGTGTGTTTACCACGAAAAAAAACAAGGGGCGCAAATAAAACTCACGATATATTAATAAACTGATGTTTAAAGTTTCAACTTTTTCGCGTCTAAATGTTGCTTCACCTTTGTGTTTTTCACACTGTGTTTACCTTTAATCTGAGTCTTAACTTGATCCTCCAACTGAGCGAAGAAAGCTGACGAAGATTTAACACTCTTTGATCCTGTAGATTCGTCCATTTTATCCACATTGCGACTTTTGGTAACGTCGTCAAGTAGTTTCTTTGCCTTTTCTTTGCTGTGCTTGTTATTTATACCCAAAGCATTCTTTTTCTCTTTTAGAACTGCGTGTTCACGTTGCATTGCCTTCTTCTTACGTCGCTCGCGCTTCTTATCAGTTTCGGTACGTTCACTCTTGCCGATAATATCACCACGTACTTTGGGCTTGACTTCTTCGGGGGCGAGCAATGCAGCATCACTTGTCGCAACAGGCGCAACTTCTTCCATGCTGATTGCTGGTAAATTACTAACAACTTTCAGCTCGACCTGCGCTGGTTTTGGTGTGAAGTGGAAGTTTGACAACGCGTCCAATTTCATCATGAGTGCATGCATCATCTTTTTAACATCTTTATGCAATTGAGGTTCTTCTTCTTCTTTATCACCCAAGTCAGCATCCAGTTTCTCATTCATTTCTAGGTATTCTTTTTCGTAAATTTGCGCCAGGGATTCTTTACTCTTTTCCTGATCAAGAACGAGCTTCTTTTTGAATTCCAAAGGTGTCTCCGCCGGTTTTTCTTTACGTTCCACAGAATCAAATGCTTTGTCTTTGATCCTCTGTCGGATTATGTCTTCAAGTAGCAAGGAAGTTTGTTCTGTCATAACCGGTGCAGGGCGGGTACTGAGATCAAACTCAACGACCTCTTCAAGGAGGGAATTCTGTGGCCTGTCTTCAGCTGTGATTTCACCTTTGAGTTGCCATTGCTTTTCACCAACTGCTGCATCTTCTAATGCGTCCATTTTGACTTTGAGGCGTTCTTCCCTTTGCTCCAAAGATGATTTAACTGCCATCTCCTGTTCTTCTTCTCCTTCATCCTCTTCATCTTCTATTTCTTCTAGGAATTTATTTCTGTTTCTGCTAGTTCCTGTCCCAGCTTCATCATCATCTTGTTCAGCAAAGAAATCTTTATATTTTGGATTATTTACACCTCCTCTCTCTGTATCTGTCTTCTCCAAATTATTACCCATGAATAAATCATCATCTTCATCTGATTCTTCCTCTACATCCTCATCATTTTCCTCAGAATCATTTCCAGAGTCAGGCTCAGCATCCATCATCTTTTTCTCCTCAGCTTGCAAAAACGCTTCCATCTCATTAAGCTTGAAGAACCTATCATCAACAATTGATGACTTTTGTTTCTTCCTAGGATTCTCATTTTCATTCCCATCAGCTTGTTCATTATCATCTTCAAGATCATCTGAATCTAAACCACCCTCATCACTATCTTCATCTAAGTTTAATGGTTCATTGTCATCATCATCATCACTACTTTCATCATCAGATTGGTGCAGTTTTTGAAGTTTATCTTCATCAGGTTCATGATTTTCATTCAAATTAGAAGTTTGTACTTCATCAAATACTAATTTACTGCTTCCAACCACAAATTTGCTTACCTCAATCAAAGAATGTGTAAGAAATGAATTATTTTGCAGCTCAATTTGTTGCCATATTTGTTCAGTATCAAAATGCTCGGTTATTAATTCAGGCAAAGCATTTGCTGTGAATGTTTCCAGTTCTTGTGACTTCGTATAATCATAACTTGTTTTTAAGAGCTTTTCAAACTTTGCACAATTATTTTCATTTCTGCAAAACACAAGGAACACTTATAATTGATGTAAAATTATTAACACTATTCCTACGTACCCTAAGAATATCTCTGGTTTCTTAGTTAAATCGAGGAAATTCTCAAATAACTCGCGGTTTGTACACATTTTGAAATATTTTGTCAGCAGTCTCAAAACATGTGTACATGTGTATTTTTGAAGGTTATGTGCATCTGTCAAGATAGGTTTTGACCTCTCTGACCTTCAAGGAAAGAATAATCTTGTTTGACAACAAGTAAATAAACCCACACTTATAAAAAGTGTTCACAGCTATTTACCAATTCTTAAATGAAAAATCCTAATCAAAGTTTATCAAATATTTACTTCTAGGTCAGTCTTTGATAACTTCTGTGAAGTGCCAAGTGATTTGAAAAGAGAGAAACGAGCGTAACGATTGATCATGAGCGCCGGTACGGCGTTTCGATTGGTTCAACCACTTCTTACTGTACTTCCAAGGTTCCATTCGCCAGTTACGTTCAACAATTACGCTCACTTTCATTCTTCATCGGCAGGTGCTAGCGCAACAGTTGTCTCACGCAAACAAAAAATGGTAACTACACATTCCTATACATTAATTAATATTCTAAGAGAAAATTAATTCTAGGCCGCAAAATTATCTCCAGAAGAACGTAAAGGAACAATCGATCCACTCCTGCAACAAGGATGGTCCATGGTCAAGGATAGAGATGCAATTTACAAAGAATACATGTTTAAAGACTTCAATCAGGTAATTCTCCATGTTTTACTCACACATTCTGAACTGGTTTTAATGAGTTGGGTAATTTTCAAAGGCATTTGGATTCATGACGCGTATTGCTCTTCTTGCTGATAAAATGGATCATCATCCTGAATGGTTCAATGTGTATAATAAAGTGCAGGTGACATTATCTAGCCATGATGTGAATGGATTAAGCAACAGGGATGTTAAACTGGCAAACTTCATGGAAAAGGCTTCAAAATCAATGGAATAATTAAATATCTCAGATTATATATGTTATTATATACAAATGTATAAATGTATTAATTAAAAAGTGTCTAATCCATGCATGCAAACACTTTTTCCGTCGGGAAATCAACAAAATTTACCTTTCTGTACACGGAATTAAGCAGACATTTTAATTCCTGGGCATGTTCGTAATCTCTTGTTTCACAAACGACTTTTACCTTGAGAAAGCGGAGAAATTTTAAATTAAACAATCTTATTAAGCAATAGGTACTTACTTCTACGCTGAAAACATCACAAGTGACCCAGGCACGTTCATGCAGAACGTCTTTAATCGAGACGCCAATGGAGCTGATCAACTTGCAAAGTTCAGCAATTCCTCCTGGTCGATCACTGACTGTTACAGTTACCTTCAATAACCTCCCTTCGGCCGCGAGTCCTCTCTCCAAACACCTACCCAATACTGTTGTGTCTATATTACCGCCACACAAATTTAAAACCACCCTAAACATTAATCAAAAATTAAATTAAATGAAGATACTGAAACAAGAGTAACTCACCTTTTACCCTTGAGGTCGTTAAGTTTACCTTCCAAGATGGCGGCAAAACCAGCTGCACCAGCGCCCTCTACAACAATCTTTTCCATTTCAACCAGTCTTAAAATTGCAAGCGCAATATATTCTTCGCTAACAGTGACGATTTTATCAATGAGTGGCCTTGCTGTCAAAAACGCATTGTACCCAACAATGGGCACAGCTAAACCATCAGCTAAGGTGGATTCGATTGGTACATGAGCAGGTTTACCCATTTTGACAGCATGTGAAAAACTAGCGCATTTTTCCGATTCAACACCCTGGTAATAAACATTATTTAAATTAATCTTAAGAATATTGTTGAACTTTAATTATACTATTATTTGTATGTTGGGATGAAGAGTTTTTAGAGCCAAGGCAACACCAGCAATGAGCCCACCTCCACCGATTGGTACGACGACAGCGTCGATGTTATCCACCTGATCAGCAATCTCCAATCCAATCGTCCCCTGACCAGCCATGATGTGTGGATGGTCATAGCTGTAGAATTAATTTAATTTAAACTAATGAAAGCACAAAACAAGCGCAGGGGATGTAAGAGTGAAGCCCTACCCGTTGATATAAGTGTAATCATGCTCCTTGGCGAGCTTCATCGCAATCTTTTTCGATTCAGCCATATCCTTCCCCTGTACGACAACAGTGGCGCCGTACTGGCGGCATTTCTGTATTTTCATAATCGGCGCAACAATAGGCATCACCACCGTGACAGGTACTCCTAATTTGTATCCATGGTAACTGATAGCCTGCGCGTGATTACCCAAAGATGCGGAGATGACACCCTTGCGACGTAGTTCAGAGTTGAGCATTAAAAGTGTATAACGTGCTCCACGTTCCTTAAAACTTCATACCATTTAGATAAAACAGAATAACAAAACAAAACATAACCCGGACTTGTGTTGGCTATTTTTGGTGTACTCTGATAAGGAATACAAACAAAACCAAAACAATTCGTATCAAATACTGAATGACGCGCGCGACTAACCTGCCTGTATACTGTAGAAATTCCTTCTTAAGAAATATTTCCATGCCAGTTATTTCAGAAAGATGTGATTTCTAAAAATTAAAAACTTCCAAACTAATTAATTACCAAACAAAATTATAAGACTTACAATACAAGGGGTAAGAACAACTCCGCTCTTGATTTTAAATGCCGCCGAAGTAATATCCTCAAACTGGATGACATGAGGCTCGTCTGGATTGCAAAAAGGGTCCGTATAACAAGCATCCTGCATCTCCTCAATTTCCTACCCGAGAATATTTTGATTTGAACAAGAAAAAAAAACAATGTTATTCTAATTTACCTCGTGTTCATCCGATGAATATGTATTACGCTCCATTATATTTTAGCACAAAGTGCGGTAAACGCGCGTTGAAACTCTGCTCGTACGTGTTGACTCACTAGACGCGGTCCAAATGGCGCGCCGATTGTGCACAGAGAGCATGGCACGTAATCTTTGACCCTTTCCGGCTACGCAGCGCCGTCCTTAATTGATCGCGACGAAGCGATACTTAATGGCGATAACAATAGTAATGATAACAAGAATGCGCAGTAGATAATTCCGAATAATATCTACAAATGACCGGTGTGCGGTGTCAAGGGCAACGTCATTAACATTCAAATTCTGTATTCTGTACTTAAACCAAAAGATATTTATAAATGTTTGACATTTAAAAACAAGTTTAGCCACTTGATCCCCATAATTCGCACAAGTTTGGTTAAATTTGTTGTAGTTAAAGTTGCCTATAGTAATCAATGCTTACCAATAACCTTCTACCGCTGCTGCCCGCAACACTTAGAAAGTTGTTTGCCGCTTGTTCGTAGATGGTGGAGGTGGCCATTTGCATAGAAAGTCCCGCCGAAGAGGAAATGGCCGCCGGTGTGGCGGGGCACAACTCCTGCGCGCCTCCTTCGATGGTCGCGCTCCGAAGCACTCCGAAGACAGTGCACCAGCAGATCGCGCACGGTTCGCACCTGCAATTAAATGCATTGCATCGTCAGACGCGCAAATCGTGTAGCGCTGTTGAAAGTCTTGCGGATCGGGCTGATCGCTCTGTTACCGTTTTCCACGCGCGAATTATCCAGACGCCTGCGCTTGCGCCAATTGCGCGACTTTTTTCAAGTGCTCGAAAGTGAAATGTGCCGAATTTGAGCTTTGGATTGATTCTTTGCGGCATTTCTCGGACAGTTCTCACTCGAATGTAAGTATCCGTAATAATAGAAATTATGTAAATTGGGCCCACACAATCTGTTCGCGGATGAAGAATGCAAATAACCCACGCTTGATCAAATTTAATTTCACTTTGTACCAAATGTAGTTTGTTTTCGGTGCGTTCTATCTAATTACAAACATTTGTCGTTTCTGGCCTGTATATCACTTACTCTGTACACGCTGTTAACGCTGAGAACAAGTTTATATAGTTTCTAATTTAAATTACAACCTGTGCAAGAGTTGTAATAGCGCAATGGTCATTTTTGATGAAACGCACACACAAAATGTCGCAGCACACGCGTAGAAAAGTTGATTTTCTAAGCAGGTAAGAAGCTTTTGTGTCGCCTTGGTGACACAGTTACCCATGGTCAGAGATTTTACTCCTTCGCGCACGAGTACAATTCAATTGGCGTGCAATTAGTGATAAATTGACATTTTTCTATCATACACTCCGTCCGTTTGTTGCGTGCCAATTTGTTCGAGTGTTGACGAATTGACTTTTAAGCTCGCCACCTGGTGCCTTCTGCAGCGATTTTACTCTCAAGCGCATAACCATATGGCTCGCAGTGGAATTAGAAATTTTCACAACAGTTTTATGCAAATACTGAAACAAAAACTGATGCATAATGGCCACCATCGATGAAGATATAGTTTAGGAACGTAATCAAATGTTAAAATGGATTAAACTTTCGAAAATAAACACGAAAAGGTGCCACGTTCCGTTGAATATACACAAAATTAAATTTTTCGCTGTTAATTTTAGAATTATTGATGCACTCACCGACGGAGGGGTAAAAGTAGATCAAACGCAATTATATTTCGGGCGCCATAAATTAATAATTAATAAATTGTGTTTAATTAGCCGCTAGACATTCTATTCTCATGTTGTGAACATGATTACTTGTTTAATTATTATTAAACTAAAAATAAACTTAGAACTAAAAGTTACAAGTGTTTTAACAACTCGAAGAATCGATCTAAAAGAACTTGCGATCAAGAGTCGCCGCAAAGTGAAGGTGATCGGGTTTTTGCCGTCCGGAATTTTTTACCCGCTGCAAAATTTCCTTATTTTTTTATTTCGCAACAAGTCTGGCGCTCGCAAATCAACCATCATAAAATGTTTGTATTAGTTTAGGCTTTTTGTTCCGCCTATTCAACAATAAGAGGGGGTACTCTCAACAAACAAAAAAAAAAACTAGTTACGTAAACACGGTCGGCAATTACTGAAATTTTGCAATATTGATTTGCAAATTTATTTACTATTCAACAGTTTACACAATATTTACCATACCAGAGGGTAATAAAAGTAGAAAAATTCAGCGTTTTTCTCCGGAGAAGTTAAAGTTCAAATGCATTACAAGAAAAGTAAGAGTAAGAGACTGCAGGCCGTCAAGTCAAGTAAAGACAAGACCCGAGACGAAACAAAGTCCAATAACCCACAGTCACTGTTTTTGATTTACACCTTTCTTTGTTTCTTGGCGCACGTTTTCCTCTGCCTATACACTAACTAACGGTCGTTCTCTTGCATCTAAAACACGCTTTGGTAGCAGCGCAAGAAGCACCGTACAAAAAAGTAAAAGTTTATAATAATATACGCCATTTATGACACATTCCTCGAATTTAAATTTAGCAAATATGCTAATATCAAACAAGTTAAACTATTAGCTCATGATTACACCGAATGACCTCGCAAATTAAAACCCCTTTTTGTTTAACATAAATAAATCAAAATATTGCATGTCGGGTTGATTTCCTGACTGCACTCGTTTCCGTCACTTAACGATTTCCTTACTACGCTCGTGGTATGTGTAATGAAGCTGAAGAATACAGCGTGTTGCCAAAATAGTTTGTGTGTGCACACCTGAATGCGTAACAAACACGTGCGGCCGTAACGCATAACTGAACTTGTTACGATCGCGTCGTCGATTTTGGAGCTAGACGTAATCAACAAGCGCTTTTTCGGCGGCGGGTGGACGACATAGACTAGATTACAGTAACTCACGAGTTGACGGACGTGTAATCAGGTAGCAGGCAGACAGGCCAGGCTATTATTTAACCAGCCAAATACGAACGATTACATCGGCAAGCAAAGCAGCAGAGATAGAAAGAAGAAAAACAACGGCATGTTATGCCTGCGAGGCGCGCAGTTAGGCAACGAATACTGCATACTAATTGTAATAACCTGCCAGACTAGGCTAGAAACAGCTAAAGCCTAAATAAATAGTTAAATGTGACTTGCAATGAGTATTTTCAATTATTTGATTTAAAAAACCTTGATTTTTCATTGCAAAATATAAATTTTCAGCTTGAAGCATTCAAGTCGATCGGGTGATTAATATAAGTAATATACGCATGCGCCTTGCATGCACGTATCTACATATTTGTATTCGTGCCAGCGAGTGAAAGTAAAAGCAACATTTTTGTCATTTCATAATTCCAGCCGGTCGTCTTGCCGTCGTCGATAATATAAAACACGATCAGATCACTGATCACACCTACCTACTTCTTCGATACAAGTTTACTGGCTGCGCAGTACAAAAATATCAAAATACTGCATATTTATTACTCATCGTGCGCCCTAAAATAATATGCACGTGCTGGGAATGTAGAAATAAATGCATAATTCAATCATTCACTTGATCAATGGCGGGCGTGTCTGCGAAAAGCAGTGTTGCATACTTGTATTGCGATTGTTTCATAAACAAGTGTAAAAAATGAATGAAAACAATGGAAGAATGTTTAATGAATCATTTTGTGCTTTTATTGCAGATGATGAAAAAACCGCCTGGATTATGGGTGCTACTATCAGCAGGTAAGTTTATAATTCATAAAAATTAATTGCGGTAGAGTGGAGATAAGGGTTGGAGATTCCTAAGGAGCCTATAAACCTGCGACTGGACTGTTGAAGGACTCAGACACGACTGAGCGCGGAGCGCACCGTGCGTTCCCCTTTTATACCTGCGGACGACCCGCAAAAAGTGGTGGGGGTAAGCCACGAGCCAATCAGATGTGCTACTTCGCGCGGGATAAACGCGCAGGGTGCACCTCCCCCCACCACTCTCGCAGGCCAGTACCTGCTGGGTACATATGTTAACACACACATCCTGTTAATCGCGATAATAGCTTCTTTGTAACAATAAATACAAACATAAAGAAAGAATGAAGAGCTAATTAACCTTGTGTCTATTACGCGAGTCATGCTAGAATCTCCAACTAAGTATGTGTGTTAATTTCACACCGCGACTATTATCCACACAGCGCGTCTTCCATTCATTTTCCAAACTGAACTACAAACCAACTTAAATGCCAATAATTAATCAATGAGAAACTAAACTTGATTTGACTATAAAAGTCACACGTAACCTATCGTAACCTAACATGGCCTAAGTTAACCCAGGCCGACGAGTTTCGCTCATCTTATAATTCGTTTGAGCGCGCATAATTTATAAATGGCTGCGCGCAGCGAAAAAGTGAAAGACGCCGAGGCATGCGCACTGCATAAGTAACAATACAGTGTCGGGCTATAAAATCCACTAAAATAAGTCAAAGTTAAACGAGACAATTTCTCGCGCGTATATTTTATAATTTCTGCAGCGGAAATAATAAATCTATATGGAAGAAAAATGCGCTTCACTCTCACTCGTCGATATAATATCGCGCCGCGTAAACGATTCGCGGCTTGTCATTATGTTCGCGAGGCGAAACGGCGAAACAATTTACATTTTACCAACATCATTAACTGTTGCAATTAATTTCCCCGGCTTGGTTTCACTGCCCATTGCATTTTGCAAAGTGGTTTCAAATATGGCTGCGTGTTTAATGCTAAATTATTTATTCTATAGGAGTTTTGTGGCTATGCTTCCAAGATGTGAGCTGTGTTCGTGCGACATCCCTGATTTTCGGCAAGAGTACAACAACAACGACAACAACAGCACCGGATGCAGCAAATTCAACCACTTCAGTTGCAGATGAGGTAAATTTTTTATATGTCTTGCTATAGAAGTAATTGATTGTAAATATATTTGTTGGTTTCAATCGATTTTGATTGAAAAATAGAAAACTATCGCCAATAAACACAAATTTAATTCACAATACACGTACGCGTTAGAAAAAGCGAATTAGGCAATAACATCCAATGAATAATTCAAAACGACTACTATGCGACGAGCTTTCTTCGTCTAGAAAATTGAGCATCAAATTTAAAAAAAAACACATGATGCACCAATTGCACCATGCACCAAGCAATCATAAAATCTTAATCGATCGGATGACAACGCATTTTTCCTTCCACATCCACTCACAAAGAAACACTACTCTATTTATGTATTGTTTATCTCTAGTACGGAGATAATTACAATTGCACGGCAATTTAATTGATTCCTTTCACAAACAAACTTGTTTTAACATGGGCAGTGCAGTGGCGGGTGCGTAAATTATACAAGTGACCCAAAAAAGAATAAATTTTAAAACATTCCGACTCATAGAATGAAATTAGTATATCACCATCATCCACCATGGATTTACCACGGAATTACTTCGTTATGCTCTGAATAGTATGTTTATACACTTTCACGTGCGCCGGCCACGATTACATATCGAAATCAGTATCTCGGCTGGCATGCTTCGACAATCTTTCGATCTGTGGAGGCGGCTTTGGACGGACACTAGATATGAACGAGTTTAATTGTTCGGCGCGTGCACACACATCTGAATATTACTTTCGATTCCGACACGCTGACATTCAAAAAGTTGGAATATTTCACCAGGCGAAGGTGAAGTGAAGACGCGCACGGCGCACGAATAAAAATTCCGAGGCGGAGCATGATGCGAATCGAACGCATTTCGGCCGAAAGGTGAAACTAAAAGTTTTCGGATTTCTTTTCGCTCGAGAGTAGTTTATTTCGTTTGTTATTGAAAACCGTCGCGACACCTTAACCAAAATTAATCATGATTACATTACATTTACATTTTCACAAGGTGTATCTACCTACAGGTGCTTCAGCGAAAAAAAAACAACCTTGGAAACAATACCTAAACGTAATTATTATCTCCAAAAATATTAATTTCAAATGCATAGCGAAGAAATCTGCAGAAATTTTTACCCCTCATGATGATATTTCCGTCAGAAATGTATTCGTTGAATAGAATGAATGTTTGATCAAAGCAGGAGCCCACTTTCACATGCATCATAAGAAGTTAAGACGCTCGCGTACACGTTATGCAATCGCTGGTGTCGTGTGTAACACGAATTAACGTGTGCGCCATTGCAGCGAACGCGTTTAACGATCACTCTACGCTTGCAAATGACACTGGCGATGGTGATAGTGATTGTCTAACGTTCTAATCAAATATTAATCTCAAATTAACGATTTCGGTGCGGAGCCGCACGTAAATGCCAAGACTATTAACCGTGGAAAACACCCACACGAAGATAAACGCATTAAATAAAACTTAGCACATTCTAATCACAATGACCAATTAATTCGTGTATGTGTTTCGTAAGCATGTCCGGATTCCGCATGCTGAATTAAAGCAGCTTTTATAGTTCACTTCAACTGAAACTTCCTTCACATCAGCATAAATAACTTCCTTTTTGTTTCCATCTTGACCAATATGCATGTAATTTACGAATTACGTGTGATGCAGAATATGTTTTGTTTCTTGTTTTGCACTCTAATTAGCTGTCGGCAGTTAATTATATAAGGAAAGAGGAAATTTATCCTAGTTTCCACTTGTCTACAGCTACCATTACGGTAACTTGTCTCTCCACTTTGTTCTGTGCCACAACTTGTAGAAATTACCGCGAAAAGCGTAACAATGTGCGAACGTAAGTAAGGCACGCCGCACGAGTTTCGCAAAACTCAACTGGCAGTAGAAAACGCGCCGACTAATTAAATGACTACAGAAAGGAATGAAGGAAATACCTGCGTATGTCAAACACGCGATAATAACCATACTATATATGTTTACGTATATAATTCTAAAAATTAATTTAAAAATTTGATTTTCAAGCATAAAACGCATAAATTTCTCCGAATTTTAGCCGTCTTGCAATGAAACCTGTCCGTGACATTTCCATTTCGCAAAATTTTAAAAACAAATTTGTCTGTGCACGTAATAAACTATGAACAAACATTTACAGAATGACGCCGTGAGCGACGTGTCGACAGCCAACTCCACCAAACCAATGCTGACCGGCATCCCGCAAGTGGATTACCAATTCGACCCGAATCTTCCACGCGAGCTCAACGGTTTCAATCTGACCGAGTATCCATTCTACGATCGCTTGCCCGAGGAGATCGACTTCAAATGCGATGGCTTACACGACGGTTTCTACGCCAGCGTGCCGCACAAGTGCCAGGTATAAAAAATTGTGCAAGTTGCAGATGCTTATGCGCATGCGCCTCTAGCTGACCTTGTGTCATAATAATGTTTTCTTTTCTAATGGACGCCCATAAACACATAAAAGATGTGGAAACAACTCGTATGCTTATAGATGACATTTGTCGCTATTGAAAGATACCAATAAACGGCGATGATGTAACGCGCAATGTTTTAATGACTTTTTTTCTTCTCTTGTACCAGGTTTACCACCACTGTTTGTTCGGCACACGCTATGACTTCCTCTGCGCTAACTATACAGCCTTCGATCAAAAGACCTTCATTTGTCACTTTGCCTCCGAGGTTGACTGCGCCAATTCAAAGAACTTTTGGCATAGAAATGATGCACTCTACAAAGCCCAATCCACTACAACAATCAAACCAGCGTATAATCCAAGTGTTTATACGCCGCCAGCGCCACCAGCTATTTTAAGTGGGGGAAAACAACGCCCTCAGGCGCAAGTACCAACCGCACAAGGAGGCGGGCCACCACGTAGGCGTAAACCAGCTCGTAGACGTCGCCCACAATATGATTACTATGATGAATATGATGAAGAAGAAGAAGAGTACTATGATGACCCAAGATACACAGCGACAGAAGCACCAATGCGTGGTGAGGGTAGAAGACGTACAAAACGACCACGCCCACGTCCACGCCCCATTTACGATGATGAATATGAAGAATATGAGGATGAACGTTATGACCGTCGACGTGCACCCGCACGTAGAGTACGCCCTTCAACTTCTCGTAGGAATAAAGAAGAACGTAGAAAATACGAAGACGAGTATGAAGAGTACGAAGATGAAGATCCCCGTTTTGATAGAAGTGAAGAACGTCGTGTGAAGAAACCCAAAGATGATAGGAGAAGACCACGTCCAAGTAGAAAGGGTTTCAGAAGACCTGTTGATGATGATTATGAAGATGAAGAAAGACGGCCTCTCAAGAGGAAAGAAGAACCACCTACAGCCGCGGGACCAACCGCAGAAGACAAAACAATGGTTAAATCAGTAGGGACTTCCGTTTATGATCGCCCTAGAGTAGCTCCCAAGATACGCCCACCCGCAGCAAAAAAGGACGCGGATAAATACACTAAAACAACTGCTGCGCCATCTACAACATCAACACCCGCTAAACCCGCAGAGGAAGAGGAATACTATGAAGATTATGAAGAAGAAACATCTAAACAACCAACCCGGGCAGCTTCAGCAAAAGATTCCCAAGCGAATGCTTCAATAACTTCAAATTCCCGAAAGAATAAACCTGCTGATCGCACAAGGAGTCGTCCTAAACAACAACGTCGTCCACCACCACAGGATGAATACGATTATGAAGAGCAGGAGAAGCCTCGAAGGGCGCAGAAGCCAAAAAATGAGGAGCGACGTGTTGGACAAGGAAGTCGTAAAAGACCAGCAACGATGGACTACGAAGATGAAGAAAGAGAACCGGAAAAGGAAGTGTCAAGCACTCAATCAACGTCAACAACCACAACGCGGAGGAAATACGGAAACAAAGATTTGTTCCGTTCTAAACCCACATCAACAACAACATCTGCTCCATCGACTACAACAACCACCACAACAACCACAACGACTACAACACCAGCACCGGTATATTCTAGGGAGGATCAAAAACCGGTACGAATTGTAAAGCGGCCATTTTTACCAAGTCGTGGCGGTAATCCCTACATCGCTCGGGGTCTGCAACCCGTCGGACTGAAATCTCAAGAGAGTCAAGTGGAGTTAACCCGATTTGATGAAGAAGTTCTTAAGCCACTCAAACAACAAAGAAATAAACCACAACAAGATGTCGTTGTGGAAGACTACCGTCCTCCTGCACGTCCTGGGTTTGTCAACCGTGGTACCGTGAAAATGCAGCCACAACCGCAGAAACAGGAAGAAAAGAACCCGCTGGATATAACAGGTGATGATAACGAATACGATGTGACGTTAAACGATGCCCTCAATCCTACACTACCCAATCTCCCGCTGCGACAATTCCCCACCGGGTTTGCCGGTTCTGGTGGTAACAACGTCAACAACGAATATACTTTCAGTGCCTTCCACCGGCCTCGCTTCGTCGTCGACGCGACGATAAACTCGGCCAGCTCGGAATATCAATATCGATACAAGCAACCGCAAATGGTGGCCGTGCAGCAGACTGTGAAAAGTACACAATATCCCACACAACATCAAATCAGGCAGCCCGAAAGCCACCAGGACTTTAACGCACAATACAGCACAAACTATCAACATTTCAGGCCCAGCCCGCGCATCACGCACGCGCACACGCAAGGCTACGCCAGCTACTGAAATGGCGCCCAACGAACTGTGATGATGATGATGAAGCGATCGGAATTTTTTGAATGGAGAATTTAAGTCATTTAATAACTAGAATATTATCTTAACGAATATATTTTCAATCGCGTTTATCGGCAACGAAAACAATTATTTATATGCGCAAAAGTAGCACTATAGCATTGCAAACATCATAGGTGTAAGTTTTCTGTTAGGTTATGTCAATAAGGTTGTTATAATGTAAAATTTGTAAAGCAGAAATGTAATGCGTTATTGTAATGTGTGTAAATATATTTTATATTGATGAAAGAATGTACTCACTCGTTCATTGCAGATTTATGCAGGGAAAATCGATAGAAACAATTACGTAAACATGTATCACGCACAAACTACAACTTTGAACAATAATTAACCGCCAACTAACTTCTTGTCAGCGTCGTTTGTAACGAACTAATGCGATGCAACCAGGTATACACCACGTGCATACACGGTTGACAGTTGTCCAGGTTACAAAAACAACTTCAAGATCAACAAGAACAACGAGGAAACAAGAAAATAACACGTTGTAATAAAATTAACTTTTATTCGACGTGTTTTCTGATTGTTTCGAATGGATTTTGCCAGACGGCAACTAGAAAAATATGGCTGGAAAGAAGGTAAGCACGCGAAATAAAACGAAAAACTAAGCTTATAGGTTAATTCATGTAAACAAGCAAGTTCACCCTGAATAAAACTAAATTATTAATTTTTAGGCAAAGGACTGGGTAAAAGTGAAGATGGAATGTCCAGTGCTCTGAAGCCCGCTTTAAAATTTGATAAAACAGGAGTAGGACATGAGGTTGGCAAAGATTTCACCAACAAATGGTGGGAAAATGTCTATGACAATGCTGCTAAAAACATTGAGGTAATTTTGTAACATTATTTAACATTTACTCAGTAGTAATATTAAAATTTGCTTGTTAGGTTGTGAAAGGAGAAAAAGAAGTACAAGTTAAAAGACTTGACAATGCAGACGAAGTGGAAATCACCACCAAAGACTATTCTGTTAGGGATTTCAAGCAGAAGAACGGCTCAATGGAATATGGGACATTCCTCAAGACATCCATTTTAACTGAAGAAGGGATGGTTAAGTATGATAATGTTCATGCACCTGATGAGAGTGAAAAGTTTCCAGTTAAACAATTATCAGATGAAGACTTGTTTGCCATTTGTGGTGGAAGAACAGCACATAAGTAAGTTTTATGGAAATTAACGTAAAACAAGGTATAAAATAATGTTATTTATGTTAGGGGTGCAAGACATGGTTTAAAATTATCAGGAAAACTATCACGCATTGAAAAACAAGAAAAAATGCTCCTCAAAAAGATGCAGAAAGTCCACTTGAATGAGGAACAATCACCAGAGATTACCACGTGCAAAAAGAAGTTAAAAAAGCTTCGCAAACTCTCAGAATCCTTGATGGAAACCACAGGTCACGAGGATAAAGTTGAAGCGTCCACATCTTCCAAGATATCGCAAAAAACTGAGACCAAAAAGAAGAAAAGAAAGAAATCGGTCTCATTCAGTGAGACTGTGCTTGAATACACCGTGCAGGAACCACCAGACAATGATAATCCTCAAGGAAGTTCATCATCGACCGAAACAGTCGAGATCCATCATCGTAATTTATCCGATAAACACGACGACGATCCAGTGACGACAGACGAAGGCATCGAACAGGACTGCGATGTCAAAACTCAAGATTGTGGGCAGGAATGCTTCTCCGAGATGCAACACCGCAACAGAAAAGGCAAGAAAAAGAAGAAGAAAAAGTCTGTGGAAATAGTCGAGATCATCGAAGAAGTCGCCGAGACCAAGAAAAAGAAACGCGATAGAAAAGACGGTCATGATATCGATGGTGTAGGTAAAATTAAAAAGAAGAAATATCAGCACAAAGAAGTTGATGGTATTGGGTCCACTCTGGAAGACCTGCAAATCTCCGAGTAAATAAATACAATATTAGCCGAATTTTCTTGTTGAAGTTGTGAATAAAATTTTCTATCACGTTCAGATCTACAAAATGTATTTGTTGGTGTTGGAATATCTACACGATTAAAACGCCAGAGATCAGTACGTATAAAATTATTTATAACTATCACACTCTCGTCCTTAGTATTTGGAATTTAAAGCGCATAGCACTCACGTTTTCTACATTGATTTTCTGGCGGCTCAAATCCTAAAACACGACAAACTCTCATTCAATCTCTTCTATGCTTAACACTTGTGTTACAATTGGTTAGTAACGAGGCAGGAATGATGGAAAATTTACATACTACGTTTAAACCGCGTTAATCATTTTGATTTCAACTTGTTTTGTTAGTTTTTTTTTTTTGGTTCAAGGAAGCACAAACTTTTGACAATTTTCCACTAAACTTTTCCCATAGCGTTAAAAACAGTTAGTTGAACTCGCGGTGATTAAGTTTAACATGATTTTCTTTATCGTATAGTTAGTTAATTGAATATAATGGACTTTTAGTACTGCTAGCATTAGTTATGTTTGTTTGTTAAGGTACATACATGTTTATAATGTGTTTGTTAGTCTTAAAATTGGGGTTTTCATCATACGCAGGTTAGTACAACATAATAACTTGTTTCAAAAGAATTACCTTCCTTCATTCGCATCTGCCTGCTTAAAAACATTGGTGTTTTTTGCTCGCTGCACGCCCTCCTCGCATACGTGTGTTGAAAATACTTTGTTTCTTATCAATTATATCACTAGTTTGGTTTTTGTCTTCGTAATTAATTATATATCTTATGTACAAACATTAGCATTGGCAATTAATTAATCAACAAGTTCTCTGTGTTACGTTTGTTTCCCGCAAAATCAATCACATTCTAAAAATAAGTGGCGCGAAATTAACTCACGAATAGAATTACACAGAGAAAACTCGGCTTAAAAGCAGACAATCTTCTTTTTCTTTGGCTTACTCTTTGTCATCGTGAAAATACCCAAGAGATTATTGAGCGAACGCGCCGCCATCTCCTCCTGCAGCTTGCACTCCATGGCGAGGTCGAGCGTCTCCAGCAGCAGGTACTGATCGTGGATCTCCGACGGTGAGAGTCTGTGCGACGTGAACGCTGTTTTGAAGACGCATGGATCAAACTTACGCTTTTGGAAGGTAAAACCGCCATTGTTACGTGGACGCACGTGTATCACCCTCGACAACATACCTGCCAATCATTATATGACAATAACAAAAACATTATTCATCAATTTGTACACAAACCGGTTATGTAGATGTCTTCTAGATGGAAGATTGGCGTAATGAGTGCCGCCTCGTAGAGTTTAGGAACCACGTCGATGGACATAACATACCCAGTTCCAGAGAGGTAATTTGGGTAAATCCGATCACGATACATATACGACGGCGTGTACCTGCATATTTACATAGAAAGTTTATAGTTTTTCAATAGCATGGAATGTTAATGAATGTCCCGCGTGCTTATCGTGACAAATGATTGTTAAATATTTACTTTACCGATAATGTCGCGTGTGTGTGATAAGTGTAACGTGCCGACCGCATGTTTGTCGTTGGCAAATTTAATAGCTCTAAAATTTATAGTTACCATTTGTTGTTAATATCTTTAATGGGTTTAGCACCGCATATGAGACTCCCAACCATGACATTCGTAGTATTCGTAGAGTTTAACATTGAGATCAATGGCCGCATGTTGAGGTACATGTCATCGTCGGTCTTCATCAGGAACGTGGTTGTTTGCATGCAGAACGTCGAGAAGGTTTTCAACATCGCGATGCTCTTGAGTGTGAGATTATTATACGAATCAATGAATCGCTCCTGCACGATGTCGTTGTAGATTTCGTTTTCTTTGATGATATCAGCCTGGACCGATGCATTCGTGGAATCTCCGAGCAAGAAGTAAACTTTTATGCTCATGCCTGAGATATTGTGCTGTGATCCCCATGTTTCACGTATTGCGACGCGATTCTGCAGGTTTACCGGCGCTGAAGATACGACAACGCGCAGGAAGACGACCGACTCACAAAAGTGCTTTGGTTTGAGAATACTGCTAGAGTTGTCCAAGTATAAACTAGCATCCCTGGAGGTGTTATACTCCCAGCCCTCCACAGAGCCTAAATGGTTAAAAAATAATAAATAAATAGTAAAACAATTGAGAATAGATTGAGTAATTGATACAAACCAAAATCACTAGTTGATTCGACGTATTTTCGAGGTGCAGCGGTGTTATAGATAAACCCGATGAGAAATGTAAGAATGATAATGCCCAGAATGAACTTCTTCAGCTTGCCGTTGGTCAGGCGTCGGTCCAGCATCCTTGCAAAGATTCACCCCCTGGCGGTGCAAGCGACTGAGGCCGAGCTCATTTATTTTCGGGTTAACCTTGTGGTAATATACAATCAATGGCCCATTCTCTTTTGATTCACATGACTGTGATTCATGTGAATTTAATCGAACCGACCTAGGTATGGTAGGAACAGCACAGCGGCACGACGCGGACGGACGTTCACCGCTCGCGCCTGCCAATCACACTGAATAACACCGCTTTATTTGGGCTGATGCTGCTCCTTCTTTGGTTGTTGACTGACTGGCGCTGACTGGCGGTACGCGCAGCCCAGCGAGCATTGGAGACGCATGAGTGGGGTTAAGCAAACGATTCATCAAGGTCGGATCCAGAAAATCACCTTGTGGGAAGAAAAAGAGCGGAAATCCGTAATATATCGGAAATCCGACCAACGAGTTCTTAAAATGAAAGAAAAGTAATCAATTTTTAAAAATTCGTTAAGAAAGAGGGCAAGCAAATTAATTGGTGTGACCTTTTTTATGCCTCTTTTGTTTCTTAATCAGTCTAAATAAATTATTAGGGCCGAAGCACTTACCTAAGAAACTATTGTAACTTAGATTATGCACATAAATTATACACTTTTCTTTATGTAGGGGATGCGTTATGTGTTGCTGATATCGATCATGCGATTGCGTGACTACACTAATAAATGTTTAGTAGGATGCAAAGTGATTATTTATACCTTCCCTTCACGATTTTCCACAATTCCCCACAAAAAGCACACTACAAATTGTAACGTACTAAACAAACTAAAAAGAATCAAAATTGGAGTGTTTACGGTTGCCTAACTATTATATTTTGAATACGGAACTGTCAACAATCATATGGTAACCTCAAAATAAACGCATGTTTTTCAAATCTGTGTACAATAATAAGTCAACATGCAATCTGAAAGTAAACGTATATTTTTGCCTAATTTACCAGAAAATCTTTCCGAGGAAGATGTACGACAACGATTCTTTAAATTTGGGGACATAACATCAATTGAAATTAAACACAGAAATGATCTCAACGCACGCAATTATTCCCACGAATATGCCTTCATTAACCTGGATACAAATCCTAAACTTTTGCAGCAGTGCTTTGATGAGTTTGCAAATAAAAAATGGAATGGAAATTACGTAGAAGTGCAGCTAGCAAAGGAATCTTTCCTAGAAAGACTCAAGAAAGAAAGGCAAGAGAATGCCCAACAACAAAAAACTGAACACAAAGTTGAAAATAAACATAAATCAACAAGTGAAAATGGAGATATTGAAGTTGTTATCCCCAAGAAGAAAATAAAACTTGCTCCTGCATCTCCTGATATAATACCTTCAAAGAAAATAGCAAAGGAGAAACAAGTTGAAACAGATGACAGTGATAGTAGTGTTGAACTAAATGTAGATAAAGATATAATACAATCAGTTTATGATGACTGTGTAGTGAAAAGCAATAAACACAAGAAAGTGAGTAAGAAAATTGAAGGTGTTGGACTAGCACCAATTCATGTACAACAGAATGGACCCAAGAGAAAGAGCAAGGATCCACACAGAGAGAAGGCTGATCAGAAAAGGATCAACTCAATGATGAAGATGAAGCAGGATTATCAACAGCAAAAGTCATTAATTAAGAATGCACTTTCAAATATTGTAAGATACTTTAAATACTTTCAAAGCTAATAGACCAGAATATAATGTAATAAATTCTTTCAGGATGGTCAAAAGAATAAGAAGATTGTCTTCAATGATGATGATATGGAAACAGTTGAAGAAAAAGTTACTGAACCAGAAGATAAAAATGAAAAGTTGGCTTTGTTTGATGGAGATGATGATGAGGATAACAATAACATTGCACAGACTGAGAATAACTTCAAATTGCGCGAAGAATATGAAGGCAAAAAGGGTAAAAAGGTAAAAACTTATGTTTTTGTTATGAAAATGAACTTATCACATATTATATTTGTAGCTTTTTGAAATGCAAGCACGTTTTAATCAAGATGCACGTTTCAAAGTCGATGCACGTTTTGCTGAAGGCGATAGCAGTGACGAGGCCGAAGAAGAAACAATTAACGATAATCAAGGCTTGGATGAACGCACACAGCAATTACAACTGCTCGGTGAAGTTTTAAAGAAACCAGTGCAGACAACAGTCGAGAAAAGTCGCAAAACAATGCTTCGATTTGATCCTAGTCAACCTGATCATTCAAAATATGAAATACCTGTCCAAAAAAGTCAAGATAAATCAAAGAAACGAAAGAAGGAAGAAGAAACATCTAAAGAACCAATTGAAGAAAAACTCCCTGAAGTTTCCGCCGATACTTTCTATCAAATCAACGAAGAGATACCGTTTCAACAAACGGAAAACGGTGAAGCATTTAGTTTCCTTAAGGCGTTGGGTCGTGATGAAGACTATCCACAAAATGAAGAACCCAGCGTTGTTCAAAATGGAGTTGAAGAAGATATGAAGAAGAAACGTGGTAAAAGTAGCGATAATCCTTTCAAGTACGATTCTACGGATGATGAAGACGACGAGGATAAATCAAACTCAAAAGTTACCGCTGACAAACAAGAAACCGCAGCAGTGCGGCCAAAGTTTTGGACTGAGAGCTTCTTCTTCAAGAAAGATGATTATCGTTTCCAAGAGGGTATAGACTTTGTTAAACGTATGCACGGTATGGAAGACGATGGTGACTTCTCCAAAGTACGTAGGGATCTCAAGAAGATCGTCAAGCGCAAAGTGCGTAACAATGAAAAGAAGAAGACAACGTTCCGCAAGAAGTTGGGCTCGGCGGCGTCCAAACGTCGCAATCGGGTACAAAAAGCAATGTATAGAGGTGAACGTGTATAACTAAAATAAAAATAGTCCTCGAAATCAAAAAGAAGTACACGAATATGTCTCTAGGTAAAAGTATTTTTTGTACAATTTCTGCAGAAGAACAATATCGCTACTGCACTGTTCTAGAATGGCGGCAAATTAGCTTAAATGCAATTAAACTTTCAAAACAAATTCCTTATCGAGTACTTAAATCGAAGTTACATAATTAATATAGAGTCGGTTCGGTTATCATTATAGCACTATACTCTTACACTAAGTTCTCTTCGTTTTGCGCTGCCCCGCTCTCCAAATCGGCATAAATATATATAATATATAAAAATAATCCCCACGCTTTCGACATATCTCCTGGGTGCCATGATTACTCCTTCGCAGGCACCTCAATGACTCGCGGCTTGTCGATAATGCGCGCCGACCGGTTTCCTTTCTCAACAATGCCGATGATCCACGCCTGATAACCCTCCTGCTTCTCGATGTCTTTGCAATACGCAGCCGCTTGTTCGCGAGGCAAACAAATAAGCAAACCCCCCGAGGTTTCAGCCGAATGTCCCTGTAACAATTGGAACATATTCCCGCAAGCTTTTGCAACAGCTGCCATTTTGGCAATAACGGGAAGATTGTGAATGACAAACGAGACTTCATTTTTCTGATGTGAGGCGAGAGTTTGCGCATGGCCTAATAAACCAAAGCCGGTGATATCCGTGGCGCCATGTGCGTTGTATTTATGCATCAAACGCGATGCGATTCGATTAAGGCGGGCCATGGAGTCCATTGCGCGATGGTAAGCTTTACGGACGTCTTCTTCGCTTACCACGAGTTTTATACGGTTCCAACGCTCTGGTTGATCGAGCCATTGATGTGCGTTGACAGCAACCTGTGTACCTAGTGGTTTTGTTAGTACAAGTACATCGCCGACAACTGCGTTATCGGGTACGATGTATTCATTAGGCTGGCAAACAGTGGTTGCTACTCCGCCGATGGTGCACCATGGGTTGACAACAGTCTGGCCGCCGTTTACACTTGTACCTGCCTCCAACGCAGAGTCTTTAAACCCGCGCATTATCAAGGGAATCACCACATCGCGCTCCTTCTCAGTCATTTTTGTGCTGACAGCAAGCAGCATCAGCATGTTGTCGCATTCTGTGACGCCCATCGCGTAGAGATCGCTGAGAACATTGGCGCACGCAATCTTGCCCATCATGTAGGGGTCATCCACCAGAGGATAGAAGAAGTCGGTGGTCTGCACGAGACACAGGCCGCCATGGCGAAGCGGTGTTACCTGTTGCCGCAATATAAAAACATTATTTATTGAGGTTAAAACACAAAATGCCTCTCGGCTAGTCTACTCACCGAACAATCCAAGCCGATACCGATGCGCGGTGTGGCCATATGCATAAAATGCGAGTGCTCATCGCCGGAGTTGTTGTAATCCTGTTGTAAACCCTCGACGAGTTGATTGAGCACCTCCTGCGGCACCTTGCATCCGCGTCCTTTGAGGTCCGCGAAACGCGTGAGCCTGAACGTCGACTCCAGGTCGTGTGCGAGCGGGTCGAACGGCCGACGGAGCGCCAGCGTGTTCGGATTGCCCAGCTCGAGTTGCACGGCGCCCAATGCGTCCTGTTGCACGTTCGTCACTTGGTAGTCGCCCATCGCCCGTGCGAAATCGAATTTGCCGCAAACTCTCTGCGAGAGGACGCCAAAACAACAGAGGAGCGTTTCTCAAACAATAATATAGACGCGCACACGGCACAATGGCGATGCTGGAATGGACGCCGGAATTCACCGCGCAAGCGTCGCGCATAGAATGCGCTGCGATTGGCTGTGATTCGTCGAGCCGGCGCAACGCTTGGGACGCTAGCGTCACAAGAGGGAAGTGACGTCACCAACTATCCCCACTCTACACTCTTTAACGCATCAAGCAGCAAATTATTCAAATGCAATAAACATTGCCAACTAAAAACAAACACAAAACAACGCAATGCATTTGTTTTCATAGACATACGAGCTGAAATTTGATAAATTGACTCAAATGATCACAAACATGTGCACTGATTTATCACTGCGGAGTAATTTAGTCTGCGGTATTTCCAGAGAGGGGAGACTCGATAAATGCGCTGCTTTGTTATAGCATGCGCCGCCATACCGGAGGCACTCAAACTTTTTAAATTCGAATTTAAATTTAAACTAAGAGTTAATTCGCGTACAAGTTCAGTGTGGAATTGATAGAAAAAAGAACACGTTCTATAAAAACACTTATAAAAATACATTGTGTAGCAAACAGTTGAGTATATTTTGTTTTTTAAATATTTACAGTAAATTCATTAGTGTTTAAAAAATATAGAAGATTCTTTAATTAAATTAATTATTTAATGATAATAATGATTGGTAATTATCATTCTTATATATAGGAAATATTAAACAAACATTAACAAATATTGTGAAAGAGCGCACTTGAAAACAAATAATTTACATAACCTTACATTTTAGGTGTGTTCGAAAACAAAGTTTTCAAAGTTCAATAACAATGGGAGACTTAATAGAAATAGATGGATCAGTTCTTGAAGGGGTAAGAACAATATTTATTAATTAAAATCTATTTTAAATAAGTGTTTGTTTTATTAAAGGGCGGACAAGTAATCCGCGTTGCCCTATCACTAAGCGCCCTGTTTCAAAAGCCAATTCGCGTTATAAACATTCGTGCAGGTCGTGATAAACCAGGTTTGATGGAACAACACCTGCGAGGTTTAGAATTGATTCAGAATATTTGTCAGGGTGATTCCAAAGGGGCGAAAAAAGGCTCCACAACAATTGAATTCTACCCAGGTGCTCTAACTGGAGGAGAATTCAAATCAATTGTACAAACAGCAGGCAGTATTTCATTAGTATTACAAGTTGCACTGCCCTGCTGCATATTTGCACCAAAAACAGTTCATTTACAGCTGCAAGGTGGAACAAATGCTGAACTGGCTCCACAGATAGATTATGTTACAGAAGTTTTCCGGCCTAATCTCGAGAAAATGGGCGCGTCATTTGATTTCGACTTAATAAAACGTGGATATTTTCCTAGGGGAGGCGGCAGAGGTCATTTTGAAATACAACCACTAAAAGAACTAAAACCAATTATCCTAGAGCAGGCAGGTGACATCATCGCAATTTATGGGTGGAGTTATGCTGCTGGTAGATCACAAATTGCTGAAGCTGAGGAAATTGCACAAGCAGCCAAAGAAACATTAAAATCTTTCAATAAACCAGTCGAAATTGAGGTTTATTATGAAGATAAAACCATTGCACCCATTGGCGATTGCGCAGGAATCATGTAAGTATTATCACATATTTTTCCTATAAAATTTAATAATTTCTATAATAGTTTGGTAGCAGAAACAACTGAAGGCTGCATCCTGGGTGGATCAGCTATAAAGAAACGAAACGAAGTCCCCAGTGAAGCCGGCCAACGTGCTGGTGAAGATCTAGCAGAATCTTTACGCAGACGAATTTGCATTGACGATCACAGCCAAGACCAACTAATAATATTCATGGCTTTAGCCAAAGGCACATCACGAATAAAAGTCGGCAATATTACACTGCACACCAAGACAGCCATATACATCGTGGAATTATTAACGGACGCCCGATTCAAAATCGAAGATTACAGTGAGTACAGCATCATAGAATGCGTCGGCATTGGCTACCAGCGACAAAAATAACATTTCATTCTTTATTCATTTGTTCATTGTGTTGTAACAGCCCAATTGTTTAGTCAAATAAATACAGAAACGCCATCTATAAACAAAGTAACAAAACACAACAAACGATCAAGTTTACAAAAATAATACTGTGATCAATCGAAAGAAAAGATTCGATGTTGTGTGATCTCGTGATACATCATCATCCAGCCTCTTTGGACACACAATTTACACTTGCTTCGGACGGTTTCAGTTGTTTGAAAGAAACTCTCGCTCCAACGCCGCGCCCATCATATTCCATTCGCCATCATCCGCCTCATCTTGCGCTTCTACACTGCCCTCACTGTTCGAGTCCTGACCAAAATCAACATCGCTGCCGAGTTCTTCACCTCTACGAAACTTCGCACTGGGAAATTCATCCGGTGGGGTTTCACGCGTGCGTTTGAAACCTTTGGGGAACTCGCTCGTCAGCGACTCTGTGGAACTAGAAGAGTTTTGTTCTTCTTGCATCAGTCGCGCTTGTAATTCTCGACTAGTGACATTTTCACTCTCCGTCTCGTTCTCAGTCTCATTATCCGCATCATTATCATTATCACTGTCGTCGGTTTCATCATCTAAGATATCCTCGACCTCTTTGTCCATATCAGCGATATCATCGCTTGAAAACGACATAAGCGGATTAATCGTGTCCATAAATCGTCCACTGGGAGTACGTTTGCGTGCTGTGGGTTGTTCATGTATAGGATAATTAGGTACGTGTTCTGGTGAGCTGCAGTGTGGAGGCGGATGGCGGTTTTTTGATCCTTTGCTACTCAGCGGGAAAATACCTTCTTCTATACGCTCCCATCGTTCAGCACATGCCCATAACCAATCGGGGGTTACAATCCGCACATGCTTTTTACGCCTGCCAGCGTTTACCTTTGCTGTACCGGGTCGTACAGCTACCAAATGCGTGCTATCATCATCAATATCCTGCGTAACGATGGCTCCCAAACTCCGCGCGACTTGATAAGCTTTACTTTGTTCTAATTTGATGTGTGTTGGTACCAGCCCGCTGAAAACAAGCCGGCATCCTTTGAGGATTTCACTGCGCACAGCAGGAATAATCACTTTCAAATCAGGAACTGTTCCTGCTTCCAACTTATCGTATTCTTCATAGAAGCGTTTGTGTACCATTTTGAGGATATCCTCCAAGTAAAGGAGATAATCATCAGGGTCTTCTATTTCTACAAGATCTTCTTCTTTTTTGTCTTCTTGTTTGGTTGTTTCTTTGAACTCTTGGGAATCTTGCTCTTTTTCTTTTTCTGTTTCTGGGGGGGTTTGTACTGTATTCGGTGCTGTCGCATCTTCACTGGCAAGTGGAACTTCTTCTTTAGAAGATTCTTCTGTGGTGCTAACTTTTTCTTCTTCAGTTGAAGGTTTTTCTTCTGATTCTGGTGGTGGTTCTTCATGGGGACATTCTCCATTCGTTGTTTTAAGTACGCTTTCCTCCTCTTCTTCCTCAGGAGGAACAACGGCGTCCACACCATTTGTATCTTCATTTTCTTCATTTACCTCAGTTTTCTTGCCGTTTAATTTAGTTTTCTTTATGTTGTTGAGATCAACACCATCTTTGTTATCGGCTTCGTGTTTATCCAGACCTGGAGGTGCATTGATATCACCCGTGTGTTTAAAGAAATGATACGGTTTAACATGAATGAGATTAGACGCGTGGTTCCAGACATCTTCCCGGTCGTCTATGATGCATACCATATCATCACCACAGGGAAACAAAGCTCTTAAATTAGCTTTTTTGCTTGTCGGATCAAAACATTCGTCCCGCGAGAGAATCCGATTCGCAAAATAAGCTTGATCGTTATCAAGGAACATCGCAATCATGTGCGCATAATTCCGCGCGCCAAAAGTACAAATATGCAGCTCAAAAAATTGCGAAATATTGCTTAGGAAGGTGTGCGTACCAGGCCGCAGCCTCGTGTGATACCATGGCGAGTTCGGCCCGTACAATTGGAAATGATAAACGTCCTTAATGTTTGGTGGTATGTTGTCATTTGTTGTATGAATGAGTGTTTGATCAAGATCCACCAGTAAAACCAGTTTACGATCGCGTATCAACCGCTCGCCGTCTGCCCTCCCCAATTTTTGCGCGACCTAAACAATAAACAAAACCTTGAAACACATTGTAAACAACAACAAACAACTGTCAATTACCTCTTCACTAACTTTCAACTCTGGAATGGAATGTACCATGGGAACTGAAGCAGATCTGCTGGATTCTTCTTTCCGCAGGTCAGCGCCGCACTCGGCGCACATATCTTTCATCACTGTGGGATGAATACAAGCCCTCATTCGCAGCAACGGTTCTCTAAATTTAAAAATAATTGTTTATGAAAAACTTGGGCGCCAAAATTTAAATCTCGCGGGGGTGTTAACACACACTCACCCAGCGCGGACGACGGCGCCTTCCGGTGCAAGCAGCTCGTGCACTGTTCCGGCCTGTAGCGACTTCAGCTTGCGTTGTTCGGACTCTGAGACCCCATCGAAATCGTACAGGAGAATCACACGACCGATTGGCACCGTGCAACCGGCGCCCACTTTCCATTTAACTATCTTTATCGGCTTTATTTGTTGCAGCGATACGAGAACCGTATCGTCGGCCATCTTAACAGGAAATGCGCGCGGCCTTGTATCGACGAGTGCGCGCGCCGTCACACGATTGAAAGCAAGTAAACAAACGCGCACGACTGGTTGCCTACACATGTTTCTTTCACTTCCGCGGCCCTTTGAGTTTACAAATTTATATTTTTTTAAATACAATTCGATTACACAATTTATAATTGTTTTTTTGGTTGTTGACATACATTAATTACATAAGTTACAAAAATCGCTACAGGTGTAGTCAAACGGTTTAAAATAAACACAGCACTGCTGCATTAGCAAACAAAATGCGCAATATAAATTTGTTTTTATAAAATGATACACCAAACAAGACTATTTTCGCCGCGTGGTACCTCTCAGTTATTAAAAACAACTATGACAGACGCGGTTTTATTTACTTCAGACCGTTAATCTGCACCTGCATCGCAAACACAATAATAGCGAACACTCTTAGATAAATTGTTTGCATTTGTTTTTTGTTTACAACATAGGATTCATTATCGTCTAAAGTTTTCTTTGTTTAAATAATTTGCAGCGCAGATAGAAAACTAAAATCACAATAATCATAATCATAGTAAAAACTTAATTTAAATAAATCATTCCTTATCATTAAAAATTGAAAACGCTTCACCGTCGAACTCATGCCATTGAATAAGTAATAGATTAGTATAGAATAACCGAACATTCTTGTCTAAACAAGCGGTCAGATGTATGCAGTTGATTATAAGATAAATTGGTGGCTCTCCTGCCCGATTCCACATTGTATCTTCCCCAATTTTTGAATTGAATGTCGTTATATTAAGTCCAAGTGATTCTTATGTATCCTGCGCGTGTTTAACAACATCCGCCGCCTTGGGAGCCATCCTTCCCGCCTGCCCCGGGCAGTGAGGGGTTCGTGGGCGAGTGCTGCGGTCCAATCTTAATACCGTTCGCCTTAAAAATACAGAAAAATGTAAAAAAACAATAAAATACAACAAAAAGTTGGCAATTTTTCAATACCTCGTTGTTTATATCAAAAACACCTTCCTGAATCTTCTCGTAGATTTCTTTAGCAGTGTTGATGAAGGCTTCTTCAACATTGGCCGCTGTTTTAGCCGAAGTTTCCATGAAAACAAGACCGTGTTCACGAGCAAACGCTTCGCCTTCTTCCTTTTTCACTTCTCGTCTACTCTCCAAATCACTAAAATTTATTTATTTTAATTAATAACTCGATTTTAATGGACATAATTATTATTTTTTAATAATACCTCTTGTTGCCAATGAGCATAATCACCATATTCGAGTTGGAATGTTGCCTCGCGTCTTCCAGCCAATTTGTAAGATGACTAAAAGTCTCCCTGCGTGTGATATCGTAGACGAGCAGTGCACCAGCTGCCCCACGATAATAAGAACGCGTGATAGAACGGAAAGCTTCCTGTCCTGCTGTGTCCCAGATCTGCAGCTTAATCTGCTTGCCATCAATGGTGATCATACGTGCGCCAAATTCAACTCCGATGGTTAAATCGTGCACTGGTTGAAATCTCTTATCAGTGAACTGCAGCAGTAGGCATGATTTACCCACACCTAAGTGAAAAATAAAAATTGAATTAATTTAGTGTTAATTTCATATTTAATTAGTTATTGACTGTGATTTATTATTTATACACTGGTAAAAACATGTATATAATATTCTGATAACTGATAACGCGCGATAACAAAGAAAGAAGGGTTGCTGCCATTGCTGGAATCCTGCTGGCGACGATAACAAAGCAATCAATGATGATTAACACCGAGAAAGGTTATTGTCGCGCGATGCGGGATGCTTCGCCGTGACATTTTGATGTTGGTAGCTAGGATTGATCGTCCGGATCGCCCCCTGCGGCCTCCTGCGCTGGTACGCACCTGTATCTCCGATGATGATGTACTTGAAGAGGTAGGCGTAGGACATTTTGTTTTCGCTCACGCCGCGGGTCTTTGTTTCGAGCTTGCCTGAGACGACTATGCGGGAGGATTTACGATTCGAGTTGTGTTGCGTTCGCCGTTTGCAGGGCTTTTGGAGGACGAGGAGCACTGGTAATCACGAACTATCGTCACGAAAACGGAACAACGAACACTGACAGCTGTCTGGACGTCATTACCTAACTGCGCAGCTGTGCTGCGTCACAGAACCTCGCTTCTGATTGGTCGGAATAAATTCAATCACACAAAAAATAATAATATTTAACGTTAATTACAATAAAATATAAAGAATTAAACTTTTATTTATACATATAATTTAATAAACTATAAATTTTAAGTTATTTTGGTTGCCTGTCATTGTTTTATTACTCAGCAGGAAATAAAACATTTAGTGTATAACTGGTTGCCTACTTTCCTGCAAAGTTCCTCCCAACTCCCAAATTTTAAAAGTTTGCACAGTTGATTGCGGCTGCACTTTGTCGCGAATGCGGAAATTCTCAACGGAGACAAAGAAGTGAGTGTCTTGCACGCCTAAGTTAATCAGTTAGTTTCGACGCTTGTCAGAGTATAGTCGAATCCGTACGTGATTAAAATCGGCGCGTGTACATAAGGATGTAGAAACAAAAGCGGCACGTACACTCATATCTGGCCAATCAGTGTACATCGGGCGGTTATTCACTTAACATCAGATAATCAAAATTTGCGTGCCGAGAAAGAACACCGCACCGGCATAAATTAATTAAAAAATGTTGTATTTATCAAGTACGGACATCGTGTGGCTCTCAATTAAGCTGATAGTGATACTGTTGGTTCTCTTTTGGAGCGTCAAGAGATATTTACAAGGTAAACATGTTTGCAGTTTATAATTCTCATTACGCATGCGTACTGTTTTCGCACGAATCCAATCATCCGAATTTGGGAAATTGCATGAATTCTTGGAGTTGTTTAAATCTTAAACTTGAAAACACGACATTACCTAACGCGCGACAATTGTTTAAACAATAAACATGATAATGAAAAGCCAGCGAGATAAACCAAATTACATACCGGAATGGTTGATATCAGCGAAATAAGCCACTTTCAAAGTAGATGGAAGTCTATTAATATCTCTGATCATTTATAAAAATAATTACACCCGAACGCGAATAAAGCGGCGTCAGCACCGCTGTTTGCGTATTGTTCGCGCTCGCGATATTATAACTTTTATCATCGATAGAACGGATAAAACGCGTTAATATTTCGCCAGTCTGCCGTATTTCGCCAACACGTGCACTTCGTTCGTTAGCCGCGCACGAACCAAAAATTATTTCAGCCGCAGTAGTGCACACAGTTAGATGGACATGGATCAAGGCATCATCATTATATTCCTGGTCGTATTCTCGGGGTTTTTGTTGTATCGTGCGTTGGTGTGGAGCACGCGTTTTTATTTGTTTCAACGCACGATGCACGAAGCGCAGGTTGAGGGCATTCGGCGCCAGCGACGTCGGAATGAATCTGGTGTATCTACGATTAGTGGTGAGATATAAATAATGATTAAGTAATGAGCGATTGTGTAAAGTTGTGTCCAGGAATGGTAAATTCTTTCTGGATGAATCATACGGTATTGCAATGTTGATATATCGGAATATCGGTAATTCCGGTATTTAAATTTTTAAATTAATCAAGTAATTGAAAAAAAAAATTAAAATTAACGTAAAATATAAATAATAGTTGAATATTTTGGTGTTTAAAGTAGGTATAATGGTTGAAACTGTTGAATTACTTGAAAATTCGCTGTTTTATCATCAAATTTACTTAAATAACTGTCAATAATTAATTGAAAATTTGATTTTTTGTTAGTTTTGACCATTTTACTTAATTTATACTAAAATTTTGTTAATTTTGCATTATTTATGTGAATTTTAAGTTTAATACCGGTATTTATTACCCCTTAATTAATCGTTTAATAATTTACTTGAGATTTGCAAGTAGTACGATGAAAAAAATGTCCGCAAAGATAATTATTCAGATGATAGCACAAAATAAACACAATTATCGACAATTGAGGTTGTTGGCACTTAAAAATCCGAATTTCACATGTGCAACCAAACTATCCGAACAAACATATGCATTCTGTCTTATCATTATCGGCCGCCGCGGCTTCGAATATGCGCTTATTGCACCAGCTCAGTCTACGCACCCGACGCGTGCATTGAAAACGTTAGCAACGCTCCAATTAGTGTGCTCATCACAATACATAAATAAATCCCATCCAAGAAACATGGCGGATATTTTGCAACCGATGAAATTCACGACGCTCATCTGCGGTGCCTGCCTCATCCTCGCCGTGTTTCTCTTTATTGTGTGGCTGATGTATTTGGCGCACAAGTACGACATCCTCGAAGGTATAAAATGCATAATTTATGAATATTTTAATATCTACAACGCATAACTTAACGAAATGCGCATTGCGTTCGTGTATCAAGATTTATTATTAGTTATGCCTGTCACATGCCAGCTCTTATCGCGTTTAAACATGCGAGTGTCGATCAAGAAAGATAACGTCATCAACTTGCGATAATAATAATAGAATTTATTCCTTAACTAGTTACTGGTTAGTGTAGTTAATGTTTGTGTTGACTGTTGTTGTCATTTCGGAGACAAAACGCAACAAATATTGATTGAGATGTGTTTACTTGCGACACTCGTATTGTTTTATTTATAAAAACAAAATTGAAATAATTTATTTGGTGTATGTAGAGTTGCCTAACTTAAACACACAATTTCAACTTTTTTCTTATCAATAAATTAAAATTATAAGATAAATGTGTGTAATATTAATTCTAAAAGCAATATTTTACCGTATTATTAATGAAAAATGTTTAGACATTCATAAATTCACGAAATAATTACTATTGATAACGTTTCGCGTCATTTCTGCGTGATACCTCCACCTGGAGAATCCAGGACTTGCCTCCGTCATTCATTGCTGATAACACAACGAACGCGAGCATTTTTAGACCTTCACGACGCTGGCGTATTAACATTTTGCAATACCTATTCGCACACAGTGTCAGTTTGCGCCTTGTGCTGTAAATAACCAGCGCTAAATCCTATTTTGCAGCTATTTTGATTAAACAATGAATCCGTTGGATAATTATTTACTCTTTACGTGGTTCGCGTTCGGATTTGTTATCTTTTTCCTGTGGATTCGTTCGTGCTTCTATTGTCATCACATGTTCCATGGACGCGCGATGGTTCCGTACCCACCAGGTATAAACAAATATTGCGCATTAATAAATTAATTTATGCGTGCTAAATACTACAACACAAAACACTCACGCAACGGAAAAAAAATATACACACAGTCAATTGAGTTTGTCGGTCGTCAAGCGATAAATTGATAAATTTAAAATGAATAACAGAAATTCATGATACAGTTCCGAACTCGATAGAACTTGGATAAACTTGAGTGGTTATCGAATAATAATAATAATCAGATGTATTTTGTTCCTGTATTCATCAAGGATTCGCGTGCAAACACTCATCAGTCGTCTGTTGAAACGGTGGTGTTGTTACCAGGTTCTACGGTGTGAATAACTTTTTAAAATTTATGTTATCGATATGTATGCAAAGCAATATTTTTTGCGACTAAAAATGTAGAACATGCGTCGGAAATAACAAAAAGTTAGTAATTGATATAGGAGAATGTAAGCTAGTATGCAACTAGTCTTACAATGTTGTTTTGTGGAAGGTTAGGAATTGAAATGTCAATTATGAGTTCAAAACCGATATTCTTTTTAATAAAAATGATTTTTTTTTGATATTGCAATTGAAATATCAAAAATTCATGCAACCAGACCTACACATTTGCCATATGAAAGGTTAGGATTGCATGACGACATACTTCACCTAACTTGACCCAAAAACCTAACAAACATGTAGATATGCGACCCGATTATGTTCAAACCAATTTAGCAATTCAGTTAAGTGTGTAAAATTGCATAAAGTCTAGCAAATCACTATGATAATATGTTATTGATCGTATTCTTATCGCTATCACTATACCACTCATCACATGGTGCCGGTTCTATATAAATCAGCTTGCTTACTATCGACTGAATCCACGTAGATGTAAACACCGAACCGAGTCGCACATTTTTAAAGGCGCAACTTTAGACAAATTCCGTGGGCGTCGGCGTGCTGTGGGCGGTGGTGGTGTGCACATTCAAAAAAAACTTCCGGCGGTAATTAGCAATAACAATACGCGACACAATGTTCCTCCATCCGAAAATGTACATGGTGACGTTCGTCCTCTCCGTGCTCAGCATCTTCATCGCTGCAATTTGCTACATGCTAGTCGCCTATAACTACGACTGGCTAAGTCGGCACTGCTGCTGTTGCAAGAAACGCCGTGACGAATGCGGAAGATGTAAGTTATTACAAACAAGTTAAGCCGTGGATTAATTCAGGATTAGTATGAATTCTAATCAAAATTGAGATGAAATTAATGCGCACAATTACAACTGGTTTGAACCGAGTTGATTGATTCAATTACACGATAATAAAACGTGAATGCGCTGTGTTATTGAGATAACAGTATTATCACTGTAATCACCTTGACACTCAACAGGGCATCATGCTATAAAAAATGATTTAAGACATGTTTTTCTTGAGATTTGCATAAAAATCTAAAATACCGGTATTTTTTCTTTCAAATACCGGTAGTTTTTAATTTTTAAAATTCAAAATTGAACATATAAATTAATTTAATTAATTATTTTTATAAATACCGGTATACCGGTATTTTTTCTTTTTAAATACCGATAGTTTATAATTTTTTAAACTCAAATTTATAAATATTCGGAATAAATTAATTTTTGATTTAAAAAAATACCGGTATTAAACATAAAATTAATGTTTTATAAAAATGTTGACCCCGCAACTGGTTAATATAGGAAATAAACAATCATGAGCGGAGTGGAAATGATGCCGGGCGATGTGCCATACACACTCACTCTCACACTCGATCTGAAAATAAGTTATAAATAAAGTTGTAAACATTGCGCATCGCAGTAAGACGCAGCAATCGGTCGCGGAACAAACGTGCAGTGTTAACAACGTCATTAGAATATTAATTGTCGCATTGTCGCATATTCATTTTAGATAAAACCTTCGCACCTGTTTGTGCGCTAGTCGTGGAGGCGCGCGCAACTTGCGCTTTCGATTTTGAGCCGCACATGCGCACCACACGTAAACTCTCTGTTTTGGACAAAGTTTGAGCACATTTAAGTGCACGCCCGGCTTTAAGAAACCGCTTTCAGTCGGAATCGTGTGTGTGTTCATGTTCTCATTCTCATTCTCAACTCAGAGACATTTTAATTGAACGTTTTAACGTCTGCATCATGTGCGTAGTGGATTAGATAATGGACAGCGATCTTGTGCTGTCGGTCGTGTTGTTCGGCCTCTTCTTCTTCGGTTTGTTTTATTGTTATTACGGTGCGCAGGTGCGTATTAAGCGCGAAGAAGTCGCACGTGGCGATTCCGAACGCGCGCTTTTACACTACCATCAACGGCGGCAGATTTTTTTCGGTGAGACAGAGAAATAAACCATTAAAATAATTGCATGCGGCATAAAATGACTTTTTCTTTGTTCAGCGAGTTAAAAATAAAAGTTTATTGTTGGTTTACGTTGGAATTTCCTTTGTGCGCAGACACATTCCAAAAATTACACATTAATTACGTAACTTATCATTGTTATCACCACCAGAACAAGAAAAACACGAATTTGATATCACAAAATGTCAAAGTTAAAGGTCAATGTAATATATTTTTAAATTTTTGTTTATTATTACTTTTAGGTGGTCAGGAAATCAACACAGTGAGTCGACACGCCGAATTGCGCGGCCAGATGAACGAACTGCCCCCGGATTATAGCAAAGTCGGCGGACTACCACCAGCCTACGATCTAGGTGAGTAATTATCAATTAAAAATGCAAAGTCCAGAAAAACAACATCAATTGACTGATTGCTTCATTACGAATGCACCTTGCGGTGCAGGAAATTATATTTTTTTGTTTACGTGCCTGCGAGACGTGTTCTCAAGGTTGGAAAACAAATCATACGCTTATTGCGCATGCGCACGTTTAAAACGTGCTGAGACGACCGTAGGTCAGTAATAATAACATTCTGTATTGTTTTAGTTGTCGCTGGAAACCCTCCAGCGTATAGTGAAGCAATACAACTGGAGATAAACGCTTCATTGGCTCATTCACACCGTAGCACCACCCCTGCGACGGACGGCGCACACTCGACTGACTTAACTGGTGTGGTAGTGGTGCCACCTGCAGTTGCATCGCAACAACAGTGATCCGCTCATCGCATTCCACTGGTTTCTACTTTAGGCAAAATATCTGCGTCCAACTCGGATATTAGGCGTACTTAATTAACACACACGTTTACGTTATGACTTGAGACTGTTTTATATTTTAAATTTAAGACTATTGTTAACCTGACGCGTAGCTAGAAGAAGCCAAAAAGTTGCCACCGCCAATAATAATCTAGTCGGAGATAATTATATGAAAAATTAATGTTTGACAGATATTTTGTCGAAGACAACGACCCAATGTGATTTTATACCAAGTGACATGTTACATGTTGTTTTTAAATGCGTTCCAACGAATAATCTCATAAGTCTGATTCGCTGGCGACGAGAAAAAAACTCTTAAATTAAATCACACCAGGAAAACACAAATTGATTGTACAATATTCCTCAATCCGAACACGATTCTCTCACGGCTGTGCAATAACTGGATAATTTTAAAATGCGTATTCAGTATTTTAATAATTTTATAAGAAACACAAGTGCAATTAAATAATAAAAATCGTTAGAAAATACCTACTTAGCATTTGTTGATCTACGAGATAATTATGTGCAAACAAAAGCAGCGCGCTGACGTACATCGCGAGATTATCTTGTTTTATTGTTAGCCACTCCAAAAAATAACGAATTGTAATTTTTTCAACTTTCAGCGGCTGGGTGATAAGAACAGGTGCGCCATGCGAGACGTGACATTCTACGTTCAGCTATGGGATGAAACGGTTGCTCCTCGGTGTGTAAACAAGTACATTTTTAATAATTATTGATTAGGAACGCGTTTCGACTTCATAATCAACTGGTTACGATGTAAATTAATCACAGGTAAGTGGAATTATTTTAGTATTTTAATAAAATACGTAATAAATTTTGTGAAAAATATTTTTATAAGCGACATATTTGTTGCTAACTTTTAAAGTTGTTCAATTTGTGATAATTGAATGGATCCATACGGAGATGTAAATTTAAGTTGTGAATTTATTTCAAGGATTATTCAAATATTTTATATTCATACGTCAGATTGGCGAGAATTATGATTTGATTATTAAAATTAACAATAACAATTACGCACTGTTGTTGATATCGTTAAAAATAACAAATTTTACTTCCATGAACTAAAAATTTATAAAATTGTTAGGTATTTAGTGCAAATTGTTTTGTGATATAATTTACGTTATTTATTTATCGCTATTTTGTTAATTTGTTTCAGTTTTGCTGAGTTCTTCGGAGAATATCGCAATAAAACACATAAAAATTACAAATCCACCATTTTTTCTGATAAATAATTAAATTCCTAGGCAGTAATAAAAAAACTATAACATAAATTGATAAAAAACGCATTAGAAAGTGCAATGTCGTACTTAATGATTGAATTGTTGATTGTCGCGGCAGCGTTGATCTTGTTTGTCGTCTCGTTTTGTGGATTCCTACAAAAATGGCGGCTCTACGTGCAAGGTAAACATTGAAGTCATAAATTTGCATTACATACTCATAAACTACTAATCTTTTAGAACTGGAAGAACAAAATAATCGCAGCAACGAGAAATCCAAAGATAACAATGCTCCACCATCGTATAATCACACAATTGAAAGTAAAAATATTTATTATTTTCTTGTTAAAATGTGTTAATCATGTGTTTTCCAGTGGATTTACCACCAAAGTATGACGATGCAGTTAAAATGCCAGAATGTCCGCCATTAAGGAACGATTTTGTTTTAAATGTTCAGAACTTACAAGAAGTACAAGAAAAACGTGTAGAAATTGTATAAAATGAATAAACATGAATAAATCCTGTTGTTATTAGCAGATAAGTACGGAATTACAGAGATGTTTGGCATGTGAAGCGTGATTCACAAATCCGTAATGTCCGCGTGACTACGATTCGCGTTTACCTGTCGGCGACCACTTTTTTTTGCCGCACCGCGTGTGCTCCTGCCATTAACTCGCAGGTTTCGGCAGTGAACAAGCCGCACATCGGTCAGTCTCTTCGCGCTACCGCCAACCAACGACGAAAACAAACTTTTTATTTCAAAAAGAAAACTTTTCAAACGCCGCTCGTTAACTTGTGTCTGTGAATGTGTGCTGCGGTTGATTTTATCGCGTCGTGCAATGCAAACAAGATAATCGGGTTTGTGACGATTATTATATGAATTGTTTGCCGAACAATTACTGTAACTGTCGGTGCAATTATGCGCAAAGAATCACTTTGACTCACACAGCAAGCACTTCGGTTGTGGTGTCAATCGCCGCAGAAAAACGACAAAAAAAAGTTACCCGCGTTTATCGTGTTAATAAAAAATTAAATAAAATAGGTAATCACAAGTCACATGATGCGGCGAATACGGGCACGTAAAGCATACCGTCGTTATCACCACCCGTGTGTCGCCATTATTCACTGATAAGATGCACATCAAGTCGACGACGTGCAGTGTGCCCCAATAATATCGATTGTTGTTGCTTTATCCACATCCACAGAAAATGTGCTGCTGCAAGTGGTGTCAATAGTGAGTATTGAATTAATTAGAGGTCGACTATAACCAGATTACACCTGAATTATTTCTTGGAATTTGTGTTTATGTGCGTTGTAATTATTGTTATTGTTGTTCGGTGTGGTCTGTAGTCGTAGTAATAATTCGTGGTGCCTCCCGAGAAGGTTAACGTCGCTTTTTTCGTTCATAATCGAGAGCACGAGATACCGCATGACTGTCTTGAAGCATTAAACAGGTATTATCCGCGATTGCGCCGATGTGTACCGAGGCAAGCGAGGTTTGATACAGGTATATACAGTGTGGTTCATTGCGTGTTTACCTCGTCCGTTTGTTGTACGCGTGTGTATGCGATGAACACGACTGCGCTGTAGTTTAAGTAGCCTTCACTCAGCAAGGTTGCTCTCACTTCCGATCGACGAGTACGACTAGTGCGATTAATGGATTGTACTGCTTATAAAACACTACAAATATTAAAAATTCAGAGAATTTAAACCTTAGATCTTAACTAGGGATGTGTAATTCCGGTATACCGGTATTTTTTATCTTCAAATATTAATATTTTACGAATTATATGGATAAAAATGAAATTATACCTGATTTTTTAAATTTTATTAAATACGGCATCGCTCGCGAATATCTAAAATAATGAAGTTGCTTCCGTACGCGTCTGTAGTCACAGAAGAAGTAACAGTGAAGTAGAATGGCGGGAAGTTTAAAATGGCTGAAAGTATAGTCTATGGAAGTATAGTGTACAGTCTCCATAGTGACGTAGCTGTCGGTAATACAGTGTGATAATACAGTGTGATGGTACTATAGTACTTAGGTTTGAGCTTCATTGCTGGAATGCTAGATGGCGTTAAAGTAGTCAAATAGCCAGATGCAGAGGTATTATTGGCTAAACTATTTCTTTATTTTATTTAAAAAATAATTCTTTTTTATTAAATAAAAAGTAGCCTATAACCATTCGGGGACCACTAAGAATATGTGTACAAATTTTCATGATGATCGGTTAAGTAGTTTTTGCGTGAAAGTGTAACAAACATCAGGACATTCGCATTTATAATATTAGTAGGGATTCAGAGAATTTAAACCTTAGATCTATACTAGGGATGTGTAATTCCGGTATACCGGTATTTTTTTATCTTCGAATATTAATATTTTACGATTTATACCGAAAAAAATGAAATTATACCTGATTTTTTTTAAATTTAACTCAAAATTTACGTTTACTAACACTAATAATTTTTTTTCTTTGTTTCTGTAGTTATTTAGAATCAATTTATTGGCACTGCATCGAAAAACACTTCTGTTTTGACGAAAACATCGCCCTCTACGAAGATGAAGAAGCAGCGAAAGCAAGTGATACCTCATCGGAAACAAACGTCCAAGCAACTTCCGTCAGCAATAACAACATCTACGACAACATGGCGTTCTATGATAACGTCGCCATGATTGCCAACCGTTCTATTTTTATTATTGAACCGAAAGACAATCGTGTAGCTTCACCTACGAACTATAAATCCACACAACGCCCTAAATCCGTACATGTAGACCACTCTTTACACCAGGAGATATTCTTTGATAACGATGCAAAAGTTATCACTGAACAACCCAAATTTAGCATTGCTGGATCCAACTCTAGCTTGGACTTAAGTAAATCTGAACCTGACTTAACACCACCAACATACGCGCAGACCAAAGCAAAACGTGAAGCGGAAACATTCAAAAATATCCCGCTTATTACCAACACCAACACTACTTCCTTATCGTCTCTGGCGACTATAAGTGAAGACCATGAGGCTAACCCACACTTACTAAGCATTCCTCACTCTGCAACCTCCACAGGTTTGGTGAAGATGCGGAAAAAGTCTTTACACGAACGCCGTGTATCAAAATCTCTTACTTTGGATATTGATACAAAGAGACAGGAGGTTCCAATTATCAGACAATCAAGTTTCCCTAAATTTTATATTGATACTCCGGAAGCCAATCAGAATACTTCTAGCATAGCTCCAGCTGCGATCCAAGCTCTAGAGACACCTGTTGTAGCAAATAATTTCAAATTCGATCTGCAGACTGTGGTGCAGTTAGAGAACGAGCGACAGGAGATGGAGATTCAGAAGATAAACACGTTGAAAAGGTCGGTTACCAGCGTGAAGGATAATAGAAGAATACAGCAGATTAGGGACAAGTTAAAACCTATCAAGTTGCTTAGAAATGCGTCGATGCAGAGCCTGTATTCGACCAATGGATGATTGAAAATTTGTAAATTGTAAAATGTTAAATGTATAAACTCCATAGGTATATTATATTATGTAGGTGCTTAGATTTAAGGCAGTTTTATAAAAACTAGATATTGTTTATAACTCTTGTAATATATTATGTTGATTATTGTTGTATCTGTATTGAATTATTAATATATTATAACTGAACTACGATTTTTTCTTTTGGAAAACTTAGAATGAAAGCGAATTTTCCGTAGATTCAGAATTTTCAATCTGCTCCTCTCTATCTCTTTTAGTTTACGAGATATTTGCTTTTATTTTTCCGATTTTAGAATTTTTTTTCGTTGCACTCATCAATCAATCACTTTCAGTTTAAAAAATTACCAAAACTATAAATGCAATCGCATTTTACAAGACAAGAAACATCGCAGAAATCACAGCAATGACACTGCATCAATTAAATGCTTTTACGTAATTAAATTGAGTACATTATCAGGAAGAAAAGGTTTTAATCCAAACGTGCAATCTCGTTCAGATATCGGCCAAGTATTTCACATTTTCGCACAATAATTACTCATTTCAAATGATAAATGATGACATTTCTGCAAAACGCGTAATAATCCTTTAAAGATTAAAGTCTTAAAATCAATCAAACGGTCTAGAATATCACAAAACGGGAATTACATCTGCTGTAATTATTTCGAATCTTAGAAATCACATTTTAAGAATCAGAAACTTAAATCAGATTTAAATGAAATTTGCTGCATACGAGTATGTGAAGTGCCTTAAATTATTTAATTCCACAAATGCGTTTAATTTCCTAGAAATTGAGTACTCAACTAATTAATTAATCAAAAGTAATTATAAGTTTCAAAGAACGATATTGTTCTAAATGCGGCTTATCTTAATCCGCTTTTTCCTCATTTTTATTGATATCGCTTTAATAGCCAATTTCGGGATTAGCATGCACTCGAAATTCCAAAAAATCATATAAAAGGAGATGCTTTTGTCAGTCAAAATCACAGCTCCTCTGTACTTCAATACATTCAATTACCAACATCGATCAAACGATTATCATGAACGGTAAGCAAACCATTCTTTGAATATTTCAATATTTAATAACTAATGCATCTTTTAATCAATCCTCAGTATTGCTGAAAATTGCCGCTGCCTGCCTGATTGTGCAGGTGGCTTTTGCTGCTGAAAGCCCTCTATCTGACCCTCGTTGCGATGAAGTCTGCCCTGAAACCTTCCCCATTGAGGATAATATCCTTTTGCCTTATCCAGGCGATTGTTCAAAATTCTGTCAATGTGCAAATAATGGAAACATGCGCATGGATTGCCCACCTGGTCTTTATTTCAACCCCTTGTTGGATGTTTGCGACCATCCCTACAATGTTCCTGATTGCGATGACTCTTCTGAACCATCTAAACCAACTGATCCATCGGAACCAACTGACCCAACAGATCCATCTAAACCAACTGAACCAACTGACCCATCTGAACCAACTGACCCAACAATTCCCTCCGGTTGTGAAGGTACCACTTGCGGTAAGGATGAATGCTTCGACTTCGCCAACAAGAACGAATGTCAAGGTTATTGCAATTGCAATAATGGTGTAATCACCTCCAAGTGGTGCGCCGATGGCTTGGAATTCAACCCAATCACTGAACTCTGCGACTTGCCCGAAAACGTCAACTGTAACAATGGTTGCTCACATGTGGACTGTGGAGAACATGAATGTTTCAAGGTACCCAACACCCTTGACTGTGAAGCCTTCTGCGACTGTGACCACGGCAACCTGACCGTTGGACACTGCTCTCCGGGTCTCCACTTCAACCCTGAGACCCAGACATGCGACTGGCCCGAAAACGCGCATTGCGAAGTTACTCCTACTCCCTCTGTCTCTCCCAGCACACCAGAAGCTACCACTACTTCAACTGAAGCTCCTACTACACCAAGTGAAGCCCCTACTACACCAAGTGAAACTCCTAGCCCCAGCCCTACACCAAGTGAAACGCCCACTCCTAAACCCACTACAACAACTAAGAAACCAAGCAACTGCGATGATCTTTGCCCTCATGTCTTCCCCATTGAAGAGAACAACCACATCTTCCCTGGAGATTGTACCAAATTCTGTCACTGCGCCAATGATGGAAACCATCTTAAAGACTGCCCACCTGGTCTTCACTTCAACCAGGAGTTGGAAGTCTGCGATTGGCCCTATGCTGCCAACTGCGTTGAGACCGAGTAACCGCGCTAATAACTAGAGCAATAATTGGCATGTTTAATTGATTGTAATAACCACAGCTTAAATTTTAATAAAGAACGAACAAACATCAATTATTTCTAACTTGTTTATCATCCGTCAATGCAAAACAATTTCCCACTTAACTTAACTCTAATCAATCATATTACTTGCTTATCTTTACATTTTTAATTGCAATTGAAACAAAAACAAAACAATTGACAACTACTTACTTTATGGAATGATTTTAGACAGTGCAAATCATGAAAACAATTGTCTTCTATTTATACTGCTAAATTTAATTTATCATCTGATTTTTTTCCACAGAATAATCCGATATAGTTTTGTAATGTTATCAGTTAAATCTTGGATTAGATGAGATTTCCTTTAGTTTATCATTCTAAGAATTGTGACTTGTACCTTCAAGTAAAACATAACTTTGTAACAAATGCTAAGACAAAAAAGTCTCGTATTGCTTTCATTTTCAGCAATTTATAAAAAAGTTTCTTGTTTTTTTGTTAAAACCATGTAAAATAACGGGGCAAATAAAATTTAGTAATAAAACTAACATAATTAGGAGTTAATCCGTCCAAAAGGGTAGTCTTGATATCAAATCGCACTAAACTCCTGGATTATCCCGAACTGATAACATTCCAATCAATATCCAAACGAATTGATTTAGTTTAGTATAAATAGAAGTCGATAGTTTGCAGCATTCATTCTGTAGTAAGTGTTCTTCAAGTTTTTACTTCAAAAATCATCATGAAAGGTATTTATAAACTGTTTTAATAAAATTTATAAAAAATTATTATAATTGCTGTTTGTTTGAATCAGTTTTCATGCAAATTGCTGTTGTTTGCGTGCTCATGCAGCTGGCATTTGCTGCCAAAGGACCAGTGGCTGAACCAGTGTGCGACGAGGTATGTCCCGACACATTCCCGATTGAAGATAACCTGCACCTGCCCTACACTGGCGATTGTAGCAAATTCTGCCACTGTGCCAATGATGGTAACTGGATGAAGGTGTGCCCTGGTCGCCTGCACTTCAACCCTAAACTGCAGGTGTGCGACTGGCCGCATGACGCAGGTTGCGAGGCAACTTCAGAAGAACCCTCTTCCCCTGAACCCACCCAGAAACCTACGGCTACCCCAACTGATGCTCCCAGTGATAATCCCTGTGATGAAGCATGCCCTAATGTTTTCCCTATCACCCACAATAATCACCTGCCTTACCCTGGCGACTGTTCCAAATTCTGCCACTGTGCCAACGATGGTAACCACATTAAAGAATGCCCAGATAATCTTCACTTCAACCCTGTTCTTGAAGTATGCGATTGGCCACATTCTGCTGGTTGTGACGCAAGTCAATCAACCAGCAGTGTCCCACCTACTTCTGCACCTCCTGTAGGATGTGACCATGTCACCTGTGGTATTCACGACTGCTTCCAAGCTCCGAGCACCACCGACTGCCAGGCTTATTGTGATTGTGACCACGGTGAAATTATCGGTAAAGAATGTTCCGAGGGTTTACACTTCAACCCGGTCACAGAAGATTGCGACTTCCCCACCAATGCTAACTGTGAACTCCCCATTCCGCCCAATGGTTGTGAACACGTCAAGTGTGAAGCCCATGACTGTTTCAAGACCGAGAACACCATTGACTGCAACCTGTACTGCGACTGCGACCATGGTAACCTGACCATTGTAAACTGCTCTGCTGGGCTACACTTCAACCCAGAGAGCAAAGCGTGTGACTTCCCCTGGAACGCCAAGTGTGAAGTGGTTGAACCTAACCCTGGTACTGACCCCACCCCACCTTCTGCTCCGTCCCAGCTTTGTGATAGCATCTGCCCCGATGTTTGGCCCGTAGTGGAGAACAACCACCTCTTCCCAGGAGATTGTACCAAGTTCTGTCATTGCGCTAATGATGGAAACTGGTTGAAGGATTGCCCAGAAGGTCTTCACTTCAACGCTGAACTGCAAGTGTGTGATTGGCCACACAGTGCAGGTTGTCAGGCGTAAATTTTGAAAATTACATGTGCATATTGTTTAAAATGATAAAATAAAATTTAAAAATATTCTAGCGTATAATTTGCTTAAGTTGGCAGCCCGGGGTGCACGACCTACTTTAGTTTATTAGGGTAAAGCCCCGTGTAGCCCTTAAATCGATTTCCAACCTTCCAAGCAAACAAACAGCTATTGCGTGCGTTTGCAGAGACCAGTCATACTCGTAGTCTCGAGCATCTCTTACTAGCAACTTTCCCTCCATTATGAGCGCACATTAGAGGTGATTATGCAATAATTCTCCATTACTCTATTCGTTTTCTATTCTAGTCGCGCGTTGACGGGTGGACTTTGCCAGTAGAATAGTGCACGACGAACATTCAAACGCGCCGCGCGCAGTTTTGCGCGTTCCTCGCTACCTCGAGTAACCTACAAACTAAAATCGAAAATGTGCCATTGCCAGAGACACTGGACGCCAGCCCGCAATCGCATCTAGCCACATCAAGCACAAAAGGGCATACAATTCCCGCTGTCGTCATTGTCGGGTTACGCGCTTGCAAGATTCGTCCAAGTTACGCACAATTCAGCAAGATGGTTGACACCACACAGTCTTCACAAGCCTCAACCAACAATATCAAGATTCCCTATGATATCAAATGGGTTGTACCAGCAATGCGACATCCAACTCGCCTCTGGCATTTCGCCAGTGCAATCACGCTCTCCCTGGTCGGAATATTTAGCAAAATAGTCATAAGTATTGCAAGCATAATGATCACATCAATATAAATCAAGATAACCACAATTGTTTCTGTTTTAGAGTATTTCAGCAGTGCCAAAGTGTATAATAGAAAGAATATTCTCAAAGCAATTGATGAGAGACCTGTGGATGTTCCACTTATCACCGTATCCAATCATCATTCATGTTTTGATGACCCAGGTATATGGGGTAAGTATTATTTATGTTATTTGTGCAACATAAATAGTAACCAATGATTTGCAGGCACATTAAACTGGAGAAATGTATTAAGACCACACAAAATGCGATGGAGTTTAGCAGCACATGATATTTGCTTTACAAATTCCACACATTCACAGTTCTTCATGTGGGGGCAGTGCATTCCAGTGGTAAGGGGCGCAGGTGTCTTCCAACCGGCGGTTGATCTCTGTGTGGATTTGTTACGAAGAGGTCACTGGGTACATGTGTTTCCCGAAGGTAAAATTAGAATGTTTTTCATTTCGATGGCATCTGTAAAATGGTGTGTTTATTATTCTAGGTAAAGTAAACATGACGAAAGAAAACCTGCGATTGAAATGGGGCGTTGGCCGCATGATTTACGAAAGTCCTGTTACACCAATCATTGTACCAATTTGGCATATTGGTATGGATGATCTGTTGCCCAATGAACCACCGTATTACTTCCGTTTAGGGAAACAGATCACATTCAACTACGGTAAACCGCTTGATCTCGGCGATGTCGTGAAGCGACTTCGTGCACGCAATGCCTCCGATGAAGAGGCGCGCAAGGAAATCACCGACATCATCCAGCACGAGCTGATGAAGCTCAAGGCAGAAACAGAAGGTTTGCATAATGAATACTTTAAGATCAAGTCGTTATAGTCGGCACCCAGCTTTGCATTTTGCATTCGAGAATTGGTGCTGTGATACCGAACAGGAACGTTTTCATCTTCCACCCAAGAAACGTTGGTTTAACCGTTTAAATCAGAGCCACATTTTCGTGGTTGTACTGTCTGATTTAGGCCGTTATACTTTTCATGTATTCAAAATGAAATCTAGTTAGTTATGCGACTTGCTACCTCACAATAGTCATTTGAATAAGTAGCGATATATCATTCATTTATGCGTGCGCGTTCGTTGAGTTATCCGCTCGGTAGATATTAGCAAATTATTTGTAAATAGAGTGCGGACAAAGTCCAATGTTTATTTAAACATTATGCACAATCATCACACACTATCATGAGCATGAATTATTCACCAAATACAACTTCAATTCTTGCCTAAAATTGTTACAAAGGGACCAAAGCCATCAAAAATTTAGTTAACATTATTCATTCATCATGAATGGAGGCACTTGCTTGCCTTTATCACACCAAATTATCACCGGAAAGTTTAGATTTTATACACGATCACAACTTTTATTGTAGTGATTCTTTCGCCTTTTGTTTTTTGTTTACTCTTTTGTTGATTATTTTATAATAAAATTAGTACAATTTAGTGGCGAGCTGAAGCACCGTGAATAATTATTATCTCCTCTTGTAGGGGGAGGCGAGCGGGACAGGAAAAAAGCGTGAAAACCCAAACAATTCCCTCACTAAACGTTTTCTTACGAACAAGTTCGTTATGCACGCGAAGAGGACGAATTATATTGCGTTTATTGATCTAACATCAATAACTGTGATGATGAGTTCGAGGATTTAGTCAAATTCGTAGTGAAATAAACTGTAGAATGTTGTTAATAGTGAATTTGTATTGATGGAAACTTTGCATTTGCTGTGCCGAGTGTTGTAACGTCTCTGTGGTCACTTGAATACTTGTTGGTTTTGCTAATTTGTTGTATAATTGTTAGCTTTAATTATTTATTCTTCCATTATATATGATATTCAATGATAAACTGATGAAAGTATGCATAAAGTAGTGTGAAAAATCAATAAAATGCAGTTTGTTATTTGTTTTTAACTAATTTGAGCATAAAGATACGAAATCTATAGTTTTGTGTATATTGGGTTGCCTATGTTAAACCTCTAGAATTGAATTTAATTCGAATCGTGTATTTAATCAAATACAACAACTTTTATGATAAAAACGTAAACAGTATTATCACCGTGGCATATTTATATATTAAAATAGACTTTGAATTAATCCGTGCGCAGCAGAGAGTTTTGAAAAGGCCAAACGCGGAAACAAATAAAGTATCCGCATTTACTACCATGTTTTACCTGCGGTTAAAGGCACCTGTTGGCCAAAGCCGCGATTCGCTCTTGTTGCGCGAAGAGAGCGGGCATTCGAGTCGAGAAAGACTCGGACGAACGAACGCCTCATTCCACGCTGCGACTACCTGTTGAACCGTCGTGAGGTGAGTGAAGCAGCGCGCGGTCTCTTATCTCGCGTTCAGTTTTGTTATTCTGTTCCGCGCGACGGCTTTGTTTACACGACACATTGTTGTAAACTGCAAAGATACTCAATTGTGTATTGTTAGTGCGTGCAATTTTTTGGTGAGTGTTAAATGTGCTTTACAAGTGGATTACCAACCTACAGAAGAAAAGTTTCAGGTAACTAGAAACTAATTTCTATTAATATTCTTCATAAACAGCAATACGAATAAAATATTGCGCTTTTGTTTATTCGTTGGGTGATTAAATGATGTGCTCATCTTCCTTTTGAAAAACTCCCAAAATTGTTGTTTGGACTTTTCTGTAGCGCGTAATTGGATAATAATAGTGCAGGTTGAAGAGGCGTCTATTAGCGGCCGAGAAGATTTCGGGACGCAAAGCCAGCATTCCATTTTAAATCAATTCGATCGAGTCGAGAGGATTAACAAGTCGCTTTTTCGTCCTTGCCTATTAGAGTCGGTTTGGAGTGGCTCGTTAGATTTAGTATTCTGTCTCCGGAACGGTTGGGCCTGCTAAGCAATAAAAAACGTCCGAAATAAGAAAAGATTTACTTACAGAAGTCCGGTCGGGCAGCGAGAAGGCGTCGTCGGCGTCGTCATTAGCATTAAAATCCATTAAAATGCTATTAATCAGTTATTCGACTCCCAACGACAATCGGCTTTATAAAATATGCTGAGCTTTTTAAGATTCTAGCCGTTGAAAAGTTCGTTAAACTAAAACAATTGACAGTTATACTGCTGCCAACTGCAAATAAATTTATTTTTGTAGGCAAAGTTGCCTACAGGCAGTCAAAATTGTCTGATAATTAATTTAAATGATAGATTTTTATCGTTTTTATTTAATATTGTTTATTTTTATTCGTTTCTAGTTTTGAAAATTAATTAAATTAGAAATATATTTTAAATTCCTGCAGTTGTCACTCTGAATCCTGGAATGTCCCCCAAGCGGTGGCGTTTGTAACTACATTGTTTGAAACAAAGAAGACGTCCGGTTATCGCCATTTTTTCACTTTTGTAGTGTCGACGTTGAAGTGCGGTTTAGTTTTTGGCGATTGCAGATTTAGGCGTTGAAAGCAAGTATTTCATCATATTATTATTATCCTGGGGTTAACTTAACATCGTTTACTTACTTACTGGGGTTGCGCAACTGACTTTGACCGGTAAATCGAGATTATTTGAAGAAACCCGATACCACACGTGTTTTGTATGCGTCTCGCGTACACCTCGTACGACATTTTACATATTTCAAGTTGCCTCATCGCGCATGCTACGTACAAATTTGATTCATGCCATTGCACACCGAATACATGCGACGCTCAAGAAATATTAATTTGAAAGCGCTGCATTCCGCCACGAACCAAATTCAGCTCGGTTTTGGTTTCGCTTGATTGCAACATTTCAATGAAACACTAACGGTGTTTAATGAAAGATTTCCTCGGAGTAATTGCTATAGTTAATCTAATTTGCTCACACAATGCGCACACGCAAACATCTGCCGAGTTATAATTCAATAATTCAATTATGCTTTCCACGTTTATTTATGTTGCGCACATCCACATGCTTATCGGTATCGGCCGGTGATGCATGGCATCTCTGCGCAGCATCAATGTTTTGCATGAAAGCGCGATGCGAGCTCGCCGATTATTCAATTTACCGTTGATCGCCGCATGACATTTTAATAGAAAGACAGCCATCTTGTTAAATGTGTAACGATTTCCACGCACATGCGCGGCGCGACTAATTATCTATTGTATTGAATAGAAGAACACAAGTTAGCACTCCTAGAAAATTAACATTAATCACTTTGTGGGTGTCGAAGGAAGTAGGCTACTTGCAGGAAAAGTCGGTAATAATTCCAAGTGAAAATATTTGTTAAGTCCACACACGTCGTCGTGCCTCGGGCCGTTTAGATACATGTTCGATACTGAAAACTTGAATACTTATATCCTGGATGCTAAGGATGCCATCGAGTTTGATTTATGCGCGGGCAGCAACCCAACGCGCAGTTTACCGTTGTTTGAAAACCTCCACCGGCTGAAAACGCAAGTGCAGCTGACCTGCCAAGCGTGATGAGCCCACTCGCGAATAATAAATAATTAAACTAGAATCTCGGGCTCTGGCTGTGTTCAAACCGCGAGCAGCTATCGTTCCATCATTGTGGAAAATATAACTCGGCGAAAACAATGCTCGCGCCACGCTCGATATGCAAAACTGAAATGTACGCGCAGCGACATCACGACGAAGCGAACCGTGGCTGCTCAGGTGTTGAGGATCGTTTCCTCATGGTCCGTTTATTCAACGAATGGATTTGCATAACGGAAAAATCCAATGTGCAACACAACAATTCGAAGACGTTTGTTAAACGATGAGAACCTGTACGATTCTCGGCTGCTAAATGTTCGTTTCCGGTTGCGCGGAGATATTTCGACACTACATGCACATTTCATGCTAGATTTTTATCTGGATCATGGTTTTAAGCAGGTTTAATTAGGCTACAAGTAGTTTTGTTTGAATTTTAAGTTCAACACCGATATTTTTTAAAATACAAGTACCGGTATTTCAGATTATTTATTTTTTTGATCTTTGACTTGTTGCGAAATAAGTCTTTGCATTATTTTCTTTCGAAATTCTGACATTTAAGCCATTTGCACCCACTAGTCATGCATAATTAAATTCAAGCTTAGTTAAAGTGAGCAGTGTGCGCGTTGCACAATCTATTTGAATAATCCTTGAAGCGTTTTAAGGATTCTGCATCCTCTCATGCGATCCTTCTAATTTCACGAATTCTCTCCAAGTTGCACACATCCTTCCCGCCATTCTCTGGAATTGCCGTAGGAATTAGACGTAATTTAACTAGCCGAGTCTAGAACACTGGTCCGGGCTTTAACTAACGAGCTTCGATCTTAATTAAACAGATTGAACTGCTTGAAAGTTCAACTATTGTGTCTGCATCGTGTGAAACGCTCATTTTAATTTAATTATCATTTAATAACACGCATTATGCGATTGGGTAATGTGTCTTTATAGCACACAATAATTACAACTTTTTAAAATTTAATAATCGCGTTATAAAATCATTTTATGGGCAAATTATAATAACAAACAACACCGAAAAAAATTGAGCGTGTTTTCGTTGGTACGAAATAATTAATGTCTTAATCTAAGCGAATATCTAAGAATCGTAAATATTTATAATCGTATTTTATGGCACAATCGACGTTGGTTCGTGCAATCGATCAAAAAGTCAATTAAGCATCGAGCGCGTATACACTTCTCATACCTTGGAGGAGTTATCTCGTTCTTTATGACGAGGCAATTAAATTGTAAATTCGGGACAGCGAAACTATTTCCATCTTAGAGTGGAGCGATTAATTAAATATCAAACGCGTCAACATTTTTATTAGACTAATACACGTTAATTTGACGTGTTTATTTATTCATTTAGAAACTTTAGCCAAGAAAACATTGTTTTCTCTTTAATTTCCTCTCGTGTTGCACCTGTTTTCGATAGAAAATATTTATTCCTCCAGGTGTGGAGCACACAAATGGTCTAGTCAAGCATGACGCGGCTGCGCATGGCGACAAAACCTTTTTTCAGTCGTGATTTGGTTTTGTAGAGTTAATTCGTTGTTGTTACACATTGTGACTTGGAAAATCGGTTGCGCACGACCAATTTCCGATTCGATTTGGAGCTGCAGAAGCTGCAGTCAGTCGGAAACCATGTTAAACGACTGAAAAAATGTTGATGAATCGGTTTTTTTTGTAGAATTTTTGTATCATTATCGGCGCGTATTCAAATCTCGCGCGAATCTTGTTCGCTTTCGCATATAATTTATTTAATTATGTCTGCACACGCAGTTCAGTAATCGACTTGCATAAATCGTTTCGTTTTTCCATGCGATTAAGCACCGCAACGCAGTCGATTTAATTAAATTCCGCGCGGTGATGATTTATCAACTTCGACGCAAATTGGAGGTAAATAAATAAAATTAAACTAACAAATATTTCAGCTAAATATATTTGAATTTGTTCTTAAAATGTCAGAGTAAATTGTGGAATGTGGCTGAGACAGGTACAAATAGAGGAAAAACTAGCGCTTGTCGCCTAATTAATTACGATATCGCGAATTCAAAGCAGTCGCCATGGCAACGTCTCACGCACGACTAATCTCGCGCATTAATCTGGATTTACTGCTCGCGCGCGCGCACTCACACTTTTTGTTGTTGCCTCAGTTATGTTTTTATTTCGTTTGCATCTTTGCAAGGCGTTGCAAACGGTGCGCAATCGTGGCTTTCACTTCACAAGTGTGTATATTTATTATTATGATTGGATTCGGTCGAAAGTCGTGTGCCGAATCCATCGATAATTGTAATGGCGGACGCTGGGCGACCTTCGTTACATATCAAGCGAGAACAAAAAGAGTTAAGGGGATATATTCATTATTCGCGTGTTGCCTGGCGATTATATGCAGACGAGATGAAACAAAAAACGCAAAATAATTACGAGTAGGAAACTCGACGTGTAACAACCTCTCGACGGCCGACCAAGCCGAGATCTCCGACGATGGGAAACTGTGAGAACAGCCATGGCGAATCGCCGTGCACGGTATGAGTACTGAGTACGTCTAATTTTGACGTAATGGCCGTGTCCGAAATTAACGCAAACTTCTCGAGCATCTTTTATCGTTTTGTGCTACCATTAAGACGTGCCCGTCTCTTTGAAATACGAGAATATATATATGGGAATGTTGGGTTTTGTCAAGTGTGTGTGGTGCTATTATTAAATGATAATCTGTGTTCACACGCGTGCGCGCACAGCTTAACTCATTTGCTGATGCGTTCGTATTGGCAGCTTACGAGCGTCTCATTAGCGTGCGCGATAATGAATATTTTTAGTCGATTTGTGCGCCCGGCAGGCATCAGAAATTACGCACATTACGCACACACAGGTTTTATTATGACTTGCTCGAAGCAGCTACTCATTTTTGTCGGCGACTTGCTTTGACTTTTTCGCTCGCGCATGTCTTCTCTTAACAGATAACAAACGGAAGAAGGCCACGCAATGAAAACCGGTTTTTTTCTCTCCTTCGCCTTGCATTTCATTTTATCTCCCGGCCGCGGCGGCAATAAAATGTTTTACGGTTGTGTCCGCTTCTTGCGCTGGGAAAAAATTTCAGGTGATGCAGCTTACTGTCAACAACCTGTTGGAGCTGAAGGCGATATATGTTTCTACAATTCACGTCGATGACTCTCAAATCGAGTTTTGTTTAAAGTGGAGACTTTTTGAAATAAATTTAATTTTCAAACATTTTCCGCCTAACGAACAATTTATCGCATTCATATTCTCAAGTAGAAGAGGCGTGAATTGCAGGAGAAGCCACGATCGTTATTTTATTGCGGCGTTAGTTATATTGTGTGGCGATTCAATAACTCGCCAAGTAATCTCCGATCGGAGAGAGAGAATGCGAGACCATTGAAAAAAATTCCTCGCCCAGGCACTGGCACAAAATCGATGAGTCACCGTCGGTGATGACTCTTTGCTTCGAGAGCGTCTTTTCACCTGCACATGCACTGTTTCTCATTAGTGTTGCAATAATTCGCAGCGATTAAAACGAAATTTCGCGCGGAATTCATTTCAGTTGTTTTGTTTTGCGACGGATTAAGTCGCTGTAATAAATTAGGCAAATCCCCGGGAATGAGTAGCGCTAGAGTGACATTGTATAACGACGGACCCTCGGGGATTATCACCGAGGCAGAAGAGATAAAGGAGATAAAAGTGTCAAGTTCGCAAGGTTTGGAACATCGGTGACCCCTCGACGCGAACAGCAAAAAATAAAATCGAAGCTAATTTAACGCTTAAATTAAGCGAGGTTATGTTAGGTTATGGCCGTCTTAAGTTACGCAATCATAACTCGTCTTTTACGAGGTATTAAATGCTCGCGAAAAAGTATCAGGTTGCAAACATGGCGGCGCTGGCGACGCGACGGATTTATTTTCCGTGGTTTTTAAAATTATTTGTTGCATGTCGCGCCAGTAGGCACGGAATTTGACGATTAAGCAATCTCACATTTTTTGACCGTGTACGCATTGTATATGCAAATACGCACAGGTGATAAGCGAAAAGAAACGCAGGGCTTTTTTTGTACGGCGCTGGGGCGTTTGGCAGACATCAATTTCCCCAATTTAGAAAAAGCACCGATCGGATCAGTCTGAACCTGCGATAATAAATCAACGCAGGGGGAGCCAGAGGCAATTTACACTCTGAAAAACTGATAAGACAATCTATTTTTTTTTGTATAAAAAAATTCAGTTGCATTATGCTTACTTACCTGGTGATATAAGTTTGTATTTCTGTTTGATTAAGCAGCAACACAGCATTTTCAGCGTGACGAATGCGCGGCTTGAAAATGAATGCCACTTTTTCGCCGACACATTAATCATCCTGACATACCGGTATGGACGCTACAAAGCGCTACAAGAGGCAACAATGCGCCTAACGCAATTAATTTAATTAACTGAACGCGTATGACTACCACCACACTCTGGCCAACTATATAGTAAAGTAGACAGTAATTTTTATTTGTGCATATTTTGATGTTGGCGCTCACAATATGTGTATCATGTTGAGGTTGCGCTCTTCCAGTGAGCTTGAAAAGTAAGAGCAGAGTGAAGCTGCGCGATGTATGTCTTGAATTGTGTTTCTTCTTCGGCGCGGAGGGCTCAACGAACTCGCGAGATCCGACCGCGGCACTGATCTGCAGCTCATGTACGCTGTAAACTTCCAACAGCATTCACTAACAACTAAAACTTTGTTGAAAACTAAATTCGGTTTTCCAGCAAAACTCAAAAAGCAAAAGCCAAAAAAAACGCACAACTAATTTCTATTATCCATAAAGGAAGTTCAAGAGTTGCTGCTGCGTCTCGCGGGATACTCTGCGCCATTCCGCAACGTACGTGCTAAAATAATTAATTACTTTTTTATTCGCTGCCATGCAGAAAAACACCTTGTTCCAGTATTTTTATTTTCGCTCTTTGCCGTAAAAGCGCATTTAATTGCTTGAGGGATTCCAGGTTTCCATAGATGACGAAGACGAGTTTTTAATGAGTGAAATTTCGAATCTTGATATGTGAAATCAATTGCAATCTGCAAGATTCGCTGCTCTTATCATCCTAACAGTGTAATTACAATGTAGACAATGCCCACCCACCTATGCGAAACGAAATTGCATCTTCGCGTGTGCGTCTGCTGGAATTTCCGCAGGAGGATGCACAATGGCGCGCGCGCTTGCTCTCCGGCTGCCACGAGATAAAGTTATTTATTCGCGACGGCGGAATGGTAATGCGGATTTAGATTTCGCGTTCGGCGCAGACAATGCCCGCTAATAGTCGCGTGTGCGTCGCGCTGAATTAGCATACGAATGACAGCCGCGATGAGATTTATATTTTACGCCTCGTAAATCCCGAAAGTCGCAAATAACCGTCAAAGATTCGTGGAAATTCCATGCAATTGTGTAACTCTAGATGATTGCTTCAAAGAAAACAAGTGTGCGTATGATGTAAATAAAAATGTTTGATTTATTCCGCAATTACGTCGAGTTTAAGATAAAAACTCGCCGTCGACGGACGGTCGGCCAGCCGGTCCGAAATTAATGCGCCGATCCGAGTCGAGTGTCGCTCGTAATTCATTTTTCTTCTTCTCTCTGCTAAGCATCCTGCTTAACCTCACTGCCCTGTCCTGTTTTTGCGCGAATCCCACGCTGCCGGTGATTGCTGATGAAGAGTTATTAGGGCTCGGTTGCGCTTCATTTAGAAGACAAACAAAAAGCTTCCGCGGGGAGAATTTTCTGGGTCGGCAAAGTGAATTCTACCTGCTTACGGAACAAAAAAAGTAGTAGTCGTGGGCTTAGAGTTAGAGGAGCAATAAATTAACATAATTAAATTTACTTCTTGGCTACTGTGAGTTGAATAACCACGAAATAATCTCGCAGCTTTTGTCATATGTCATTTGACGATTTGTCACACTATTATTAACAATTTTTCACTGTTTTGTTTGCAGTGTCTGTGTGTGCAGTGTGCCGTTTGGATTATTCCTTGCGTTTTTCCTGCCAACTGTGGGATTATATTAACGATGCCAGCCCGCTTCGTTCGTTAGCGTTCCGTCACGCCAGAGCACAAGAAAAAGGTAAGCTTATTTCGCCCCATCATCTGACATGCAATTTGCGCATTTTTACCAACTCCGGGATTGGTTGGGTGTATTTATTGTCGCATTAGGTTAGTTAATTCGAATTCGTTCCCGAGTCGCTGGTGGCAGCAAACACCAACTGTGCCGGGGTGCAAAGCTAATGCCGGCTAATGTGTGTTATTATTTTCGCATTTTCCGACTACAATGAACCTTCTCAGCGGGTTGAGTTAAATGGGTTTTAATATAAACATAAATGCAGTTGATGTGATTTTGCAAACAAAGTTTTCCACTAAGAATATTGATGATTTTCTCGTGGGGCAATAAAATAAATCCGCGTAATCCAAGACACTCAGATTTCAGACACTTTAACTTCTTTCGGCTGCAGGGAGCACCTTTAAGTTGTCATCGGTTTAAGTTTCCACCGTCAACCCTCGTGGAAGAGATAAAACCGCACATAAGTTTCTGGTATCAAGATAAAAGAAAGAAAATCCTTGGAAATTGTGCTCATATCAAGACTAAGCACGTTTTATTTTTCGGTGATTCCTACCGGGACTAGCGGGATGCTTGACTTAAATTTCCATATTTTTTCATAAAACTCGATCGTTTTTCGCTGCGTCATATCGATTTTCTCAGATAAGACTTGGTCTTTGTTTCTGTTTGAAATACTGCAAATTGCGGCAGTCATTGCGTATTCTGCACGCAGGAAAATTGCGTCGCATAGCTTAGGGGGAGGCTGGAGAGATGCAAAGTGATCCGGTGTTATAATCTAAAACGTTTGCGACGATAAAGCAGCAAAAAATACTCGGGCTAAAGTTTGTCCTCGTTTCGGGAAACTTTGCCGGGAAACCTGGCCGGAAGCGAGTTTAAAAAAGTAATCTGTCATCAGGAGGGTGCGGGGATCATCTGGAAGATATGTCTGCGTCGAAAAAGAGCGAAATTCAGGATTTTTCCGCGTTTAAACTTTGAATGACACTATGAAGACATAACTCAGCAGGCAGCAGGCACTTACGACACTCTCGGTGCGGTTTTGATGGCGCTCGTAAATCATGCGCACTGCCGCTACTTGTCATTTGCATTTGTAGCATTGTGTTGAACGTATGCATCCGGTTTTAATTCAGATTCAACTGCAGCGCGAAGTGAATTGAGATGTGTGTTGGCTAAGGTAGCGCTTTTTATGTGCTTGCGTCGGCAGTTTTTGAAGTAAAGTGCTGAAATCGATTTATATAAAGCGTAAATCCCACTCTAAGAGGGTGTACGAGAGGGTGCATAAAGCATTCGGTGCTTTACCGGCGCCTCCGCCTTTTCTTCCTCTCAGTGCGCTACTGTTTCACGCTTTTCCACGACTCGTTTCTTCTTTTGTTCGTGCTTTATTTCATTGCCTGCGTGAAGTCGTCTGCGCGCAACTGTGGCAGTTTGAAAAACGTCGTTATTTAATGCGCTCTCGAACCCGTCGACGACAATTTGTATTGAATCCGCCTTCGTTTTATTTTATTCCGAGCGTCGCTTTTGTTTTTCTCCTGCTCAGTCGGAGCAGTCGTCGTCGCCAATTATGGCGTTGGCTACATTCGGACAACTTCCAGTTGCAGCTTCCAGTTTGATGCCGCGCTCTGCGTTAACATGCCGGACATGTACATAAACAAATGCGCTGCGTATATGGCGCGGGCGCATCGCTCAACGCGACCATCAGCAGCAGGAGTCTGTCTTGCATTGTGCCGTCGCGCGGCAACACTTTAACAAACTGCCAACTTGTAAACGGTTACGGCAATTGGTATTTTTACGCTAGTGCGCGTGCGCAAACGTGCTGATTCATCGCGTTATAGAAATTCGATTAGTTTAGTCCACCGGCAACCGGAAAAAAATTTAGAGAACACGTTGGACTTGATTTATTGCCAAACATACACTTGTCTGGGATTGAAATTTAGTGAAAATAGGAAATTCCAGCAAAATTTGCTGAGACACGATTCGGAAATTGTTTCTAGCGCCGTGTTTAATGGACCGACTCTAGCCGCATTGTGGCGGACTTATTTATGTCGTGCCAACCGCACTGATTCTAATTAAATTCAAACGAAATGCGGAAGATTCTAAGGAATAACATCAAGAAGGGAACAATTCCAACTGCGAAATTTATTTTTCTGACTTTTAATTAAATCCCAGATTTTTTCATTGTATAATTTCCGTGAGATTAATCACGTGCGAAAGATTTTAATTGTTTTTGCTGCGTCATGCACCGCGTTAAAATAATTTTCCGCTACGATTCCGTTGTATGGTCATTGAAAAGCCATAAACCATAAACTAACTCCATTTGTTCGGATCGTTCCTATGAGTAGCCGCACCGCAATGGATGATATTTATTCACCGGGTGTGCGAGCACATACAAAGTTGCGAAGACGCGCCGGGAAGCAACAGGCCGTATAAAGACCTAATTACAGCGGTGAGCGCGCGCGCGCACGCTTGTCGCGCTCGCATGCTAAATCGTCGTTAATTATCCTGCAACAACTGCAGCCCGGCCAAGAGAGGAAAGCATTAATAAGCGTTTAGACGTTTTATATTGAACGCAGCGCGCATAACTTAATGATGGATATTTAATGTTTAATATTGTGCCAATTAACAACTGTCACTTTTCTACGCAACGACGAAGAAAAAAAAAGTTTATTTTAGGTCTCCCCTTATACTTCAGATTATTATAATAAGGAGGATTACATCTAGAATTATGGCTGAAGGAGATAAGGGTGGATAAAGGCGTTTTCAAATAGGATTTCGTACATTTTTCATTATTTTTAGCTGCAAACTTTTAGCAGCAAAGTTAAAAGTTTCATTATTTGATTTGTTGTTGGAGTATACCTTGCTTGGGGATGCTGGTCACGCATGGCGACCTCCGCCTGGTTTCTTCGCTCTTCCTTCTTGCGCTTGCATTTCGTTCTTTCGTCGCGGCCATAACTTTGCCTCCTGCATGTATGTAGCCAAAGAGACAAGCCTCTGGAATCTAAACGAACTTGCTCCGACAGCGAGCAACAACATTCGCAATGCACTACACTACACTACGCAATCGGCCGGTGTGTGTGCTCGAACCAAGTTCGAAGGACGAGCGTCCGTCGGAGACGGGTCGATTAAGAAATTTCATACAAAACGCGTCGATATAAAAGCCATAAAATTGCATCAAAAGATCGTATTAAATACACTTTTTATATTCGTCTACGCAAGTAAGAAACATCATTATTCAGCTACACGCTTATTTCTAATAGCCTACGGCTTTCATCTGAGGAAAAACGTGCGCGGAAAACTTTTGTCTGGAGCGCATTGTGTGGTGATTTCAAGTTTTTGTGTCGATTCACCCTCTGCGGGGATGTGTATCGCACATTTTGCTCATTCTAAACGTTTGCCGAGAGTGGAGCACGTTTCTTCGGCGAGATAGATCAATTTTTCACGTGATCTCCCAACAAACACGCCAGAATTCCCGAAATTTTTACTTCTAAAACATTTTATAGTATTGTTACATAATGCATAGACAATTATCCAATTACCAATTACTTAAACATTTCTAAAATGCCACCCAAGTATGGAGTATAGATCCGATGTCGTAATTTGTAAATTAAATACTCGTTGTGGTAAAATGTCAAGGTTCGTTGGTAAAATGGCCAAATTAAACGTTTCGAGCATTGTTTGTCGAACGAAATACGTTTGCCTTTTGCCATCTAGGTGTGTTATTAGTCTTCCACTCGTCTAGGCTGAAGATATAATTCATTGTAGATTTGCATTCGCGTTCGAGCACACTCACAATCGTGAGACTCCTACGGTTCCTTAATAGCGCACTAATAACGGGGTCAGAGTTGTATTCATCGGCGTTTTTTATTGCGTACGTTCATTGTGTTCGATCCATACCGGAGTCAAATCGAGATTAGAGAATAACTCAAAACAATCGATAAGTTCACCCATACAAGTTATGTTTGAGTAATGCGTGGAATTTCATTAACTTAAACAAACTGGAACTAATCAAGTTGCATTCGTTTCATTTCGTTTCCCTTTGTGGGAAATTTACGATTATATTTATTATTTCCGTGAGGATTTTACGAGCGAGTTGGAATTACACATGGGGTGTAAAATACCGGTGTCAATATTGATTAACCGGTTTTTTTTCTTTCAAATGCTGATATTTATCAATTGCAATATAGAAAAATAGATGATTTTTATTTAAAAAATACCGGTATACCGAAAAACCGGTATTGAGCTTAAAATTTATCCGAAATAGCAACAGATTGTCTCTGCATTATGCTGAATTAGATTTTGGTGTTACCTAAATTTACGATATTTGCCTGGGGTATACAACATCGACTTTTATCACTTACCAAATTACTCTCGGCCATCCAATATTTATCGAGGCATAACTTTATTATATTGCTCTCATTTCGACACCACATGTGACAGATAATGGAAAATCTTCGCTTCGGGGGTGTGGAGATAGTTTTAGTTTCCGCCGGCGAACTGATGACTCGGTGGTTTTCGTTTCGTGAGCTCGGCGGTGCGTATAATGAGCGACATATGTACGTTCCACGAACACGAAAATACCGGAGTCTGGAAGATGTGCGGGAGGCGCACGAGACACTCGCTCCGGGGGATGGTGTGGGGACCACCCGCCGAGCTCTGCGACGAGTACGGAATAACAATGAAAGACTGAAAATCGATGCGAGATACAATTTAAATTGTTTAGAGAAAATATCAAATAAAATAATGTTTTTGTGTTTGTAACAGGAGCTTGGCTTTGGTTTTTAGCACATTCTCGACGCGATTGCAATAATGTAAATGCGCGCCGAGTCATTTGTCCACGCGGTTGGCTACCACACGACGAAATATTAAACGACCGCGGCGACCGGTTCGCGAAGAAGAGAAGACGACTCCTAGGCACGCACCGCCGCACGCCACTCATGCTGGGCGACAAAATCTGCGTTTCTGTTTTCATTAGTATGCTGTGGAGAT